TACCCAGGGGATTGGGTCAAAAGGGGCGAGAGGGCTTGCAGACGGCGAATGCAAGGCTGAACTCTGTCTTCTTTGTGGAGAGTGTCGAGGCCTTTCTTTGGGAACGGGATTTGCGAAAAGTCTAACAGCGAGAACGTGGCTGGCGGAATGGCAGATCCGAGGGAGGGGAATGCGGTATGTCCAGCGGAAGAGATGTTATTTACGCGAAGGGCGCTATGTGAGATTAAGAATACGGGGCGGGTAGCTTTACGATTTACCCGAATCGAAACGGTAACATTCAGTGAAACTGGGTAAATGGGGGAGATGGATTTCCAGCTTAAGTGTTGCTCATGCAGGGGAACAGGCGCAGATCACTTCATGTCAATGGGTCTCGATGCGGCCTGGGCGTTGGAGTGGCTTGCGGCTATCGGACGCCTTCTTTTTGTGCACTGGCCGATGAGCATAACTTAGATGCCATTGTTTGCTTTGACAATCAGCATGCCAATGTTTTTAGCATCACAAAGAGATCACTCGATACAGTTTGAGTTTGTCGTTTGATCGTTATTAACAACAAGTCATGATGATGGCTAGATAGAACACTCAACTGGTGCTGTTTCACAATAACCTTGAAACTTTTAAAACCACCGTAATTGGTTCAAGCGGAAGGGAAGCGCACGTCCAATGGATCAAATACCTCACGCCAATGCCGAGAAAGGAGTAGCTCAAAGCATCAACTTTCGCATATCGTGGCTTGAAGGTCTAGACCATTTGCGGGGACCAGCCCAAACCCAACACAAGTCTAGTCCCGCCTAGAATCTCGATAAGTCAGTCGGAACTAAAACCACGAGTTCAAACTCTCGCAACCTTTTCCGCATTGTTGGATCTTGAGTTTCGTGTGGCTTGGGGAGCAAACAGTGCTGCTCAGGGGTCTGTGGGTTGGACATCAGATCATGCTTTATCTCCTTGGATTAACGGAACTGAGGGGCACATGCATTGACTCCACTGACACTTTGAAGGTTTATTCTCGTCATGCGCCATCGGCAGATCGGTCTCATTTATGAGAAATCACAAAAAGAAACGAACTCACAAGATTAACTTCCCCTTGACCAAACTATCGAAAAGTCTCACCCCATCAATCTCCCTCTCGTACCTGACCAATTGTGCAACCACACACACTTTTTACTTTTTTATACGAGGCCTAAACCACATGGTTGGCGTGGCTTTTAGCGTTCCTCAGCCAGCCTCACCAACAACCCGGGTAACACTTCCCACGAGACCGACTTCGGCGACTCCCGCTAAGACGGAAGTTGGTGTGCAGCCTTGATTTTTATTGATCAGTACATACTGCTCGGTGGCTTAATGGTGAGACGTGATCATGCAGAGCGAGAAATGTCTAAGCGAAGTTGGCTGTGCCGTTTCTTTCTTTATCCCATGTTACCCGTCATTCTTTCACTCATGTGCTGAGATTTCTTTTATGTGAAGAAGGGAAGTTGTTTGAGCAACAAAGAAATCTAGAAGCAATCATGAAGAACCACGCGGCAGATCTAGCCACAAGGTTCAACAGGCGTGTCGCAACCTCCTTCATTGGCCGGTTCTTCAGGCTAGAAGGCAATAGTCACGTATGTTTCATTCCAGTCGGGAAGCACTACTTACTAATCTGCTTTTAGAGCAAGGAGATCGACGGGACGACATTCTTGAAAGAAGTTCGTGCTGGGGCGACGACCTTTGCTGCTATGACGTATATCATTGCTGTTAATGTGAGTAGTTTGTGAGGGAGAGTGGGTAAAGATTGCTGATGAGATGTAGGCTTCTATTCTGTCGCAGACTGGGGGGCCTTGTGTTTGTGATGAGACGAATAGGAATGATTGTGATAAGATTGATAGTTATGTGATGTGTAAAGAGGGTGAGCTTACATTTACTCTATCGAGACGAATGCTGACCAGATTGCAGAGGTGAGGCGAGACCTCGTTACGGCGACTTCAGTCATCGCAGGACTGGCCAGTCTTGTCTTCGGCCTCTTCACCAATCTGCCTATAGCCCTCGCGTAAGTCCCCATCTCAAAAGACATCACCTATCTAACAAACACAGACCTGGAATGGGCCTCAACGCCTACTTCGCCTTCCAAGTAGTAGGCTACAACGGCTCAGGGAGCATTCCCTACGGCATCGCATTAACGGCCGTCTTCACAGAAGGTCTCATCTTTGTCTTCCTAGCACTAACAGGTATGCGACAATGGCTCGTCAAGCTCATCCCGTCAACTATAAAATCCGCAACGGGAGCTGGCATTGGTTTGTTTCTCACTGAGATTGGGTTGTCTTATGGCTCGGGTATTGGTGCTATCACTGGTGGGTTTAATGCCACGCCGTTGGCAATAGCTGGATGTCCCGTCGAGAGGATTAATCCTGATAACCAGATGTGCGAGGGCGGGATAATGACTAATCCAAAGGTGAGTTTGTGACCCGAAGTCGCGAAGAAATATGCTGACTTGGATGAAAGCTTTGGACTGCGATATTTGCTGGTGGGTTACTGACGGCGTATCTCATGGCTTTCCGGGTCAAATACGCTTTTGTCATTGGCATCGCCTTCGTATCGATCCTCTCATGGCCGTAGGGCTCCCAATTTCTCTCTGGATGCAATGTTGTCTAATCGGAACCAGACGTGACACTTCCGTTACATACTTCCCTCACACACCAGAAGGAGACTCCCGTTTCGAGCTCTTCCGCAAAGTCGCTGCTGTCAATCCCATGAAGCATACCCTCAACGCTCTTGACTGGAACGTCGGTCAGCATGGCACTCAATTCGCTCTCGCACTATTCACCTTTCTCTAGTACGTTCCTCACCAACTTTGATATTCCCTCTACTGACCAATCAGTGTCGATATCATCGATGCAACAGCAACGATGTTTTCAATGGTCCGCTTCTGCGGTGTTGTCGACGATCGAGATGGAGATTTTCCTCGTTCAACACTCGCTTACTGCTGTGACGCAATCAGTATTTCTATCAGTGCTCTCTTTGGTTGTTCGCCTGTTACGGCGTTCATTGAAAGCGGTGCCGGTATTGCTGAGGGAGGTCGCACGGGTCTTACTGCTATGACTACTGGGTTCTTGTTTCTTTTGTCTATTGTATTTGGGCCGATCTTCTCATCGGTGCCGCCGTGGGCTACTGGACCTGCTCTTGTTCTGGTAAGTTGTGAAACGGAAGGATACTCGGACTTGACTGATGACTTTTAGGTTGGATGTATGATGGCTCGTCAGATCACTGAGATCAACTGGCGTTATATCGGTGACACCCTCCCCTCATTCGTTGTCATCGCCTTTGTTCCATTTTCGTACAGTGTAGCCTACGGAATCATCGCGTAAGTTCGCGCCTCCCCCTCCTCCCAGCCATCTCAAACTAACATCTACTTAGAGGCATGTTTCTCTACACGGCTCTAAACCTCATGATTTCTCTCACAGTCCGCCTCTCGGGCGGTAGACTAGAGCCAGATAATTACGACATGAAAGAATACTGGACTTGGAAAGCCCCGGGAAGAAAACCATGGTTTGTGCGAGCTTTCAGAAACGTTACTTACTCAGCAAAGGATACGCATGAGTCTAGTCCTCAAACCTTTGATTCACATGGTGGCTTGGACTGTGAAATGATGAGGGTTGCGTCGTCGGATGGGAGAAAGGATGATACGCACGTGTCGGTCTCTGTACCTTTGCCCGCACTTTCTAGGTTCTCTCGTTGAGTTTCTCTTTGTTTCTTGACCACCTGGGTGTAGTTCATTCACGCCGCTGGTATTTCTTTTACTTCTTGTATATTCTTATGAGTCCCCTTAGATTTTACGCATTACTGCACCGCATATTGATCGATTATTATTGTTACCAACTTAAGGTGTCTTTATTGAACAAGTAGACAAATCCTGGATGTTCTCTCGCACGTTCGAGTCCCGCCACAACAGCAAAGGAACTGGGACACTCAATTGGGCTTCTTGCAAGACTTGGGCTTCCATCCCTCTGGCTTCAAGACCTGTCCAGCTGGATCGAATCCGGGCGCGACTATTGACATTAGTTCATCTCTCCACCTCTTCAATATCATAATGACTTACCAGTTGTCCCAACAAGAGTCCAGTCACCCAAACTCCGGGCACTCTGCCACTCCTCCGCCTTGACAACAACCTGAGGCCTCTGGCCACCGAAGAGATCATTTCCCATGACATGATCCTTCGTACAAGACCCATCGTTCTTTGATATAGAAAGAACAAGTGGTGCGCCAGCGTAATAGTGCCAGACTTCTGCGGCATCGAGTTTATGCCATAGAGATTGTCCCGCGGAACCTTCGAGCAGATAGTAAATAGCTGTGCTGACAGATCGATTGGTTCCTGGGACGGTAGTCGGGTCTACAAAGGTTTCAACGAAGTAACCTTTTTCGGTATTGGGTTCAAGCTTGAGAAGGTCAATGACTTGTTCTGCTGAACAGTCTGTGATGGGTTTGTGCTTGGTGCGGCTGTGAATAGATTCGGGAATATGGAGGGCCAGGCCGAGAGGGAGCCATGATAGAGCTAGAGCGAAACGCATGATGAATTGAGTTGAAGAGTGAGAGTATGCTTTCGAGTCAATGGTCCAGCCATTTCAGACGGCGATCCTCCATCCTTTTGTAGCTCCTCTCAAGCCATGCTTACTCCCGGCAGTTTCGGATCGACAATGATGCGGGGAGGCTGGAGGTGTCAGATTCACCGCTTGCAAGCAGTAAAGCGTGAATGACCAATCTCACTCATGACGTATACTCTTGCACATCCTCATTTCACGGTTGAATCAGAGCAGAATCCTTCTGTTATACGCTCACTGACACAGCTGACACTACCAATGGCATGTCACTGAGCGTATAGAGCGGGTACCGCCGCGTGCCGGGGCCTGGACCCTTAAATGTCTCAATCGGGAAGCCCCGATATTGGAGGAGTTATCAGATAAGAAAGGCTACTTTAACCACGAGTATTCCTCTCGACTCAGACAGATTTTGGATATCTTGTTATACTCAAAATGGCGGCCAAAACACCTCAAGAGATTCTTGAGGCACTCCTCCAAACAGTCGAGCGCGACATTGTTCCCTTGACGAGCGATGGCGTTCGCTCAGGCAGCAAAGTCTTCGGCGCAGCAATCCTCTCATCTCAAGACCTCAAACCTCTAACCGTCTCAACGAACAACGAGCGCGCCTCACCTCTTCTTCACGGCGAGATAAACTGCATCCAGGCATTCTACACGCAAACATATCCCGATTCCAAATCTCGACCGAATCCCCGCGAAGACTGTGTCTTTTTCGCAACACACGAGCCTTGCAGTCTATGCTTGAGCGGAATCACATGGTCTGGCTTCAAAGAGCTGTATTATCTGTTTACATATGAGGATAGCCGTGATCAGTTCGCTATTCCGTATGATATTGAGATTTTGGAAGAGGTTTTTCGGGTGAGGGCTGAGGGGGAGAGTGATGAGGCTGTTGGGAGGAGGGCGTTGTATAACAAGAAGAATAAGTTCTTTACTGCGAAGAGTGTGAAGGATCTTGTTGATGAGATTGAGGATGGGGATGAGAGGAAGAGGTGGAGTGATGAGGTTGATAGAGTGAAGGCGTTGTATTCGGCGTTGAGCGATGAGTATCAGAAGAATAAGCAGAGCGGTATAGAGACTTCGAGTACTTGGAAGTAGTGACAAGGCTTTATATAATCGGGACGAATCTTGGGTTTTGGATGCACTGAGCTGAACTGGGTTGGACTGGGTTGTTGAGATACCCTATAGGATAGCTGGCGTTACAGTTCTCTACAGCAATTGACTGAGTCTAGCGGATCAAAAGCGTAAAATATGAAACGAGGCCAAATTCACGTCTGTTAGTGATTTAATGCATCTATCTTAAACATAGGAAAAATAACGGATTAACGTTATCAAGCAAAATGGAAGACGTGCTGAAGCTGTATCTTAATGCGATCTTAGCTGAATCTCAAGCCTCAGGTACTAAAAATAACTACGAACAGCCCAATCTCAGCCATCCCCAGATTACGATAAGATAACGAGCCCAATGATGTCTGAATCTCTCATCGGAAAAACAATCCCATACAAATCTCAAAACACGGATCAATCTGTCCCCAAAAATTGATGCTTGAACAAAAGCCCGATCGAAAAATCGGAGCCTGAGATCTGGATCGGGCCGCTAGCATCTTAGCGTCGGCCTAAAAGCCTGGAAGGAGGGTTATTCCCCGTAACACTGTTACATCATTTGTTTATCACGTACGACCCGACAATTCATGCTGCATTATCGCGAGAAGTGCTTTGCCGTAGACTAGCCATATTAGATGATTCTCTTGTAACAGATGTTCAATGTAACATATGCTTAATAGCGTTATTGACTGTAAAAGAACACGCGATGTGAGGGCCTTAGGATGGTATCGATGAATGTGAGGAGAGTTGATTTGACTACCGTAAGTTTCATGAGGATCATCTCGGCTAGTCTCAACGTCATGGCTTAATGTTGCCTTGGCAAACCCACAAAATAATACCGCAGTGAATACCACAAACTCTGCTTCGTCAACATTCAATGTTGACGATGGAGTCCGACATCGCACATGATCTCGACAAGTTGAACATTCGCGATATCCTCAACGCAGACTCTCGACCGACGTTTATTATCGATCTTGATCCTGATGATGAGACACCACTACGCTCAAAGGCTATTCAGCCTGTGTTTTGCAACAGTGCGCTCACGACACACGAACGACTGTTAGATGCTGTCCGCGGTGAGCAGAGCGAGAGTGAGTATGGAGAGTTCAAGACTTGGGCGACGGGGATTACAAAGCAGGATGATTCGAAGGATGTGTTTCCGTTGTTCTTTCTGTACCAGGGTTTGCTTTGGACGGGGTCGACGGTTGGGAAGAGATGGCGGTTGATTAGTGGGAATCGACTTTGGCAGCATCCTGATACGCCCGCGAGTTTATCGTCAGCTGCGCTTTCGAGAGCGAGCACGCCGAGTCTCAAGGAGCAGGATACCCCCAAGGGCGAGGTTTCGAAAACGCCGAAGCAGGAGCCTGAGACGAAGGACGAGACCGTGGATGATTCGACACTTGAGATGACGCCGACGGAAGCAACGCTGGTAGCATCGACACCGCGAAAGTTCCCCTTCAGATCTTGGTGGAGAGGCAGTACATCCAAGGGAAGTTCCGATCGCAACACCGGCAGTTCAAGCAGCGGCTCCATTATCCTAGGCAAGCCGGAAAAAGCCGTCGCAGACTGGACAGCCGCGAACCCCAAAGGTCTCTTGTCACCCTACATCCGCCTCCTCCGCGCCATAGACTGGTCCTCAACCCCCCTCGGCCCCATGTCAACATGGTCCCCCGAACTACGTCAAGTAGCCAACCTCGTCATCAACAACCCCCACCCCGCGAACATCTTCTGGGGCAACGACATGACGATGCTCTACAACGAAGCGTACGCTGTTGCATTCGCCGGGAACAAACATCCGTCTATGCTGGGCACTGGAGCCTCGGGGCCGTGGTCTGAAGCTTGGGATGTTCTTGGACCGGCGCTGCAAGAGGTTGTGAGGACGGGCGTGAGCTTTCGAAGCGACAATAATGATCTGGCGTTGTTTAGGAGGGGGTTCTTGGAGGAGACGCATATTTGCTGGTCGCTTACGCCGCTGTATGGTGGAACGGAGAGGATCGTGGGGTTTTATAATGCGCCGTTTGAGACGACGGATTTGGTGTTGAGTCAGCGACGCATGGGAACGATCAACAAAGTGAGTGAATCGTTGAGGAAAGCGACGAGTATCAAGAGTTTCTGGAAGGCGGTGTTGGATGGTCTTGAGGATAATCATCGAGATGTCCCGTTTGCACTTCTCTACTCTGTCGGCGAGGCTGAGGAAGCAGATCATCAGTCTAGTTCGTCTGGGAGCACAATATCAAGCAAATCTTGCTACTTGGAGGGGACGATTGGGATACCAATGGGACATGATGCTGCGCCGGAGCAGATTGATCTCAAGAGGAGTTACCAAGGGTTTGTGCCTTCGTTTCGAGAGGCGATGCGGACGAGGGAGCCTACGCTGGTGAGGATACGAGATGGAACGTTGCCGGAGGATCTACTGCATGGGATTCAATGGCGAGGATTTGGAGAGGCTGGGACGGAGGCTATTATCTTTCCGGTGAGACCTACGAATGGCGAGACGGTGCTGGCGTTTCTCGTGCTGGGCGTCAATCCGAGGAGGCCGTATGATGAGGGCTATATTTCCTTTGCGACGCTTCTCAACAACCAACTCGCTACTTCACTTGCGTCTACCATTCTTTTCGAAGACGAGACCCGACGGGGTCGCGATGCTGCTGAAGCTGCGGCTTTGGAGAAAGAGGAACTCACGCAGCAACTGGACCTTCAAGCAAGCCGTCTTCGAAGAATGACAGAACTATCCCCATTGGGAATGTTCCTCACCAGTCCAGAGGGTATCCTCCGCGAAGCAAATGATCGTTTCTTCGAAATGACAGGTCATAGTCGCGATACACAAGACGATGTATCCTGGGCAAATCTCATGAAGAACTCCGGTAGTATAATGGACCAAGGCTGGCATCGTCTTACGCAAGATATGCTCCCCTGGTCAGGAGAAGTCAAACTCCGCGAAAGTTTCGACAACCCCGTCAACATCCACGGCGAACCTATTGACTTTTGGGTCCTCGTCACAGCGCATCCTGAAATCACACCCAGCGGAACTCTGCGCTCTATTTTGGGTTCTATAACGGATATATCTCATCTCAAATGGGCGCAGGGGTTGCAGAATCGCAGATTGCAAGAAGCAGAGGAAACGAGACGCCAGCAGAATGAATTCATCGACATAACATCCCATGAGATGCGTAATCCTCTGAGTGCAATTCTTCAGTGCGCTGATGATATCACCTCTGCGATGCAAGGATGCCGCACCGAGGGGATCGCAGCGTCACAGGACGTTATCGAATCATGCCTCGATGCATCGCAGACAATAGCGCTTTGTGTTCAGCACCAAAGATCAATCGTGGACGATATTCTCACCGTTTCAAAACTCGACTCCAATCTGTTGCTCATCACACCGGTGGTGTGCCAACCACAAGCCATCCTCGAACGAGTGGTCAAGATGTTTGAGTCAGAGATGCTAGCGAAGGATATCACGCTTGAGATTGATATCAGTCCTGAGTTTGAGAAGCTAGCTGTTGATTGGGTTGCCATGGATCCAAGTCGCGTCCTCCAGATTCTGATCAATCTCATGACCAACGCTATCAAATTCACGGCATCTTCTGCAAAGCGGCTGATCAAAGTCGCTGTTGGAGTGTCGAAGGATACACCAGAGATTGACAACATTCCTGGCTTTGCGTTTGCGCCGTCGAGGGGTGAGATTGGTAGTGTCGTTGGATCTGATGAATGGGGTTCCGGAGAGGGTCTGTACGTGAGGTATAGAGTCCAAGACACAGGCTGTGGATTGACAGACGATGAGAAAACGCGGCTGTTTCAAAGATTCAAGCAGGCTAGTCCACGAACACACTACAAATATGGTGGCAGTGGTCTTGGGCTGTTTATATCGAAACGACTAGCAGAGCTACATGGCGGTCGAATAGGCGTTGCGTCTACGGCCGGTAAAGGAAGTGACTTTGGTTTCTACATCCAAGCTCGACGATGTGTACCTCCCAACGAACAAACCTCCTCTCAACCTATCCTCTCCGAATCACCATCTACTACAAACCCTAGCAAGAAGACAGTCCACCTCTTATCCCCCAACCCCTCCGCCCGAACCCGCCGCGAGAGCATCCTCGCCGCCGTCTTCACCCCCACCTCCCTAACAATCCACATAGTCGAAGACAACCTTATCAACCAAAAAGTCCTCGTCAACCAACTCCGCAAAGCAGGCTGCACCGTAAGCGCCACCAACGACGGTCTCGAAGCGCTAGAGTTTCTCAAAAAGACACATTTCTTTAAAGCGGGGGGATCAGATTTATCAGTGGTACTAATGGACTTGGAGATGCCGAACATGGATGGGTATCAGTGTGTACGGGAGATACGGAGGTTGGAGAGGGAGGGGTTGATTAGGGAGCATGTTCCTGTGATTGCGGTTACGGCGAATGTGAGGGATGAGCAGATTAGGATGGCGTTGGATAGTGGGATGGATGATCTTGTTTCGAAGCCTTTTAGGATTCCGGAGGTTATGAGTAAGATTGAGGGGTTGTTGAAGAAGTGTAATGGGTAATTGGCATGGGGTTCTTTGGAGCAAGTGGTTACTTTTAAGGTTAGATTTTGGTTGAAGCATTAGGCGTTATCAGAGAGCAATTCAATTCAGCTGGTCTATCAGCAGACAGTCTTACAGTCTAGCTATGGCTTCGCTTCAAAGGTGAATGCGTGGCCCGTTTCGGATGAATGGATACCGCGCGTTACGAAGAGTGAGGCGTGATGGGGTGATCCCTGAATGCCCTCATACGGTTGGGCCTCAAGATCGGCGCTGCAGTCCTGCAGGTCCCCCACGTCCCTGATCACGCAACCTCTTATCCACACAATCAAACCAGTGCAAAATCGATAGAATATGTGATGCTATTGAAATGTACAATTTGCTACGCTCAAAACACGCTATGCTAATGCCTAATAAACACTCCGTCTATCCACACTCCTCCTATCAACACTCATCGCCCTCGCACTCCTCCCCGCATCAATAACACTTCTTCCACTCACCACACTCCTCCCCGACGAACTCCTCCTATCAGACCCAACACTCTTCGCCGGCATGATCCTCTTGTTCATATCTATAGGCCTAACCTTGTCAAGATCAAGCGATCTAACCTCAAAGTCCGGCTCCCTCTCCATCTCCGCGACAGTATGTTCCCGTCCAATGTGATTAACTAGCGTATCAGCGCTGGGACATAAAACATCGCCGTCGCGGAAGCGCGAGCAGAGAACACACGCGAATTCTCCTTCTGGGGTGTGGCACTTTATGACGAAGCGTGGACTTATGTGGAATTCGAGCTCTTCGTCGATTTCACGCTTGTAACCTCCTTGTTCTGTGATAACGCGCGTGGCTGTTTTTCCAATTGCCCATGCGTCGTCTGCCTCAACGTCTAAGAAGACATCGCATGCTGGACAGCGACAATCACCCCGGGGTTCAAATGTCGATGCGAGGGGTCGTTCGGGTATGTATTGTAGATCGAGAGCGTAGCGACAATACAGAGGATCGTCCTTAATAACAGTCGATGCCCGTTTCGGCGGCGGTAAGGCCTTTGGCAGCGGAGGTTCCTCCAAATCCATAAGTCTCTCCCTCTGCTGTCTCAACGCCCCAAGCGATCCCTCCCTCGCCGCATCACTAGCCGCTATCAACCTCGCCATATCAGCCCTATCAAGCTGGCGTCCATTATACACCGCATCCTGAAGAACATTAATAACAGTCTGCTGCAGCGCGATAACCTGTGCCTGGAGTTTATTCTCGGTGATGACATCTCCGATCGCAAAGCGCTGTCCGTAGCGTTGGTATCCGTCTTCGAATTCGCGGTTGATCAAGGCGCCGGAGCGCTGGAAGGAGGCTTCAACTTCGTCGTGGGCGCGGGAGTTTTGCTCAACTTGGGCTTTGAGCTTTTTGATCTCCTCGTCTTGGGTCGTGTCGCGCTTGGCTTGCTTGCGCTTTTCCTTGACGCGGTCCCAGAGACCCATTGAGGAAGTGAATGTTCCGACGAGGGTGCTGCATAGTGTAGCTATGATGAATGTTTTCTACAGACCCATCAGTAAAGTACAACTAAAGGAACAAAGAGGGTATAATTACCTTGAGGTTTTTCTCCTCTATCATATTTGCGTAATTCATCTTGCCGATGTTGTTTTGGGTACGTTCTTTGTCTCAGAGGATATTCCTTTTTAGCAGTGCATGAAGATCAGTGCGTGAGTTTGACGCCCAACGACCCGAGACATTTAACAAAAAGGAAAGGTTGCAGATCATGCGCGTATATATGTCTCATCCTCCGATCCAGGGTCTTGAGGGTCACACAATGATGGCATTTCCGTCTCAAAGGGTTGCACACCGCTTATAATACGTGGCCATGAGCGTTAATCTATCCCGCGTTTTCTCTGTCATAATACATATTTCCCGCAGCCAGTGACGTCAGTTGCATCGAGATGTGCCAAGTTTTGAGGATCGTGATTTTATTGGCGGATCTAAAATAATGACGATGCTTGTTTCCGAGGGGTTTTGCACTTTATCCACCCTCGCTCGCTTTGTCTTTGACAGTTTAATTTTAGTGTCTTTGTTGAAGAGCCAAGATTACTTTAATATTAATCTGGAAATGCTAAACGTGAGTGTGCACTTGTTTGCTTCTGTGGGAGTTGGTGGCACGGAACTGACGTTACTCCGATGGACATGGCTCGGCGTTTCGGACATCCAACGTGATCATGTCTGCTGACTTTTTGTGCAAGGTACATGGTATTAAATCGCTATCATAAAATAATGCCCAAGAAGATGATTCGCTCTTCGGTATGCAATGCTCTTCCACTCATCCGCCAACAGCCTCATCGATCTGCCTTACTAACAATCTCCATCTCATGCTCCGTCCCCGCCACAGCCGTCCGTCCACTACTTACCGTAACAGTCGTCAATCCTCCGACGTCACTCAACGTGGGCATATCCTCTTCGTCCGGTATGGGCGCCAATGACCTCTCGATGAAGATAGGCTTATTTGCTGACTGCCCTTCTTTCTGCTTGTGAATCGCCATCCGAACAAGCTGGCGTGTTGAAGGTACGCAGGCCACTATAGCACCCATGTATGTTTCGATGCACGCCCAAAGAACCACTTGCTGTTGGCCCGTTTCTATAGGTGTTGGTGAATATCTGATAAGGCATAGACCTCGACGAGATGGACTTACGCGCTTCTTCAGGGTCAGCGAGTAGCTGTGACTGGAATATCGTACGGACCAAGCTGACCACCGTAAGACTAATTCGTTAGATCCTATAGACATCGCCAGGATGGCGCAGTAAACTTACAATATACCAAGACCAAACATAGCCATCACGTTGATCTTCTTATTGAGCTTCAGCCCGATGTTATACAGCTGGGTCATTGGCAGGATAAGCATCCAAATGTCAAGAGCCAGGTTGACAACGCAATGTGCCATGACAATCTTGAGGCTGTTTGAGAACCTGTCGATGTTGGAAACCGTGTCTTCAGTATCTGCAAGCAGATATGTCACAGACCGTCCGAGCGTCAGGTTCAGAGTTATGATGATGATAGTCGATAACCCGTTGAAGGCGTGGGTTGCCCAGACAAGCATTCTAAACGAAGTTCCTGAGAATATTCGGAGATAAAAGAAAAGAATCGACGTGTTGGCGGCTGTCAAACCGCACACGTAGAGAAGGTGAAGGATAAATACCTCCTACGACATCGTCAGCAATTGTCTCAATATGAGCTTGCTCAAATACCTTTAGGGCGTGAGACAGATCATTCTGGGTATACAGCGGCGTTGCAAGTCCGATGCCGTGTTGGATTGCTGTAAATCATTAGCTTGTTAACATAGAGCATGATCAAGTCTTACCGAGTAGGGTGAACACCGTGAATGGTATGAGAATGAACTGCGTCGTCAGCAATAGATATCGCAAACTGAGAGTACACATACAAAAGTGACTACTGCCCAGGTATCATCGGCGCCCCATGTGTTCTTGGTGGTGATCTTCGACGCGACCCTTAACGCAACGAAGAAAAACGACAGAGTCGCGAACACAGTAATGACAGCTCGATACTCTTGTCGGTTATACTGCATCGGCATCCGGCATAGCTCTTTTCCCAGATGAACAAAGCCTGCATGATAATATTAACGACCAAACACATTGACGATCCATAAAGCACACCTTGTAACTCTTGCGCAGTGCATACCCCAGTAACACAGTTCAACACATCGGTCTGGAAAGCCGGGTCATCGCATATCGATCGGATATTCGCTTTCGTTTCGCCCGCCGAGTCCATCGTCTCGAGAATACACGGTATCTGTACCCGTCAGTCTAAAATGAAGAAGCAAACCTGCTCACTATACTTACTGCGCATGACGGTACATCCGACAGCGAAAACGCCGTCGCCAATACAGCCAAACAGAGAAGAAACAAGATCCTTAGGACACCCATTTTGAGGCTCTGCAAGACAGGAAGGAGATCGGAAATAACCCCCGGGGCCTAAGCTGTTTTAACAGAGACCCTAAGATTAGTCCAACTACGTTCCTGGTCTAGCCCCTTCATTCTGGTCCAGATCGATCCCGCCTCACCGGACAGAAAACACTTCCGCCAGATCTGAGTCAAACATTTTGTGTCCCCCCATCTACTCAACGAATGAGTATAGCGCCAATCATTCCAGCGGGAAGTCAAATCACGCTGCACCAAACCAAAACAAAACAGGTGAGTGGTCCCGCAGGTACCCTGCTGCGCTATGACGGGAGCTGACAGTGGCGTCGACGCCATTTGCAAATCTGAGGGACGGCTCGACGATGTTTCATTAAAAAATGTCTTATTCTCTTTGCTTATTCCCTTAAAACCAACGAACTCGCATTCTCCTCGGAAGTCTTCAACTTCCCGAATTTCCCGTCACTATCATCCCAGACCTCCAAATCGATAAACTCACACTCCTTGCGCTTGGAATCAAAAGCGAAACTGATGTAACACGACGGCCCGCACCACTCTGAGCGCTGCGTCTTGAAACGCCATAAAAGTGATCTATCAGTAAACAACCCCTCGTGTTCGAACCATGTCTCCAGCGCGCGTTTCTTGTCTAGGTGAATACTAAAGTTTTCCGTCTTGCGGTCTTCGCATTTTGCTAGCCAGTCTGTATGTGCTTTCTCGCTGAAGTCAAGACGGATTTCCATCTTGAAAGACCGGAGATCTTGGGACATTGCTTTGAGGGTTTGGCAGTGAAGCCCGCTCATGTTGATCCCATCAGCGCAGTCGTTTTGATCAATGTGAATATCCAGATCTTTCAAGTTCGGAATTTCACTAAAGATCTTGAGCTTTCCGTCGGAGAACCAGTGATCGTAATCTCGAAAAAGGTGTAATCGTGAGATATAAGCGAAATTAACCTTGCTTACAGGCGACGTATCACAAATCGGCCACATCCTGCGCCCTCGCCCAACAGCATAGCGGCGCGGCCAGCAATAACCTCTTCGAAAGACATTTTCCGAGTACAAGACCGGCGTAGCTTCTCTATTAATAATCCGACATGTGAGTAAGATTTTCGGATCAATTTCAAGAGGACAATCCCATGGTTCTTTGGGGATGAGACGGAACTTTTTAGAGGTGCAGTAGTGAAGTTCGGCGTGGGCATTGGAGACGAGGAGGAGACGGTAGATTTGGAGGCGGATCTCGGGTGGGAGTGTGAGGAAGGGAGATGTGCCACTTTCGAGATTGTGACGCGATGAGGCTTTGCACTTTCGTGGCGGTATGATTCTCCCGGATTGGGGTGAGGCGGGTGAAGGGTCTTGTTTGGCGGTAGAGTTTGGGTGGAGGATTTCGGTTATCAGCCGCTGTTGACCCATGTTGCTTCACTGATGCAATAAGATGAGTGCGTATGAATTGAGGCAAGATAGATACGATATCAGGAAACGGTGTGAGCGTGACGGTGAAGAGGTGAGCATCGTCAGCATTTGACAGGTATCCGTATCAAAGCGGGTCATTGATCTTCCGGGCCAGTCTAGGGGCTTCATGAGTTGGCACTCGGCAAATCATGATGCCATAAACAGAGTCTTGATCAGATGTCAGGTCTAAAAAGTCTATGCTGCACTAACAAATACATTTATCTGCAATGTCGTAATATCCCCAACTCCAGCCTAACCAGCCATTTTCTTTTGTCATCATAAACCCTAGTTGCGTCCTCGCTTTCCGCGTCCATTATCCCCATGTCCACCAGGAGCACCATGTTTCTGACGAGGCCGATCAGCAACCGTGTTCAAACCCCGCACACCTCTCAGTCCCATCTTGCTAGCCGTGCTCTTCTGAATAGTAGGCACATCAGGCGATCCCAGACCCTCGCGCGCGTAAACGTTGGCTTGTCGGACGAGCTCCTCCTTGTCCCAGCGGAGAGACTTCATGTGGCTGTTGTAGTAGCCCAGCCAAGCTTGGTAAACACGGGATTTCTCGTCGTCCTCCATCTTCTCGGCGACTGAGATGACGTCGCTGCTCGGTGAGAGATCGGCTTCGCGGGGGAGGAGGTTGATTTCTTTGAGGGAGTACTTGGGGAAGAAACCCTCTGCGTCGGAGACGATGAGGATTCCGCGACCTTCAGCATCGGCTCGTGCAGTTCGGCCGAGGCGGTGGATGTAGCTCTGCTTGTCGGCGGGCATACCGACTTGGATGACGGTGGTGACGCCGGGGAAGTCCATTCCACGGGCGACGACGTCGGTAGCCACGAGAATAGCGTTGCGAGCAGTTCGGTAGTCGTTGGTGATTTTCGTGCGCTTGTTCTGGCTCATGCGGCTGTGCAGGATCGAAACTGGGGGAAGGCCGGGAAGATCCTCCAAAAGACGTCCGTAGAAATCAGCGATGGCAGCGGTCGGTGCGAAAAGAATCGCCTTGAAAGTCTGGCTGCTTGTAGCTTCCTCACGGATACAGCCAACCATGGCGGGTGCAACGTCACCAAAGGTAGGAACCTGAACGAGGAATTGGGGAACGCGCTCGTGAGTATTGGCTTCACCAGCAGGAATGGTCGAGATAAACTTGTAGCCGGGTGAGAGAACGAGACCAGCGACTTGCTCAACGTGGGGAGCGATGGTGGCGGAGAACAGCATGCCTTGTCGGTCGGACTTTGTCTTGTCGGGAAGACGGCCGACAATGTCACGCAGATCCTTCATGAAGCCCATGTCGAGAAGACGGTCGGCCTCGTCGAGAACAAGAGTGTTGAGTTTACGCATGCTGTACACAATATCCTCGTTGGACATGTGATCCAGAAGACGACCAGGTGTAGCGATGAGAATCTCACAACCAGCGAGAATGGCTCTCTCCTCACGATCCTTGTTCGTTCCTCCGATAGCAACCTGAACGCGATACTTAGGGAGTCCTTGAAGAACCTTCTTTGCCTCTGCGGAGATCTGGAGCGCGAGCTCACGAGTTGGTGAAATGACAAGTAGCGAGATGCCATCGCCAGCAGCTCTGTTCTGGTTAATCATAGTCTGCAGCGCAGGAATCAAGAACGCCATGGTCTTGCCGGTGCCGGTACGCGCCTGGACGAGACAGTCGCTGCGGTTCGGGGGCAGAAGCTCATCCATGGTCGCGGCTTGGACGGGCGTCATGAACTCAAACTTCATGTCGTTGGTGATGGTGCGCACGATGAGAGGGTTGACCTTGTTGTTCTCCAACAAGCTGTCGAAGCGACGCGAGGTCGGCTCTTCGGTGAGAGGCGGCGCAGGCGCAGGCGCAGGTGAGGGCGAAGCCATCTCGACATCCTCATTCTCGGTCTTGATCTTGGGGTTACGAGGCTGGTTGTTGCGCGGCTGGTTTGAGCGACCACCACCGCCGCCGCCACGAGAACTGAAACCTCGACGGTTGCCGCCGCGACCGCCGCGACGTCTTGATCCGCCGTCCATCAGAAAGAGAGGAAGAGAAGGGATAGACTGTTGTGTGATAAGTGTTGTGAGGGGAAAAAGTTGACGCGGGCGCTGAAGGATGTTGTTGATGGGAAGGCGAAGGCGCTGCATTTTTCTTTGTTGACCTTCCTGGGATTTTGATAACGGGCAAAAAGTCTCTGCTCTTTGTAGCACAGCGCTAGGCTACAACGGGTAACGCGCTGCGGATTAGGCGAGTGGCGCTAGACCTCATGTGGCGAAAGGCGATAAAGAGCTACACCTCCATTTTTGATCGCCCAAGCACTGGTACCAAGAATAAATCTATTATGAATTTAGGGTGCCACAAGTCTAAAGTCTACTAAGTCTTAGAATACTTTACTAAACTTACCTAAGTATTCTTATCTATTAGGCACGAGATCCTAAATTCTGTTTCCCTATTGTTGCTGGTCAAAGAAAGAGAATGAACTTCAGGCTGTTCTTTGCTGCTTGTTATTTCACCGACTCGTGAGCTCGCGCTTCAGACCACTGCCACAACTTGGTAAAAATAAATGTGATAAAATCAAGAGCATCCCATATTTCAATGGGTCTTTTATCGAGTTTAAATAACACCTCACAATGTTGACGGTGCGCCAAGTCAGGATCATGATATCTCCTAATCGCGCGTGCTATTTCCCCCAAGAGCCACTTATAGGTCTCACAACGCTCTTGTAGAATGCCTGTTGCAGCTCGTTCGCGGAAGTCCCCTCAAACTCCGACTTCACACATAGCTCTGTTGCTCTCATGTACTCTTTTCCTCTTGATCGCCCAAGCTTCGGGAGTGCCTTGCTCAGTATCCATTCCCGAAACGCAGCGGCGGAATGCTCGTACTCCTCGGTCTGAATGGCTTCTTCATATAGCTGAATGGCTGGCTTTTGAAGTCCGAGCTCGAGCAGAAGAATACCAATGCTGTAGATATCATGCTTCATTGCAAAAGAAGCTTTGGCTGGTTTCCCTTGATCATCATCCGAAGGCTCTTCAGGTACACCTTGAACTTCTTCATGTCGGTACAGATTCGCTTCCAGATCATCCGTCACGCCCTCTGTTTGTCCTGGCGCTGATATCTCTCGACTATACTCGAAGCCAGCTAGGTAAGGCTCTTCATAAGAGACATTACCTGTGTCATCTTGGAAGTACAGAATGTTCTCGCTGCGAAGTCCTTTATGTAGCCAGCCTGCCAGGTGCAAACAAAGCACCGCTCGTGTCACGCTCTTCGCGATCTTGAACCAGTCATCAAAATAGATGTTGTCCTGGGGCCCCTCAAGAATAGTCTTCAGCGTTGTGTACTTTTTTGTTGGCATACTGAACATGGTGCCGTATCTGACTTCATCATCGGACGGCCCATCGCGGGTGATGACTCCAATACAGTCCAATGTTCTGAGATCTTCAAGCCTAGCACTCCATTTCAGAAGACGTGCTAGATTCTTGATGCGATTCCCAGCCATCGCGCGGAACGTTGCTGCAGTATGTCCAGGAGGAACATGAGAGCCATCGATCAGTTTCCACTCCACCAAGACATCCGTGGAGGTCGTTCCCTTCTGGAACACCCCAGTAGATCGCCTCGTTCGCTCATCGAGCGGTTCCGTTTCACGTAGGGATCTATCCTTCTCATCGACTTTCTCTGCATTGCGAGCACCGAGTTGAAGCTGGAGCACCATGACCTTGAGAAGAGCTAGACTCTGAAGCATCGAGTCATCTGGTGCGCCCGCAGCGACAGCGTTGAGCTTAGAGATATTGATCGATGAGAGTAGAGAATTAGCAACTTGCAGAGCGACAGGGTCGTTGTCAGGCGGTTTGAAGAATTTGCAGAGATCATCAATCATCGACTCCAGAAGCTCGAGTGTCTTGGTGATCTCCCCTTCTTTGAGAGCCCATCGCAGTTTCTCCGACACTTTAGCCTCATCGCGCATCGCTTCAAGCTTCTTCGCCCACTCTTCCCTCTCCTGAGAGTCCTTGAACGCCATTCGGAGCATAGCCCCAAGCGAAGTCGCCGCTGAAACAGGGACATTCTCCGCAGACGCCAACGCCGGAAACTCTTGCGACAGTTCACCAAGCGAGTCCAAGAAGCCGTAAATGATAACAACGTACTTGACAGCGAGATCTCCATTCTCGACGAAGCGATTATCTCTCCAACAAGCTGAATCGGGTCCTCTGTCAAATCCCCAGTCTAGACCCCAGGCCTTGAACCGTGCGGCTTGCATCTCGAGACGAGCTTTGAAGATAAGCGCATCGGAGGCTAGCGTTTCGCCTTTTTGCCAGACCGAAAAACCATCGACGCAGCCTTGGAAGATCTGGAGGAAAAGGCTGGTCGCCCCGAGAGCGGTGCCAGCTGTGCCAGTTGGATCAGCCATAGCGATGATACCAACAAATGTCAAATTTGGACAAGAGAAATGGGATAGCTATGAAAGTCGGCCAGCGCGGATGTCCGGCATCACTGCGATGAAGGAACTGGGGGGTTGAAACTAGCTGAGCTGACGACTGGTATCATTGGCTATCATGTAGTGTGCCTCGTGAGGGGCAGCGCCACCACTATCAATATTGCTCAATAAATATTGAGCAGTGTGACAAGCTAACTGAGTTAGTGAAGTGCGGCTGAAACCGTCATCCTCATGCTGCGTCTCAGCTCCGGTCTTCAAAATATCGACGTCCCCGGTTTCATCTCCACTTGAGTCCCGAGGCTTCAAACGGGCCGTACCGCAGTGACGTTGTTCAAGTCCGCACAATGGCGATCGAAGCCAAACAGCGCGACCATGACCTCTTATCATTCATGTCCACTTTCCTCATTACGCATCAGCGCCTGGACTTATCCCTGACTCTGCTTAGCGTCCTCATCGACGACGCAAGTATTGACGTTCAAGTACGCTCCAACAAAGGCGGTTACTTCTCAGTCTGCCTTGCAAGATCAAAAGATCTTCTAGAGGCCCGCTTCCTCAATCGCAATGATGGCATATTGCCAGATGCAAGAAATCTTCCTGAGCTTGTTGCTGTCAAGATTCCGCGGCCAGATGGTGATTTAAACAGTGCCCGCAGTCGCAAGATGTGGTCTTCCATGGCGATGGAGCTGCAGATTTTGCGAAACAAGTTTATCAAGAACCATCCGAATGTCGTGCAATTATTAGGTATTTGCTGGAAATCCGTCAAAGATGGAGTGTTGATGCCTTCATTTGTACTTGAAGCAGCAGAAATTGACCTGGAAAAGTTCTTGGACAACCCCAAAGCGCTGGAGTATCGCAAGGTATTGGGTCTTGCTGTTGATATCGCGACTGGGGTTCGGGCGCTGCATGATGTTGGAATCATTCATGGCGACATAAAACCAGCCAACGTCCTTATCTTCAAGGATCCCCAACTCACGTATATCGCCAAAATTGCTGACTTTGGATCATCCCTCCTTCGATCAGATATCAAATCTCCCATGAAGCTCCCATTTGGCTCAGGGTTCTGGCAAGCACCTGAATGCCGAGACCATCTAGACGGCGACCAGCTTACCAAAGCGGATATATACTCTCTCGGTCTGGTATTATGGCGACTACTCGCTGGAGACATGATGCATTTATCACTAGACGCAGTGAAGGATAAAGGACTGACGAGAGATGCGTTCTTCAAACAGATGAAACGAAATGACGAGTTGAGAATTCCAGCTTTGGTGCATCATTGCATTATGGGCTTGGAAGATATCCTCGGCCCCGACGAGAAAGCAGAGCCCTCGAGAAGCATGTACTCGATCCACAAGATAGTTGACGACATGGCATCTGTTATTATGATGACATTAGTTCAGCCGAAGTCGCGATCCAGTATCAAAGCACTACTAGGGAACCTACGAATCGTCATGCATCAGTATCTCATATGGGAAGAGTTCCGTAGCATCTATTCCGATGACTTCAAAAAGAGTGGAACTACTAAAATGAACCCTCAAGAGCAGGACATATGGCTCCAGCCAGGTAAGCTTTCCCAACTTCCCAGCAAAGGATGGCGACTGATCAGACAGGCCTTGACGAGCCAACCGAGGACGATATCAAGAGAGTTCTACGCCTAGGAAGGTCGACGGAGTGGCTAAATCAGTCTTTCAGTCGCATTAAACTAGGGGGTTCGGTTTCAGATGTCCCTGGAATGGATGATATACCTGAGAGTGTTGCCGCTACTCATGTTGCCGAAACTTGGAAGCGATGGTGAGAGATCCCTATACCCTGGTAGGCTTTGCTAATTTGACTAGGAGAAAATTAAGAGATCCGAAGCCCGATGAGGCGATAACCCTTCGGCAGGGAAGAGCCGTTCTAGAGGTACGTGGAACTATGCTCAGAAACAAGAACGAACTGATCTTGTGTTTAGGCAGACTCATCCATGGGAACACTCAGGGTCTTACCGCCCGAGATCATAAGCAACGTTATGCGAGAAGTAAAGAAAGTCGCGAAAGATCCGAGAGAGGAACAAGCTCGTCGTACTGAGGCAGCATGGCAATACGCAATGTTTTATCTTCGAACCGTTCAGCTGCACCCCAAAAACCAAGGCACAATCGATGAATCACTCTCACTGCTTCTTCAAGCAGCAGAAGGAGGGCACTGCGGGGCTCGCGGGATTGTTAGCCACCTGCACGACTCCCTGAATCGGGACTTTCCAAGGTCGAGAGAGGTTGAGCTAGCATGGCTGAGGGATGGTGTTTGCCACGGAAGTGAGACTGCGAAACGTCGCCTGCAGTCTCTAGACCCAGACTTGTATACCCAAGCAATCGACCTACTGCGTACACGGTATTCCGGTCTTGGATTTGAAACCCCACCACAATACTGGGATCAAGAGACACTCTCGGATGACGAACTATTTCGCGAGACTCGAATCCGTCACCGGATTGGCATGGAGGCTAATCAAGAGCAGACTGTACTTCTCTGCACAACATCCAACCGTCTTCAGCTGTTAAAACAATTGACCGAACATGGCTTTGTCAACGTAAACCACGTCAACGAATGGAATGAGTCTCCTCTTCTATGGGCTTCAAGAGCAGGGCACAGAGACGTCGTCTTTCATCTGCTGGATTGCGATGCTGATCCCTCGGTCGCTAGTGACGAAGGGACTACTCCACTTCACTTTCTCAGCTCCTTTGATGACGAGGATATTCTTGAGGTGTGTCGACGACTGATTAAGGCTGGCGCAGATCTGGAAGCTCGTTCAAAGGCTGGACATCGATATCGGCGAGGCCTGGATTCAACGTACGGTGATGTTGATGGAACGCCATTGACATGGGCCGTGGCAGCGAATAATAGAGTCGCAGCCCAGGTTTTGGTCACTTCTGGTGCTGATCCGTTTGATCTTCCCGGTCTAGAGGTTTCGTACTCTGATACCTTTGGTGGCATGTCCCACGTCTCCCCTGTCTGGCTCGCTGCGATGAACCATCAATACTACATGCTCAAGATCCTGTTAAAAACTGTAACCAAAGAGAAAATCAAGGATTTTCTCAACAAGTACCGACGGAAGTTTGGGTCGAACGACATGTCTGGACATGACAACCCCATTATCGCTTGGTGCGTAACTTATGCTGCTCAAGGCATAGGTAGAAGAATTCTCTTACACGGTAAACAGCATCAAGAAGCGTTTACGAAGACTTTCGATATGTTGGTAGACTACGGCGCTGATACAGACGACATCCACCGACTGGCCGTTCAACACGGGCAGCCATTCGTGCTGGACTATATTTTCGGTTCTGGAAAGATACCGAAGCCAACGCCACGGAAGTGGATGGAGTATATTCTGATAGCAGGGGCGACACAAGATTGGATCACATTTGATGTGCTGCTTCGTCACTCACAAGCAGATAAGCTATCACCAGAACAGTGGCATCTTTACTACGGGTCTTTCACGGGTTTGCCGAACCATATTGAGTATTTGGACGTATTCAGGAAACACAGAGACCCGAAAACAGACTACTACCTTCATTACACCAAGGCCCTCATGAGCGGCAAGTTCATCCTCGCTCGGTGGTTTCACGACACCGGTCTGTGTGATCTCACACAGCAAGTCAGTACAGCAGACGAGACAATTCTGGGCTTACTCCTCCGTCGTTGTAAATCTTACTCCAACGCTACTCTTCAGCTCGAACAAGTCTTACAGCTGGATCTTCCCGACTCATGTTTCTGGAACGTTTGTAAGATGTCTGACTCCAGCTTCACTGCGCTTCATCAAGTTGCATATTTCCCTGAGTATCAGACCAGTAGTACTATGGCCAACACAGCGCTGAGACTGATCGTGCAGAAGTGGTATGAGCCAGAATATCTCAACGCTCAAGTCACAGAGGGGGAGTTCAAAGGGAGGACGGCACTGCACATAGCCGCACTGACAGCCAATGTCGGGGCTGTTCGGTACTTACTCCAAGAGGAGGAAGAGTCCCTTGACCTTACACTTCTGGACTGCAACAGCTTTAGCATCGTCGACACAGCAGCTTGGGGATTAATGAGTCAACAAGGTCGCATTAAACTATGGGATCTTCCTACAGAGTATCACAAGTCTGCTGATTTAGATCACTGGCGAAGTGTCATGGAGATCCTCGTGCGGCTGCTGAAGGCCGGGGCCAAGCCCAATAAGATTGGTCTTGCTGTGACGAGGACTGAACAGGAGAAGATCCAGGTTTTTGACCTTGAGAAGTTTAAAGTCTTTACTGTTCCGTTTCGTAAGTATATTGAACCGTGATGTGAGCTTGAGCATGTTGTTGACTTGTGATAGTGTTCTTTGGAGACAAGTTCCCCGAGGAATTGGGAGAGGAGAGATTCTGGGTTGAGGTTTCGAAGCTCAAGGTTGATCAGACGTTTTTTATTGCGAGTGCCGAGAATCTGAGCGATGAGGAGAGAGAGGCTGGAGTTATGACAAGGGTGGCGTCTTTCTACTAACAAGAACGTCTAGACTTTTAATCTTTGGTGGTCGCTCCATTGTGCAAGTTAAATATGAGGACGGGTGGACAAGGTCTTATGATGAGTTTAGGTAAGGATCATCAAAGTTTTGCGAAATCATCAAAATCTAGACTAAATGTACCTAAAAATCATCATAAACAGCTCTCCGACATTCAGCCAGTTGAGCTTGATTCCTGTCATCCATCTGGATTGTGGTAATCGATAATGGACTGTCGTAGGCAACTTCCTTCTCATTTTAAGGTCTTCTTTCGGACACTCCAGGCATCTTTGGCTTGTCCCTCTCAATTCGTCACAGCAGCCTCAACTGTAGTACTGCCATCGAGATTACCATCACCAATAGCGACAACAACAGTAGCAGCAACAAGATGCTGTGACAGGCCTTTCGAGACGTTCTCAAAGCTAATGGTCAATCGCTTCACTGGCTTTTCAGGCGTGAACAGGGAGAACAACAACGCAGCCGGCAACAGCAACACCAGCGACCACGTCTGTCTGGGTGATGGTCCTTGATACAACGGTGAAGGTGGTTACAGCGGTGGCACACTTCTTCTCCTCGGTGGGTTCTAGGTGGAGGTTTGTCCAGTGGCTGCCTGACTTGCGCCCTACCCTTCAAGAAGTGAGCCTCTCGCCTACAAATCTCAATCTTCCATCGTCAACAGCGCTCAGCGAATGAAGAAGTGGCGGCAGATCGAAAGAGGATTCAGGGTCTAGGATCGGAGGTCAGGGAGCCAGATCATCACCGTCCAATTTGTTCTTTAGCTGGGAATACAGTCGATGCTCAGATCTAGTTCCTATACGCCTCTATTCAGGCCCGAGGGCACACTCAATCAGACTATGGATGACGGCGGCCTACAAGGTTAAGCTTTAGGCTGCGAACACAGATAATGAATGACAACACGATATTTTTCCCCCTCATATAAGCTTTTACCCAGAAGCTTTCACGATGACCAATAAATCTTGTTGCAAGCCCTAGGGCATTGCGGAAGAGACCAAGAGGGTGCACACTCAATCGGAAATTGGACGCGCAAGGTCCATGTAGAGCATGTCTTCGGGAGTCGGCCATTGTGCAGCCTCCTGAAACACTTTATATTCCAGTGTAAATGGCAACTTCAGCGCAGATTTCCTATCCCGCCAAGGAACTTGGCGATATCGCCCGTGATTTCGCAGTGGTGTTCTTTTCAGTATCTCCACCATCAAAAGCCAGCGGGTTCCGCAGCCTGTGCCACATGACGGATCATCGCACCAAAGCACCCCCTTGGTGTTGTCGTTGAAGATAGGATGCTCGTCCGTATCGAATGTGAGGTTGGAAAGCCACCCAAAGCTGTCTGGGCCGGTGTTCTCCGAGAGCATCAGAAACCTAAGGATAATATAATCACCCTCGTACACCCAAAAGTAACGAGCCCCGCAATGGCGGCAATTATAGCCATGGTTTGAACATTTGACCTTTCGACTGTATGGAGCTTCGAGTCTGTGAACGGGCTTCCCAGAGGCGAGGAAACAATTGCATTCGTCGGATATCATACACGCCACGATTGAATCAATCTGTGTCGAAGCATGTTGGCAGAGACCCTCAACGCCATTTTCCTGCAATTGCTTCAGCAGACACGCCTGCAGTACTGCCATTCCTGGAAACTGTCGTTGGTTGATCTTGACCATTGGAAAAGATTTAGAACACTTAATTGCTTGTATGCCTTTTGAGTAGGACGTGCGCATCCACGGGTGACAGCCCGTGACGTTTGGTAATTTCTCAGCTCCTTTGATAATCGCAGCGTAGTGATCCGGATGTCTGCAGTGAGCATACATACCTTTCCAACAATTCGTTTGCAGCTTTGCTGAGACTTTGACATGCTCGCAAAGGTCGAATTGGCCCAGCAGCCCCACGCAGATATTGCCTCCTTTGGTATCTTGCGGGAAAAGAAGTTCTGGGTGGTTTCGATTGCATCCAGCGCAACGGATAGGTTGCCAAAGTCTCTGGAGTCGTGTTTCCAGTTCACCCGTATCGAAGAGATTGCCACAGGGTTCGCACAGTGACCTTCGTAGAAGGATTCTCTTGACCAGGCGGACTTCATCACACATGACTTCGATCATGCGGTAATGCTCATCTTCCAACTGCAGGTTCTCCCGATAGAAACTGCCAAACGTAAGATCATTGTCTAATTTGCGTAGGACCTGACATGTCTGGCTCATCATGTACCTCGAGCTATGAGATACAAAGCACATGATGTGAATCAGTAGCTCTGGTGGAAGTTGCAGTAGTCGACACCCTTGGTTTTGTTGACATCCAAGCTTCAGGGGCTCGATTGGCACCTGAAGCTCTATATCTCCTGGCACGGGTGTATCCAAGTGGCTCGCTGTTTCTCTATCATAGGATTTTAGGTGAGAGACCTCGTATGTTCCTTTCCTGGGTCGGAATCGGTCACAAATACGTTGGCTCCAGGATGATGAGTACTGTGGCTCTAATTTGAAGTGAGGCATTGTGGCGATGTTTATAGATAATCAAGGACAAGCTAAAGTAGGTTGGAGGGATAAATAAGAATCAGGAGAGATAAATAAAAGAGTGGGTGTGTTTTGTAGTATTGCCTTCATTGTCATGCGGCCATCTGAGTTGCAAGTCAGAAAGGCTAACAGCAGAAAGACGTAGCAGGAATACACACATCATGCCAGAGCTTCCATGCCCTATAAATAAACATTTTCTCAAGATCACCCGGCGAATCAGCTCTTAAAGTTCTCACATGACGCGGCTCCTTGAACTTTGTATAAGCTCAGCGAGGTGCGGAGTCCATAACCTTAAGGCATGCAAATGCTCTCCGCAGTCAACAAACTTCCCAATGCCCACAGTGATCAGAAGTTTGATTGAGATTTTTAAAGTCGGTATACCAGTTCAAAGAGGTCGGAAATAACTTTACAAATTGCCATTCTTACCTACCGCCAATCTTTTGGCTCATGGAAGATACTTTGCTTAGTGGTACTCAGCTGGCTGATGACTCCAATGAGATTCGAAAGTAGGAGAGAAGTGACTGGTTGATTCCTCGAAGCTTGATGGAGAGAATGAGCGGTCCGGATCTGTATTGAGTTGCAGTGGCTGCCAGGGTCCAAAGCATAAGCTTATGATGAGACTTTACCAAAGTTAACTAAATTCATATAAAAGAATCTCAGTCCTAAACAATCATAAGCCCCACTAAATGCTAACTAAATTATTCTAAATATATTATTAAATTTGCTTTCTTATGGATTCCACTAAATCTTAATGATTCCCTGGTTCGAGGGTCCGACACCACGACGAGAAGTCGCGTTTGGTCCCCCAAAGAGGCCTGGGAAGTTATCATCCTTATCTGGAGTGAGAGAAGCTTTGCGTCGTGCTGCAAATGCGCGGTAGTGCCAGCTCTTGGCTATGGAATTGCTGTCATAAGCCTGCTGCTTAGGATGTGCTATCTTTGTTTCATCAGCCTTTAGTGCAGAGCTGGAAGACAATAGTTTTTCCTCCCTTTGCCTTATTTCATTAAGGCCTACATAACATGCGCAGCAGCATCAGTGACAACAAGAAAGCCATCTCCCCCTCCACCTCCCCCTCCCCCTTCGGTTCAGAGTCTCTCTCCCATCTCGACGTATCGGTCAAACCCATTTCGATTGGGACCAAATCCAAGGTGATTTGGTTCCTGGAGATGAAGGCCAGGCTATGCCCGACACCGGTTTTGTGGGTGCAAACGTTCACATCAATCCCTCGGTGAGAACGGCCCCATGGAGCAGATATGCGCTCGTGACCCTGTCGTCCGGCTCAACGCTATCAAGCAAAACATTCCCACCAACATTGCCCATTTTTCGAGCCACCTCAATTACGAAGTTTCAAAAACGATCGTACCAAATGCAACAGTGCCATCACTTCTTATCGTCAAAAATTCGACCTTGCTAGCACACGCCAACGACAGCAGCAACAACAGCTAAGTTTGTTGAGTGCTTCTCCTCGGCACCAGCGGTGGCTCTCACTGTCCCCAATTACCGTCGCGGCTCGCCTAGACACCTTGTCCGTGCACAGGGTGAACTATCTTAGGGGTGGATGGGCAAAGGAGAAGGGGGCAGACAGAGATCCGCCCTAGGAGATCTCTTGCGATGAGATCCTTCGACTTGTTTCGCTTCAACCTTCACAGTAACCTCAGCAGCAGCAGAGACAACAACAACGGACGCCACCTCCACCTCGACGTGCATCTCCGATTCGGAGCGACTCTCCAATGTCGACGGTTCGACCACGTCCGGCGTCGATCCCACTTCTGTGACGAGGCAAACCACGTCCAACACCCCTGACGAAAGGCAGAGTGAGGCATCGAATTAGCCAGTTATATGTTGCTTGCGAGCGACATCAACAGCAACAGTGGCATTAGCAACGACAGCCACGCCTGTCTTGGATGTGATGATCAACACCATGGTGAAGGCACCCACCAAGGCCGCGAAGAAAGGGGGAAATTTGGAGATAGGCCAAGGGCCCAGTGTTAAACGACGACAGCGATTCAATCGAGGCTAAACAGGCGTGCAGCGCAAAGAGATCCAACGCATCAAGAAGGATATTCACGCCCTCCAGAGCCACCATAAGGCTGTTAATAGCGTCCGTTTTGTTTCTGGCTGCGATGCTCGTTTTGTTTGTGGCTCTTTTCACTCTGTCTCTGGCGTTGGGCCCAGCTCTCAGTCGCCGAAGCAACACGTCAATTAATATCTGCGACTCAACTGTCGACAGTATCGCAAACTCGGCCCCAGGAGTACCTCAAGCGTGCCATCGTATCTGTTGATAATGGCACTCATCTGTGCGGCCCACTCCCTCAATCTGGTGGGGAAAGGGGCGGACACTGTCCGGTGGCGGATGGGCGAGAAGCAAAGGTACAGTATGAGCTGGTATCCGTTATCATACCTACACTAGACACAGTTTGGAGTTGGTCATTTTGGTTGGCGGGCGGAGTTCTGCCGGTCGGAAATCCGGTTGGGTTTCAAGGAGGATAAGTCGTTCCCCATGAAGGCAGTCCAGAGTCTTTCAAACTCGCATCGGCGGGAAAAAAACACCAGTTAGCTCGTCCCAGCTGCCGCTACTCTGTTTGAATGAAACCACATCATACTGACACAAAACAAGGCCTGAGGATCTGGGTGGGGCCACGGAAATACGAATTTGGGGGGAGGATGGAGGCTGGAAGCAACGAAAACTGATTCAGAGCCTTAATTGTCTTTGACATTCACCATAGTATCGCTTGTTTTCAGGACAAAAAGTCTAACATTTGAGTCTTTCATCATAAAGCTTATGCCTGCCACACTAAGCTTTGTCAGTCTTTTGTGTAGGTTACCTAAAGCTAAAAATGGAAATGCGGTCGGTGAGTGGAGGTGGCTTGGAAATCACCCCTCTTAATGAAAAGTGTAACCTGTGTTGTGGTGAAACTTTGAGAGTAATTGATCTTTCTTGATGAATTTCTGCATTTTAGAGTTTCTGATCTCTGGCTTTCTCAGACGCTCCGTCCATTTTCCCAGGTATATAACGCTCGCCTATCATATCTTCTTTCAAATCAGTGATTATTATTTCACCCCACTCGCAAGCATCATCACCATGCCTCGCCTCAAACTAGAGTATAGCTACTCATCTTCAACGATAAGACGGCTTCTCAATCCCAACCGAGGCACTTATCGCGTTCCTATTTTTCAAGGAGAAGAGTTATTCGCTTCAGGCGCGCCCCTACCTGACGAAGGGCTCGAGTTCAGAAATCAACGAGTTCTACTACTGCTACTTCCACAAGAGCTGTTGGTCCTCATAATGCTATTGCTTCCCCACAGCTCTCTCTATATGATCCGTCAAACCTGCAGCGCCATACGCAATTTGACCGACGACTTCAAGTTCCAGGCTTTCCAGACGGATATTCTTCGAAGTGGCGAAGAGCACTCCTGTATCACCAAAGGGGGGTTCGGTGAGCTTCGAAAGATTCAACAGATACTGCTACGAAGATCCCTATGTACACCTTGCGGACGCCTATTTGACTCGGGCGAATTGGAAAGCAGATTAAAAGAACTGTGGCGACCTCGCTCCTGCATCGGATGTCATTATGAGCATCCAACACTTCTATTTCCCCAAGGTCAGAAAGTGGTCGATAGATGCGTTGGATTACTGGGCAAACTTGCCGTTTGCAAACATCTCAATATTACCGGTAAGATCGAGTCGTACGTGGGAGGCAAGACAGCGATCCACTGTCCAGATCCAGAACATGTGCTTGTCGGCAGAAGGGACTTTGGAGATCTACCAGACTTCCAAAAGTATCGCGCAGGCATTTGCGTGGACTCAACATACAAAAGGCCTTATGCAGAATTGTTCAGAACATTCCCGTTGGCAAAGATCAATCCTCAACAATATCCCGACCTGGAAGCTCTGAAGAGACATCTGATGAATCAGATAAGACAGTTGGAGCCGGGAAGCCTCTGCCTCCATGCTGCGAATCAACTCGATTCCATCGTGTCATGTCTTGTCTCAGATGACTGCGTTCTCGGGAAGTACTCCCGCTATGCTTTCCCTGACTCTAAGCTGCCTGTTTATCATGGAACCCATTTACCATCTCGTATGTGGTCTTTGTGTTCTGGACACCAATACCGTTGTCGCTACTGCGATGCCCAATATTGTTGGGTTCTCGAAGAGGAGTATGTTGCACTTTACGTTCATTTTCGAATACGCCACGTTCGTGCGGATAGCATGGATTGGCTTTCGAACCTAACTTTCGATAGCAAGGAGCACCCTATATTGAACACCTCTACTGAGGGCATACTGTGGTGCAGCGACCCTTCTTGCGGTACGAAACGTGGCTATCGCTGACTGAAGATGGTGGAAATCTTCAAGAGATCTACAATTCATTGGCATCAGATGAGTTTGAACATATTTGATCGGGAACCCGAATTTATGGTCATATTCCCTTTGAGCTTGGAATACCAAACTTTTGAGGAGACATCAATTTGGGAACCTTGACTTACGCGCTGGGACTAGCTTTGGGGATTCCTGTGGAATGAGATATTCAAGGAGTGGAAACCTGACGAATTGTGGATCATAACAAATATCTAGTTATTCCTTCGCTTCGTTCGGTAGCTTTTATCCAGATTGCCATGATGTGACCTTCAACAAAGACTACGTGTGTGAATTCAATGTGGGGTTCCAAGCGAGCTGTATTGAGTCTCAAGCAAGAACTTAAGCCAGCGGGATCAAAAAGCTAAGGTTTGAATGATTCATTCACAGCCCCAGCAAGAATCGTCTTGAGCAAGTTGACTCAAAGTTTATTAAGTAGCGCATGAGATATAAAGTCGCGTCCATATCTCTGAATCTCGAACTGCTGTTTCATTCAGGACCATTACGCCTCCCAAGTAACGACACCATATTAAAAATGTCTCACCTTGAAGTGCTTGATATTATCATCCTTATTCTGGAAGGGTTGTTGGGCATCGTTACAATATGCGAATCGGGATACAAGATCTATAAAGAGTACAAGTCTTACATGGAGGACAGAAAGAAGAGAATGAAGGTCAGTTCGGATTTGTTACCTATCTGCATCGCAGACTAATATTGCCTGCAGAATAAGATGATGCGGGATTGGGATGGTCCGGACGAGAATGATATGGAGATGGGCTGGGGAGCAAACTCCTCCTAGACATCACCTCCCTACTATCGACATGGCCAAGGAGATTACACGAGAGAACTGAGTCTTACAACAGAGGTTCAAGATGCCCCTGTGTGGAAAGGGCTGGAGCGATTATCTGACGAGCAACAAGCTGTGCTTGATGATGAGCAACTAGAGCATGAGCGCGTATGGGAATTTGAGTTGGACAAGATGGAACGCGAGGCCAGACGAATACTTCCGGGTGGTTTGCCTTACGGGAAGTCAAGCTACAATATGAGGTGAAAGATCGTCTAGGTCACGAAATTCTTACACATTCAATACATGCTTATGAAGATTAAATACAAACTGACATGCTTGAAATGACCGGAGATTTACGTCCAGTTCTGGGGGATCGGATGGCGGATGAGGACGGAATAATCTCTAAATATTACAAGGAAGATTCAGTGTCTTGGTCTGAGTCTCATATTTTATCCTTTTTCTGAACACAAATGCCAGGGAAAAAAGCTTATAGCCACCTCTTCCAACCTCAAAACAATTTCTAAACTGTACCCCGTAGCTAGGTGTGTTACTTGCAGTTGAGAGTTGTGGCTGAGAGCTTAAATCAGCACGAAACTTAGATAATTTACAGAACAGAAAACGCACAAAAGTTAATAAGTCTCTCGAGGAGTAATCCATTATCTCTTGACGTCATACAAGAACATCATTCTTATTGATAAGGGCCCTGGCACCTCGGAACCTCCCTTCTACATGTTCCCAGCACCAGTCTCCCAGCTACGACTTCACAAAATGGAAGATATTCTGGCCGACACCCACTTGCTGGGCAGAAACTTCTTTGAGCAACTATACCGTAGGAACAACTCAGTAACGACGTTAGTTTCTGCTGAGGCCCGATACGTTGAGCCCGGCTACCATGAGTGTTACGTGGTCGGTGCGCCGTACAAGGAATCCTCAAGCGTATGGGACCGCGCGCATGTTGTCGGGATCGATATTCCTCCTGATCCAGAATTTAGCTACAAAGAAGGTGTAGAGCGACTTTTGGATCTTGCCAGGGAGGTGTTCCTACACCAACCAACAAGAGTCTACCTGTTCGGTCTCTTCGAGACGGGCAAGCAGAGGGAGTTTTGGGTCTTTGACAGGACTGGACTCTACCGATCGGGATTGTTCGACGATGAATGCAACCTCCAAGCCTTACTCGATCGGTATGGAAACATGACTGAGCTTGAGCTTGGCAAGAATCCATTTATCAAGCAAGAGCTCGGTGGGCCCCAGTATATGTACATCAAGGGCGATGAGTCCCAAATGGCGCCTTACGAGTCCGATTGCAGCAGGGGATACAAACTTGTCCTCGACGAAAAACCTGTCTCAATCCCTCGCGAAATTGTCAGTGTAAGGCCGACTTGGTATCGCGCCACAGACAAATTCAACAACATGTTTCTTGTCAGATTTTCAGGAAAGAAACTAAACCAGGATGAAGAAAAGTTCCTGCGTCGAACCAAGGAGCGTAATGTCTGGGGCATCATGCATCCCATCGACTACCAATATATCGAGGCCGGGCGCCTATCTTGTACAGTCATGCCCCGCTTTGGTCGCCCCATCGCCTACTATGACACTGTCTTGGAGGTTCTCGAATGCATGCGTGACGCAATCAAGGCTCACCGATCGCTGTACACAGATGCCAAGATTCTTCATCGGAATATCTGCTTACACAACCTCTTCATCCCCCACCCCGAAAATAACAGCCCAGACGCTTCCAAAGGAATTCTCTTCGGTTTTGACACCGCCATGGACTTGGAGATCGAACCCAAGAAACCCTACCAGCTGGATGGGACCGAGTCATTCGTTGCCATTGACTTATCGCGCAGCAGCGACGGTCGCGTTGTTCCTACATATCGCCACGATCTCGAGTCTTTCTTCTACGTGTTCTTGTTCATAGCAATCGGTGGACATCGGGGGCTACCTGGCGAAAGTCGATTGAAGCTGTGGCGGGCCGGGGTCACGACCTGGTCAGAGATCGCTGAGAATAAAAGAAAGGACATTTCCAGCAACGACAACTTTGCTGCCATCCTTGCCGAGTTTCGCCAAGAGTTCAAGGGTCTAGAGAGTCTGGCTTATGCCCTTCGCGATGTGCTCTTCTTCCCTGATGGAAACAATTTCTTTACAGGCACGAATATGGACGTCGAGGCCACGGAAAAGCTGTATGGTGGCATGATTGGCGCGTTTGAGAAGGCGGTTATTGAGAAAAGAGACTAAAGCTGAGGACTGTTGTAGATGCATGGGCATTAAGTCTGATATTACCATGATCGCAAGTCGCGAAAGGATGAGAATTGTCAAAGATTTACTAGGGAAGACCATAAAACTTAGGACCTTGGCCCTAAGAATTACAAAGCTTTAGGCAAGCTCTTCTAATTTAGACGACTCTTTAACAAGTTTATTTTGGGATCCTCTCCTGGGGTGCACTAAGACTCTATTAAGCAATTCAGGCTGAAGCCCATGATCTTCGATTCTTCCCCGAACACGACAGATTACGGGGTAAAACAACGCTCAATCTCTCCTCCAATCATGAAACCCTCATTTATCCTCATCGTCCCGGGTAATCCAGTTTTCTCTTGCTGATCCTTGAACAGAAGTCCCATCAGCGCTATCGTAGCGTCACGCTAGGGGTATTCCCCCGTCAGAGATCCACCAAAGGGGTGTCTCGTATTCGGATCATGAGAATCCCTCAGACTAAAATCTTGGATAAGCGACGAAATCGATCTGCTATTTAGTATCTCGCACGACCTCAACTGGCTTGGATTTGTGTGACCTCATCATCACAATGTTGCGGGAAGCTGTGTACAGTATCGCGGGCTTCGTCCTGCTTGCCTACACGGCAGAATGGATTATCTCACTACTCGACGACCCGAGGGAGCCCAAGAGACTACAGTCTAAAATACCGCTCTTTGGTCACTTATGGGGTATGATGAAGTATAGTTCTGGTTACCATGGAATCACAAGGTACTTTCAGCCCTCAACTCTCCCGACGCAAACTGACTGTGAGGAAGCAAACAAACAAACGAGGAAATGTACACAGTCGCCATCTTCAACACAAAGCTCTACATCGCGAAAACATCCCGTCTCATCCCTCTGATCCAAAAGACATCCAAGACTCTGTCCTTCCGACCATTCATGCAAACAGCCGCTAAGCTTATGGGCGATGCGAAACCCGAGACGTTCGAGGTTTTTGGGACAGAATGGGTTGATTCGTTTAGTCACGCTCATAAGAACGGTCTTGCTACGGGACCGTTCCTTGATGAGCAGAATCTTCGAATGGGAGATCGTGCTTTGATCGACATTGAGCAACTTCTGCCGAAAGAGACAAATGGGGTTTCAAAGGTCAACTTGCTGGAGTGGGCGCAGTATGCTGTTGTTCAGGCTAGTGCTTGTGGAATCTTTGGTGTCGAGCATCCTTTTCTTGATCCAAAGGTTGACCAAGCCTTTTGGTAAGCACCCTCTTTGATGACGCCAGTCCAACATCTAACAGGATAGGAAATGGCAATCGTATCTTCCTCTTCACATGGTAAACCTCGACATCACTGGCAAAGGGTACGCCGCCCGCCAAATTGTCTTTGACGCTTTCCGCAAGTATAACAGGAATCTTCCCAGCGATGTATCATTCATCTACAAAGAGCGTCTCCGCTCAATGAGGGAAGCTGGTATCGATGAAGATGACATTTGCAAGCAACAAGCTACTTTTGGAACTGCTGCTTTCGCCAACACTGTTCCGATCATGTACTGGACTATCTACGAACTCTTCTCTCGACCGGATCTTGTAGAAGAGGTGCGGAAAGAGGTTATTGGGCAAGCTGTCAGTGGAGATAAGGAATCTGGCTTCCAAGTCGACGTCGCTGCTCTGAAGACTAAGTGTCCCTTGACTCTATCCGTTTTCCAGGAGACTCAACGATTAAGGCATGTTCATGCGAACATCCGCAAAGTCACAGAAGACACCATCCTCGACGGCAAATATCTCCTCAAAGCAGGCCACTACGTGATGATGCCCGGCCAACCCGTGCACACCAACGCATCAACATGGGGACCAACGGCTGACCAATTCGATCCATATCGCTTCACCAAAGACTCATCAGACCGAAAAGCCAGCAGTTTTGTCGCATGGGGCGCACCGCCTCATCTTTGCCCGGCGCGCCAATTCGCTACTACTGAGATTCTTATTGTGATCGCGCTTTTGGCTGTGAGGAGCGATATTGCGCCTGTGAGGGGGGAGTGGGTGAAGAACCCGGCGCTGAACACGGGGGACATGGCGACTGTTTATACGCCGAAGAAGAGTGTGGAGGTGGAGGTTAGGAAGAGGGAGGATTGGGATGGAGAGTGGAGTTTGAGAATGGGAGAGAGTAAGACGAGAATTTCTCTTGCTTCTGGTTAAAAATGCCTCGATTTCACCTGTACATAGTCTTAGAATAGACGTTCCTGAGCGGTCAAAAGACTTGGGTAACTTTATATGAATTCAGAACGCCTTTTGCTGAGTTTAGTTGAATACCCTACATCAAGCTCTGCTGTCTTCTCGTTCCCTGGCAATGAGGTCTTTGCAACGTGAACTTCTGCGTGTAACAAAGACCCAATCAACCCCAAAATTAATCACGCACAGAACAAGCAGTATTTTTCACACTTACTCTCTCATACAAAATGTGAATCATGTGCAACATCATGAGTCACCGCGTCAGTGGTAAGCTGACTCTCAAGGTCTGCAGACCAATATTCGGATCACATTGGATCGGCCGCCCGATAATCCCGAGCTGAACATCTCACACGACACGAAAACTACACAAGATCTTCAAATACCCACTAAAAAGTCCCGGGAGTCATTCGGGACGCCTTATGAGGCTGAAAATCACGGTCATTGCCTTGATTCTCTGGCGCGGTTGCCTGCCGTGGGAGGGAAAGAAAAGCTCTAGCTGGAACTGAAGCTGACATAATAAAGAGGTCTAGAGCTGTAAAAATCTCACATGAAGCTTGGCTAGTTCTTTTTTTACATCAGATTAGTGGCCTCGAGTTTTCTGACTGCCGTTGTAGTGCATCCAATGAAAATTGCTTCGTTGGTGAGGGATATCCACTTTGGGGGCTGAGTAATTGATTCATGCAGGTTTGATGAGGGGTCACAGACGCAAGACGCAGTGATTAACAAAAAGAGCTGCCTTGGATCACCGTAAGCAACGACTATTTCAACCTCCCTCACCTCGATCTCATTCTTATACATCTCGCCTTTACCTCCAAATAAATAAATCATACGCATCTTATAGACCACTATCTCACCATCCTCAGCTGCCAACCCTGGACCGCCAGGATGACAATCGACCAGGATCCCATCCTCACTAAACTCCGCGATGTATCCCTCTCAGCCGTAGAGAACGGCGTCAGCACACATCACACGGCAGAACAAGAACATCCCGCCACTGCAGGCCTTCTTTCAGAGCGAGAAAGCGAAGCTTGGCAAAGGGCCATAGAGAAGGTCGTCCGATGCGTTGTGTCGGTCAAGTTCTCGCACCCTTATTCGTTTGATACCGAGACTAGCAAGACGAGCGAAGCAACTGGCTTTGTTGTCGATGCGGAAAAGGGTATTATCCTCACTAATAGACATGTCGTCGGTCCTGGGCCCTTTTCGGGGTACATTGTCTTCAATAACCAGGAAGAAGTCGATGCGTACCCCATATATCGCGATCCAGTACACGACTTTGGCTTTTTGAAGTTTGATCCCAAGGCTGTTAAATATATGACTCTCACCGCGATGGAACTCAGACCCGACCTCGCAAAGGGTAAGTCCCCTGCCCCAGAGGGAGCAAGAAAACTTGGGATTTTGGATGAGGATGTCAAATAAACTTAGGAGAGAATCTCCTAAGCTTAGGCTAAGTTAGGACCTTGGATGAGGATCGCAAATAAACTTAGGAGAGAGTCTCCTAAGTTTAGGCTAACTTACCTAAATATTTCCATTGCTTAGGGCCAAGGTCCCAAGTTCTCTTGCCCTTGTACCTAGCCTCAGATTTATATCACACAGCTAACCTAACCTGACACAGTTGGCACCGAGATCAAAGTCATCGGTAATGATAGCGGCGAAAAGTTAGGCATTCTGTCCGGTTTCATAAGCCGTCTTGACAGAAATGCTCCTATATACGATGGTTACATGGACTTCAACACGTGTTACTTTCAAGCCAATGCCTCAGCGTCAGGAGGAAGTTCCGGAAGTCCTGTTGTCAATGTTGACGGGCACGGTATCGCTCTTCAAGCAGGCGGGCGCACCGACGGGTCAACGGATTACTTCCTCCCCCTTGATGGACCGCTACGTGCATTGAAGCAGATCCAATGTGGTGAGAAGGTAAAAAGAGGTGAAATTCAGACTGTCTTCAAATTGAAGCCGTTCGATGAGTGCCGACGGCTGGGGTTGAGTCCTGAGTGGGAGAGTGTTCTGCGCAAATCTTTTCCCGGGGAGGATAACGTCATAGTCGCTATGGACGTCTTACCCGAGGGTCCTTCGGACGAAAAGTTAAAAGAGGGTGATATTCTCCTCAAAATCAACGGGGATCTCGTGACACAATTCCTGCGCCTCAACGAAATCTTCGACTCCAACATCGGCAAAACAGTACGAATTCTCGTTCAAAGAGACGGCCAAGACGTCGAAGAAGATATCCTAGTCCAAGACCTTTGTGAAATCACACCGGACCGCTTCGTCACCGTCGGAGCAGCCTGTTTTCACGACCTATCATACCAAATCGCCCAACGATACTTCCTCCCCTGCCGCGGCGTATACGTCAGTAAATCCGGACCATTTCACCCTACACACGATAACTACATTATGGTTGACAGCGTGAATCACAAAAAGACGCCGGACCTCGATGCTTTTGTGCAGGTGATGAAGGATATACCCGACAGAGCACGCGTGGCCATCAAATTCTGGTATGTTTGGGAACCGCAAACTGTGCGAACGGCTGTTGTGCCTATTGATCGGCATTGGTTCCAGCGCATGAAGATGTTCAAGAGGAATGACAACACCGGGGTCTGGGATGTTGAGGTACTCGCTGAGCCGTTGCCTGCTATTCGACCGCCGCGGCTGAGTGCGTCTTTTGATGCGCTGGAGCATATCGCTCAGCGTGAAATTGCCGAGATTGCGAGGAGTTTTGTCCACGTGCGATTCTCTTCGCCAGTTCTTATCGATGGACAATCCGCGCGCATTAAATTGGGAATGGGGCTTGTTGTCAACGCTGATCGAGGCTACGTCATCGTTTCGCGAACTGTTGTGCCGACAAAGCTGTGCGATATCGAACTTACCTTTGCCGATTCGGTGCTTGTTCCAGGAAAGGTCGTATTCTTGCATCCTGCGCATCACTACGCTATCATCCAATACGACGCTAGCCTCGTTGATGCGCCTGTCAAAAGCGCCATCTTCAGCACTGAGAGGATCTCACAGGGTGCACCGACGTTCTTCGTGGGGCATAATGATTGCGATGAGATGGTGTATGCCTCAACAGCTGTGACAAAAGTGATTCCTCTTGAGAGAGAACCACCAAATCCACCCCGCGGCCGCCCCGTCAACGTCGATCGTATTGATGTTGAGACTCGAATCGGAAATCACTGTGGGAGCGGCGTGCTAATCCGCGAAGATGGCGTCGTTCAGGCTCTTTGGGTCGTGTACGAGATGGAAGATCTCGACGAAGCGTGTTTCGGCTTAAGCTCACAAGCTATCGCGCCCATCGCTGAGAAGCTAAGCCAAGGCATCGTCCCGACCTTACGCAGTCTCTCCATCGAGCTCGAGGCCGTTACCATGATTGAAGCACGGGTCATGGGCGTAGCCGAGGAGTGGATCGAAAAGGTTCAGAGCAAGTCCTCCTCCGACCGACGCCTCTTCATGGTAAAACGCGGCCCGAAGCAACTCCCTGGTCAGCTCGGCGAAGGTGACGTCCTACTGACGCTCGACGACAAGCTTATCACGCAGCTCCACGACGTAGACGTCATGTACTGGAAAGAGAGACTCGACGTCGTCGCTGTGCGAAATGGCGAAGAGATCACTTTCAAGGCGCAGACGGTCTCTGAAGATGAATTTGAGACCTCACGTGTTGTTAACTTCTGCGGCTTGACGGCACAAAAGCCACATCGCACTGTGCGACAGAGTATCAAAAAGCTGCCGAGTGAAGTGTACATCACAAGCTGGTTCATAGGATCGCCGGCGAACTTATATAACGTCTACGCAACGACTTTTATCACGCATATCGATAATAAGCCGACACCAGACCTCGAGTCACTCGTCGGGATCGTCGCAAGCATCCCTGATAAAACCTGTAAGTTCTCTTCTAATTGATGTAAAACTTGGGATACTTTATTATAAGTGGTAAAAGATCATCTAAAGGTTTACTAAACTTATAAAGATTTACCTAAATCTGCTTACCACTTAGGAAACTCGGTCCTTAGGTCCCCGTTCAAGGAAGACGTAACTAACAAGAGCGCAGATTTCAAGATCAAGATGATGAACTACACCGGAACTCCTTCCGTTGTAACAATCAAGAAGGATGAGCGATACTGGCCTACCGTTGAGTGGCTTCGCGATGAGACGCATGTTGAAGGATGGAAGAGGGTGACGTATGAGAATGGTCAGGTTATACAGGGCGAGGGTCTTTATGGTATTACACTGTGAGCGAGGTGTTGGTAGACAATGGGTTCATGACTTGTATTATATGCTTAGAATACTCCATTCATACACCGCTCTGAGAGCGATTTCACTACTTATCACGACTTGCGCTTCTAATGAAATGTAAATGAGACGGTGAGTATGCACGGTCTTCATGATGAGCCGTTAATTGAGAACCCCGCTGTAAGCACGAAGTAGGCCGCGGCACCAGGGAAGACAAGAGAGATTCGTATCACCTTGGGGGGCAAGAAAACAGCGAACTTTCATATAGGGTGTCAAGATAAACTCAGGAGAGGTTATCCTAAGCTTAGGCTATATTACCTAAGGTTTTTTATTACTTAGGATTAAGATCGTGTAGTTTCTTTCCTCTCCTAGAATTACTATAGCATAAATATTTTATAGAGATTCTTGTCAAATATTTAGGCAGACTTAGCCTGTCTTTAGACCAGACCTTGACAGTTGTACCTCAAGGTCGGAAGATTTCTGTCAGGTAGCTCCTCTTCCAGCGGGTCTAGCGCGCCGACTGCCTACCAGAACTAGGCACCAGCCCCATTTACAGGGGTTGCTCTAGTGCTGAGCAGAACCTTATAAGGCGCTCACTCAACGACTCAAAAATGCTTCAACTCAACTTCACCAATCTCACCTCATCTCACCTCAATCATCACACCATGGCTTCTGGCGACTCAAGACTGGTCACTGAGATATGGGACAACATCTGTTCATTCCTCACACCACTAAATCTCTCCAATCTTCGCCTCACGTCTCACAGACTCAATGGTATCGCGCGGCCTTGGAAATTCAGAAGCTTGCGCCTCGAAGCATTCAATCCACCATCTGTTGAGCGATTTATCCAGATCGCCAAGACCCCCGAACTACGAGGCTTAGTTCGCGAAATCACTATTGACACGCGCATTGAGTTTGACTTTGAGTACCTCTGCAATGACTCCTACATCTTCCCCATTGCCTTCATGAACGCGCTCCCCCACTTACGCTGCTTCACCAACGTTACGGCACTGCACATTCGCTTTGAAGAGCACTGTGGTGAAGATGATCGTTACTCTCAGACAATCGAAGAAACGTTTGAGTTGCGATATCGCGTGCTTGATACTATCCTACACTGCGCTGCGGGGTTGTGGACACTGGAGAAGCAGATCAAGATTGACCAGGTTATGGAGGGATATATTTATCTGGATGAGGATGAGGATGAGAGGTTTGACTACAGTGATCAGGATCTGGAGTTCACTCATGATAAGCCGTTCCCGCTGAAGGAGTTGACGATTACGCATCTTGCGGATTATGATGATCCCAATCTTGCTTCGTCTGAGGCCTGGAAGACGATCATCTCTCTACCAAGTCTCGTCGACTTGAGGCTTTTCGTCACAACAGAAGAGTGCGATGCTTCACCTGAGAGCACGATTCACTATATTGAGAAGTACGATTTCTTCGGCAACATCCACAATACGTGGCTCTCATCTAGCATTACGGATCATTTGCGTGTACTGTCATTATACTTTAAAGACTACTGGGGCTGGTTTCCCATCATGGACTTTCGAAACATTGGTGAGGATTCGCCATTCCCTCACCTCAAAGTTCTTGCTCTCGGGAACTACGTCTTTACTCACGAGTGGCAGATCGAGTGGTTTGCGAAGCTCGGCAAGGAGAATGGCAGTGGAGGTCTCGAGGAGCTGTATCTTGATGATTGTCCCATCCTGTACCATGCTCGTCAGCTTCGTATTGGAGACGATGGGTATGCTGATCATACAGCTCATACAGGGCAAGGCGGTACAGGAAGAGGCTGGAACCCTATCAAACGCGACTTTCCCATCCGATGGCATCAAATCCTTTCTCAGTGGAGGGATTCGATGAAGGGTTTGAAGACTCTTCGCGTTGGCCATGGATGCTGGTGGGAGTGTCCTAAAGATACTCGCCAGGTGATCCTACAAGACCCTGACTACAAGGACATCGACCTGCAAGCTATGGATCATCGCCTGACGCGAAACCTGCACCGAGACTTTGCTTGTCCTCCCCCAACGGATGAGGAATACTGGGATGGGCAGAATACCTTTGTGTCTGAGAAGCATAGATATGGGACTGGTATTAGCAACGAGAGAAAGGTTCGGATGCAGTATATTGAGTATAATTGTGGTCTCGGGCCTTCGCCGTGGTTGGAGAAGAATTCGCGGTATCGTGGTGACGAGAAGGGATTTGAGCCGGAGAAGGGGACGCTGGAGAAAGATAATGCTGCGTGGGATTTGATCATGGCTGCGACTCGAGCGAGACGTCACGGTCTTGATGTTTGAGCTTTCAGAGCTTGACGTCATTGGGTTTATGGTTGTTCATGTACAATTGATGTTCCTTAGACCATCATAGTGTTCAGGGGTCAAGATTTGTATACACCATTTTCTTTGTTCAGAGGATATGCCTGATTTAACATTACCTTTCGCTACCGTTCAGCAACCTTAATTGTCAGAACATAGGAACATCGCCATTTTTCTCTTGTGCGAAAAGAAAGATAGACTTTATTCACACTTTGCAGATTGAACTTAGAAACGTAAGTTTAGAGATGACCCTTTTATCAATAGTGCACTCCCCATTCTTCCAAAGAGGTTTATACGCATAACGACGGTATCTGATAAGATGTATGGGCATATCTTTTAAGCTGCTACAGTCCGTCTCTTATTACTGCTCTCGTTACTGACAGGTAGGGGTTCTGCCAGCTGCTGACACTGCTATCAAATTTCACGCTGTCACCTGACCTCAGACAACACGTTCCTAAGTCTAATGTAACTTTAGGCTCACCTCATAAATAAACATCGCCTTCATTTCAGCGCTTCTTCAAATCATCAACACCAACCCACCACCAAAATGTCCTCTCCCAGCAAAGCCCCCCAGCGCAGCGACATGATCCTCGCAATGAACGACCCCTACATGCAACAAATCATCGACGGCACCAAGACATACGAGTTCCGCAAGTACAACATGGCAGGCATCAAGCGCATCTGGTTCTACCGCACTGCTCCCCACTCCGCCATAACTCACATATGTCCCGTCAACGAAGCCGTCACGAGAAACTCCGGCGACGCGCCCCTGCCTGAAGATGGGCTGGGAAACAAGAATTACAATGAGAAGGACGCTGATTACGAGGGCTATGACTTTGCGTATCGGATTAATGCGGTTTACGAGATTCAGGCTGAGGGTGGACGGGGAATTACTTGGGCGATGATGCGGGATGTGCACGGAATGAAGATTGCACCACGGGGAAGAGTCCGGGTGCCCGAATCAATGATTGCGCAGTATAGCTTGGAGGATCAGAAGAAGGTTTTGTAAGGTGATTATCCTCTTGGTAGCGGTTCATATGCCTTCAAAACCCGCTACCAATTATATCTCAAATCGCTGCTATCTGATCCAGGCAGACGGACTGAAGTCAACATCATAATACAGCCCAATAGCCCAGCCCATATCGGAACAATGTGCAGTCTTGGCCTTGCATTCGTCCTCGCCCGACGTCTCCTAGACGAAGGGTTAGATGTTTCAGTTACTTGTGATCTCTGGGACCGTGCCAAAGGCGAGCCATTGACTATTGACGGTGTCGATTACCAGAAGAGCCTTCGTGACAAGGGGAAGTTCCAGAAGCACCTCCCGGGCTATGTTCAGATCACAAACGAGCTTGCTAGCCGGTACAGAGTTCATCACCGCATCAGGATGGAAGAGGAGTTCATGAGCAACCCTGAGATACCTGACGTCCTTCGCGAAGTAATTGTCAAGCGGGAATTCTATGGCAAGGTCCTGGCACCGGAGCGAGGGTCACTGGCTATCCGGGCTTCATGTCCCGAATGTGGATTGGTGGAGAAGTATGGTACTCGGAATGCGTATGCGGAAGATGGATCGGCCGTCACGTTCCACTGTCCTTTACATGGCCCTTTCACCTGCAACACACAAACCGAGAGCAACCGATTCCAGTTCAACTGCCAGCTCTTTAACCTTATCCTTGGACTATTCTACCAAAGAACACCTTACAATTGGATTGAAATTTGTGGAAGTGACTATGCTGGATTCTGGCAGGAACAACTACTATGGCGATTTCTGTCCAAGCCAGCAATCATCGTCTACACTCCTCTGATCTCTGACTGGTCTGGATCCAAGGTTTCAAAGTCGCTATACCTTCAAGACAAAGCGTACCGATACTTGCGGGACTCTGGGCAGGAGTATCTGCTGAATTATGAGGTCTGCCGCCGGGAGAACAAAGACCTTGCAATTTTGTGGAAGGAGGTTGAGTTGTGGGTTGATGAACCCTATCGACTTTTCCGTGGCTACAGCATTCATTACTTACATCTCTTGTTCGAAGGGCATGCAATTGGGCTTGGGACTATCCACAAATAGAAGCTCGATCACAGACTTGGTCAAGCTTTCCAGCATGCCCGAATTTTGTAGCTTATCTATCCTTTCGTTGTGTTAAAAGCCACTTTCATTACTTGAGTGCATCTCCTCGTGTTCATCATCAATATTATGTTGTATATCTGCAATAATACGCCAGAACATGTCGCGTAAAGCTGTTAACATATTCGCACGATCATAAAGTGAACAGAGTCTGTTTCATAATTCATAGACCCCCCTCGCCTCGGTTCTGACGCCACTACGGCTTGCCCGTTACAAGAACAAGTGCGACGTGCTAGGGACTTATCATGGTCTTTTTTCATCCGATAAGTACATTAATCCATTAAAGGTGACCACCGGAGTGCTGTGGCTTTCATCCGGACAAATCTATGATCCTCTAATACAGTATCAGAGTAGATGAGGACACGAGTATAGCTGTGAACCTGGAGCAATTGTCAATGGCAAAAGCTCAGGTTGATCAAGAGGAAAATATTCTTTTGTTTAAATGGTTATGATATTGTCAGAATGTCAACAGTTGCAACTCCAGATAATGTGTTAGTTTGCCTATCAGCCACGTAATTTTCGCGAGGCTATCGCACTGCTGTTCCATTCTCAGCGCGTACTTCAACTAACAGACGCGTCTACTCCGCGAGAAAGACGTGTTCGTACTACTTCCGGCACTGCAAGTCAAAATCTATGACGTCCGCCATGTGTTCCTGGTAATGTTCTCCAGCTCTACCAATGCATGCCACTGGACCACTACCTCTTTGGGCCTTGGCAAACCCTCACATTGGTCGAAGCACTTATAACTCTCAAGTTAATGGACTTCCCTTCCAGGCATCTCTCTCGAGAAGCGGCTACATTGGCTAAGTGGACATCGAGCTGCCAGTGCCAGGTATTGTTCACTTGTCATGATGTTCAGTTTGATGTTACACTGTCAGATCAGGAGGAGAATCTCGCGACTAAGACAAACCCTTCGCTCCAACTCGAGAGTTTTGAAACTCTTCTTCTTACAAACCCATCAAGACTCTTGAGCTGAGATATTCCTTTGATATCTCATCTCTTTCTTCATCTACTTACATCGCAACACTTCTACTTCCATCTCCATCTCACTTCTATCAACAACACTAAAGCACTTCGACTTTCATCAACATCTCCTTCTATCAACTTACACAAGAGCCTTCCCACTTTCATCTCATCTCCCTTTCCATCCACCCTCATCAGAACACTTCACTCTTTCCTTGAACAGCAAATCTTACCATCAAAGGCCACTGTCATCATCAACATCTCTCTCCATCAACTCTCTCTCTCTACCAACTCATACCAACATACTCCGACTCTTATCATCAACGACGCCCCTTACCAACAAAAACACTTATCAACAACACCCATTTCTTCTTCACTATGTTCTCGTTCTTGACCTCCAAGAAGAAGACCGTGGTTCGCAACCGCGAGCTCGGCCCCGGCGGTGTCCACCTCAAGGACTATGGCATCCCCGGCCGCACCAACCTAGTCGAGGCCCTTTCCGACATGGAGGATGAAGATGATCCAGTTTCTGATCATCTTGATGACAACGATGTCTGGGTCGACTTGGATGCCCAGAAGGACACCATCATGGCCGCCCTTCAGCCCAAGTCTAACGTCCAACTCAAGTCTGGCGTAACTGTCAAGGCTACTGTCGGAATGATCAATGAACTTCAGGCTTGCATCATTGATAACTACTTCACCGTTGAAGGAATCCAGCGTCGAGCGGCCAGTCTCAAGGACTCGGTCCACAACTGGTTGGAGGGTGTTGACGACTCGGATGTTGCCAACGAGTCCAACGACTCATCTGAGGATGAGCACTCTGTCTCTTCAAAGGACTCCATTGGCGCGGAGGCCAACATCTACCAGCTTCCCAAGTCTGAGTCCTTCCTCAAGACCAACTTCAACGGTCCCGTCTACGACAATGAGAAGCGATTGACTGCTTTCAATGACCGCATCCTCTCCTCCGCTGTCTACTGGGGAAAGGTCGATGATGAATCTGACATCGAGATGCCCGCTTTCTTCAAGCCTGGCAACTAAACGTCTTGTAATATGGGTGACTGTTTGGATCTGAAGTTGTAGCACGATGCTCCTTCGGAAATGCTTTCTTGATGACACGATTGCTTTTGTTCACGGTACGGATTTGCATTGGACCCTGGAGTTTTGGCATGGTAATGCTCCTTTGAGAATGTTCTCTTGACAGTACGAGAAGATGTTAGACTATGAACGGTGCTATGGGATCTGGTATATGTCTGGGATAGTCTCCTGAGATGGATGTCCGTTGTGATAAGTAAATTAGGTCTAGATACTAGCAGAGGTAGTCTAGCATGAATTGAGTGATAGCATTAAATCCTGATCCCAACATGCAATTGTGACAAACCCCATTTTTTGCCGATATTAACTGTTTTATGCAACATCCTGCATAAAATTCACACGTACCTCGGATGACACCCAAGGATTCACATTTGACAATGGGTCGTTTCCTCCGTCTATCATGGTCCATCCCCCGTCAACCGTCACATCCAACGGTCGAGCAATGCCGGGGTAAATGATGCGACCGTTTAAACTAAAAAATCTCTAGTCCCATTACGTGTCAACTTCCCCCTTGTCAAAGGATTCGGGGATTTTGTTCTGCAGCAGCCAACAGGTGGGGGCGACCAAGGTCTGTTCTAGGCAGGCAAATAAAAAAGAAAAGTATCATGACAGTAGCAGGGGAACCCGAGCTGTTGGCTCTAGCAGTCAACGTGCCTTAGTGTTGTAATGCTACGACGTTGAGATGCATGGCACCCATGACTTTTGCGGGAATTAGTGCATGTCAGTATCTTTTTGCTCCGCTTGACCTGACAGTGGACGAGTTATTATCAGTCGAGGCAATCACTGCAAAGCGTTTCAGGGGATCCTGATCTGCGTTTGTGTCATCCACTTAGCCGGATCCTTTGGTTACCTTCGGATGGAGCAGCGTAGTATTTTCGTAACCGTTGGATGCGTCCAAAGTGGGTATACGACCCGTGTCGTTGGTCCAGGGGTGTTCAGCACATGTCATACAAGGACCGTGGGCCATGGTATGATTGCAGAAACCCGCCTGCCTGCCCGCGCAGTCTCGCTTGCTGAGTCGTACAGTACTGCAAGTCAAGTATGGTGAATACTACTCTGCATGACTCCACGCGGACGTCTCGTCACCAGAAAAGCGCCGGGTCTTATCACATCACCCATGCCCATGCCGGCACTGCCATCGAATCACACCAGGAGAAGTGTCATCACGTGCCGAGCTAGCAAGCAGGATAACGATATCAGTCAAAAAAACAAACACCCTGGATGCAGAGCTGTTGGGTGGTTTATCACATCCTTGCTGGCTTCACTTGTTCCAGCCCCTGGCCCGTTGTAGCCGTTATGGAGTCGTCCCGAACCGATGCTGCCGTCGTCAGTTCATGGTCCGTTCACCGCCGCGGCAATCGAAAAAGAACATAAATCCTACGGTGGCGCAATTCCTCGCGTGAAGTTCTGGGTAGATCCGCTATCCATGCTTCTTCCTCTTCTTCACATACACAATGCCTCACAAAGACTTCCCCATCAGACCTCTGGTCCGTGCTTTTGACCCCGTTGGTCCAGACACTCTAGGACCTCCCGACCTTGACTTTGCTTCACTGTTCAGGGAGAGAAACGTCCCTGAAGATGCTCCTCTGACGCTGAAGCCTGAACAGCTGGGCGTACCATGGCATACTTCTCTCCCATGGGTGAGACAGTCCAAGTGGTGGGTTCAGGGTGAAGCAGCTGGAAGGGATTTGGTGAATCGAATCAGTGCCGACAAAGCGTCTGAGAGAGGAGCTCTACCTGTGGAGTTTATGGACGAGCGCCGAAAAGCAAAGATTAACGAGCTCGTTGAAGATGCGGTTTCATGTGCTGTTTACCTCTATCCGTCGGCGTCGCGAACTCGAATAAAACTGTTGACGCAGGCTCTTCTTCTTTTATATTTCCACGATGGTATGTATACTTCCCACTCCACGTCGATCTCGCTAACACCGATCTAGATGTTATGGAACGCGGTGCAACACAAGATGTGAGTTGAGCAGATACCATGCTTCTACAGGACTAACCCCCTTCTAGGAAACAACAGTTGCTGATGACTTCGTGACTATGAAACCTAAGAACAAACACATGAAGCGATTTTACGACGAAGTTATGGAATGTGATCCCATTCTTGGCCCTGGCCTCCTACGAGCCATTGGTCTCTTTGTCAGTGCAGGCCGCAAAAAGTCACCATTCAAGCAAGGCAAATACGCAACTTTGGCTGAGTACGTGGACTACCGCCGCCATGATATTGCCAAACCGTGAGTTCCCCCCTCCAATCCCATCAGAATACACTAACCACCTTCAGCTTCATGGTTGCCGCTATTCGCTTCGGAACCGGTATTCACCATAGTCCCGAGGAAACCGCTCCCTTTGAGGAGCTAGAAGAGCTCTACGTTCTTCACTCCATGCTCATCAACGATCTCTATTCCTACGATAAGGAGATCCACGAGTCGCGCACCATCAACGCGTCTGTCGTCAACGCAGTACATGTCATTGAAAAGCTCATGTGTGTGCCGCCGCATTTGGCAAAGACTATTACTCGAACGCTGAGCTTCGATGTTGAGAAGAAGTATTACGCCGAGTCGGAGAAGTTCATGCGTGATCCAGCGTTGAGCGATGACCAGCGTACTTATGTCATTGCACTTTTTGATTGTTTGACTGGTAATCTATTCCATCATGCTACGTTGGGCAGATACACTCCATATGCGGAGTATGTTTTTGATTGCAAGACTTAGAGATGGTTTGGGTTGTTCATAGCTAGCATTGCATTGTCTTTCATTAACAGCGTATACGAATTCTTTTTTTCTGACACTTACCTCCGTCTTGTTTGCGTGATTTCTTCAGTGCCACCTTTACAAGGTTGTATGATTCCAAACTTTCGGGACCTCCCAAAAGTGTCAGAGCTAAACGAGCCGTCAGAACTTTCGAGCTTCAGTGCAGTTACATGCCCAACCCGAGCAAAAAGCAAACGCATGCAACGTCACATCGCGACAAAACAACATCAGGCTCACCGTTTCACCTCCATCCGTATTTCGAACCAACAAACCAGTCGCATCACTTGTCCTGTCAACAAAGTTCATCCATGGAAGCTTATTTATTCTCCTGAATTCAAACACTTTCAGAGTTTCGCGTACGCATATGCTCCGAGCCGGGAGAAGTTTATCGTCTGATACGACGATCACATCCCGAAAATGGAACTCTTATCAGGCTCCCCATGTCGATAGTAACCCCTGGGCATTGCTGACATATTTCTGGGGTAATCATGAAGAATTACTCCGCAGAATATGTATAGTATACTCTAAATGGATAAGATGTGATACGCCAATCATCAGGGTCCCGTATATCCGTGGGGTGAGGAGCTTCACCGCCTGTTGGTTGCGTTTACGAAGGGGCTGGGTTCGTGCGTACGGCTTGGCTCCGATTGAAGAAGCGGGAATAGAGGGCTTGGCTAGTTATAACCGAACGCGAGCTATAGAAGAATTGGGAATGGTGTCCGAAGCGAAGAGCCGCGTGTAGTGATATGATGTTAACATTGGAGAGCTAGTATGGAATCCTAGTATTGTTACAACTATAGGCGATCGCTAAAGGAGCGGTATGATAACAGAATCAACAGAGACCAAATACCCAACGCCATAGAAAGTCAAACTCCCGCTATCAACATCCCGGTACTTAAACGAATGACAGTAACCCTGCTGCACTAGTTCGATCCAGCACTAGTCTTCAGAGACCCATGAAGACGCAAAAGCGGATTCTCAATCCCACTACCAAGCGCATCAAAACCCGGCGTATCATCACCGTTAACCTGAGCTCTAATCAGATCCCCCAAGCGCTGGCGCAACTCTGGCGTAAGTTTGCCATCAGTCACTGCCAGACCGCCTAGGAAGTCGCTCAGCATATTCATAAGGGGATTAAGCGATGCTTTGAGGCTAAGCTTCAGACCGAGAGTCTTGAGGAGGTCGTTGACGATGTCGAGGACTTCTTGGATAAGTTCTTCGACGAGATTGAGGACGTCGGCGCGTTGATCGCTGGTGAGTTTGAGTTTTTTTGTGGTGGAGAGTCTGGTTAGGGCGCCAGAGACTGCGGCGCGGATTTGGATGATTTCTTTGAGGGCGTCGGTGGTGCCTTTTTGGCGAGTTTCTGTTCCGGCCTGAACTCTAAGGAGTGTTCCGTCTAATAGTGTTAGCAAGTATTCTAACATGATCTTATGAACAGTATGATACATACTGATTCTGTCACCGCGCGCAGTGATCTGAGCAACAAGACTATCCAAGGAATCAACAAGATCCTGACCGTTCTTGAAGCCGGTCGATGAAGACTTGAGCAATCTCTTTGAATGAGTAGTCTTGGGCTTCTTTCCAGACTTGGTCTTCTTGACCGACGCCTTGGCAGACGGTTTCTTTGATGTCTTCTTCTTTGGCTTAGCTTTAGAGGACCGCTTGACCTTTAAATTAGTAGTCCCAGTTTGTCCTGCTTTCTGCTCAGCGCGGAGAGCGTCGAGGTCGACTTTGACGCTGGGGAGACCATCGTAGGGAATGGTGTCGACAAGGTGAGATGATTTCTTGACTAGGGCTATATCTGTAGCTGGTGCGGCGAAAGAGCTGCCCAGAAGAGCTACGGCGGCGATGAAGAAGACTTTCATGATGGTGTTTTGCACAGTAGAATAGGCAGTTTTGTTCGGGCTCGGTATGAACATGCCGATCCATCAGAGGGCGACTCACAGACATTTATAAAATTCCTCTCGGCCTAGATATTCAGAATAAAGTTCGGATTTGCCTCATGCGACAGTTGAAGTTATCGTCATATTGTCGATCTTCTGATCAGTCAACCATCATATCATGAGATGACATAGTGTTTATGCTGAACCAACGATCAACCTAGAGCCGCTGACGCGAATTGCGTTCTTGCAATAATATCTGCTATGAATTTAAAGGTTTACAGTTTGGGGCTGGTATGAAGTTACCGCGAAGAGATACTGTGGCTTGCCGATCATGCCCAAAGCCCCGACAATCAAGATTGAGAGGGTCCATCGACAGATCCGGACATTTTTGTCTCGGCAATCAGTACGTCAGTTCCTAGTGGCCCTGGTAGATCAGCAAATCATAATGGAGTGATGACCTTTGCAAGTCAGGCACAATCGTGGTCCCTTGGACCCTTCATAACTTAGCCAAGCAAATGACGTCGCTTGAAGCTAGACGGCGTGAACAAGCTTGCTAATGATCAACCAACATCTGTGAATGCAATCATTGACCCTACCTTGCTTGGATATGTGACGCTCAAGAGGCTTGTTCTATCTCATTCCTGGCTTTCTCATGATCTCTACATTCGGCTCTCTGTGATCATCGTGCTGCGAGGAGTAACATGGAAGGACGTTTCAACAGGAGCCGTTCAACGATAACGTTGAAAACGCGTTGCAACTGACCAGAGAGCAAGAACAGTAATTCCGTGCTTAAGTGTCATAATGCATATTTAGTCAGAGGTCCCTGGAAAGGGATTAAATAAATTCGTTCCGTGAGTGAAGTGCAGGGTAACAGTTCTATCCGCGGTGCCCCACCAAACCCACCACGGCGAAGAAAAAAGACACGTCTCCACAACACCAGCGCAAAAAGCAAACATCGTGAGGACGTGCACAGAGCAAAAGAAAGGGTCTGGCCGGGGATTGAACCCGGGACCTCTCGCAAGCAATGCTGTAGGGTTTTCCCTAAGCGAGAATCATACCACTAGACCACCAGACCGGTCAAGTTCCGAAGAACTTGCTGTGGATTGCTGTTGTCCAAGCCGAAAATGCAGGCTATGTTTTCTACATTCGTCAAGAGAAGAAGCCATAACTAAAGCATCCCACAACCTTGGTTGCTGTTCTTAGTAAAATGACGTTATTGATCATGTTTGGTATATAAGAAGGCCAAAACCACACGGGTCAGAGCCAATTTGAGGTGCATAAATCCTATGGCACCACGTGTCATATCACATCATGTTGGGTTTATGACAAACGACAAAGGTTCTTCCACTAGAATACTCATCTCATTTCATACATCTATCAGCAAATACGGTGCTTCATTAGCAATTACGGCACCGAGCGCATTCGTACTTTAACATGAACCTGTGTAGCGTTTGCAAAGAGTCTTTTGCCTGGACGGCTGCCAAGAGCGACCCCTCGCTCGCAAGTTCCAAAAGTCACCATCTTACCCCATCGAGACTGGATGCAGGCGGTTGAACAAGGCTGTAATGTCTGTACATTGCTGCACGATGCGCTTCCACCTGGCCTCGCTGCTCACCTTGAGAAGCTTGCTCCAGTGATTCTTAAGAACACAGCCTGGCCTATGGATGAGGCTTTCGATGCTTTCCTGATATGGACAAAACTCGCTATTTCTCATGGATACCCAGGTGTCGGAATCTCTTTAGAGTTCAATGCGTCAACGAAACCGTCGGAAGGACCACCCCGAGAGCCAAAAGATGCCATTCTTGTTCAGTTGGATGTCGACCCTGGCTCTCTGGCTAGCCCTGTATCGTTACAAGGGAATCCCTCCAGCGAATCACGTGCTGCTTGGAGTCTGATGAGGTATTGGATCAGTCAATGTAAACAAAAACACCTGGACGGCGGTCTCCGGACTGCTGTCACAGGGCAATGGTACCCAACTCGACTACTCGATCTGGGACACCTCGCATCGATAAGCACGCTACGGCTCATTGAGACAGCTGCCAGCCCATCACAGGGCCCTTACCTAACGCTCAGCCACTGCTGGGGGAAGAAGCAGCTGACCTGTGCCACGAAAGAGAATCTGCAAAGTCTGTATAGTGGCATCACCAATCTACCACAAACATTCCAAGACGCCATCGCTGCAACGAGAAACCTGGGCTATCGTTATCTCTGGATAGCAAGTTTATGCATCGTGCAAAATGATCCGGGAGATTGGGCCAGAGAAGCAGCTCTGATGCATAGAGTATACACCGAGGCAGATTGTAACCTTGCCGCAGCAGCGCCACGAGACAGCATTGGAGGCCTGTTCTTCAAATGCCAGGGATTGTACGGCCAGTGTGTCGTGAAGAGCGTGTGAGGGGACGTCGTTGACCTCTTTGCTGACGAGGACCTATTCCTGAAGGAAGTCAACCGCTCTCCTTTACAGACGGTGAGGGATTTCCACATTCTATGTAACAAGCTCCTTTTTGCGAGATTCTGACAGTTATACAGCGTGCGTGGGTATACCAAGAGTGGCTGATGTCAAAGAGAACGATTCACTTTGCCAAGAGCCAGGTCTTCTGGGAGTGCGATCATCTCTGCGCTTGTGAAGTATTTCCTGATGGCCTTCCTAACTCCATTAGACACGATGGAAAATTGAAGTTTGCAGAGGACCTTGGTAATGCGAAATGTCTGTTGAGCCGAGACGTGAACGTAAATGCAAGTCGCATTGGTCCAGATCCATTCGAGCTTTGGTCAGGTCTCATTACGCACTACACTTCTCGCGACATGACAAAATCCAATGATCGATTGCCCGCCTTATCCGGTATCGCAAAATGGCTACAGCCGCATCTCGGAAATCCGGAATACCTAGCTGGTCTTTGGAACAACAGCGATCTTGTTCGCCAGCTTGCGTGGTATTCATGCACTACCAAGAACCCAAGGCCGCAATACAGAGCTCCGAGTTGGTCATGGGCATCAATTGATGGCCCCATATTTTGGGCAAATCCGCCCGGATATTTTACTCCTCACTCAGAGATCATCGACATCTCGACCACTCCTAGCGGCAGTGATCCGACAGGACCAGTTACTTGTGGTCACATCCTGATCCAAGGTAATATGGGCCGCGTACAGATTGTTGATCACAAGGCGGGTCTGGTTCTGCGCAGAGAGGACGACGTGAAAGAGATTTCTAAGCGTCACGTCACGATCCGCAGGTTCGATGTCAACGGCCTGCAGTGTGGCCTGTACTACGTACTTCACCTTGGCATATACATCATCCAACCGAATAAGATGCGCTCTTCATCTTCAGTGGACTATCTTTCCGCTACATATTTAGTTCTTAGACCTGTGACTGGACAGCATGGGACTTTTAAGCGATGTGGGCTTGTCGACGAGCATTGCCCTAAAGATGATGAATATCAAACACTCACGGGCAGAGGGCCACAGAGCAGGCAAGACATACCTTGTGAAGAGTATGTTGAGGTTGAAGGAAGTTCCAGGGTCCGTATAATATAGACCCTGGAGCATGAGGATGTTGATACGCAAGAATATGGTGATAATAAGCGGAGTGAGGATCATACAGTGCTAAGGAGACAACTGAGTAGAACGTCTGACCCACACTCTACTAGTTAGCGCAAGGGACGTTCGGGTAGAGCTCCCGGAGAGGATATCAAGAGTGGGCATGAAGTACTGGTCACTAATGAACAGCCTCCCATTCTTGGCACATGTGACACACGCAAGTATCCCACTAAGCGTTTAAGCATATTGATACAAATGTCAGAGGTATCAGAGGCATGAATGATGAGAGCTAATAGTTAATGATCCCTATTGCACGACCTTTAGTCATATAGGGATATAAAGAAGAGATGAGGTGATGTAGCACGTAACTTTGAATACAGACAGAGAATAAAACAAGCAAATCATTGGGGATGGGAACTCTGGGTTAGAGATATACAAGCATTTGTCCATCGGTATCATAACAAACACCAAGATCCACATTACCCCGGATTTTATCATCCCACGATCAGATTTACGATCCAGCCAAGGACATACCAAGCCGGATACCGATCCTTCACTATCAAATCTGTCTTGTCTAGACAATTATTACCAGTTCCATCATCACCTGCCCGTAGATCATGGCAGAAATTACCCATTTCAGATATGCACGCTCAACCTCACCCAATCTCACCCAACCATCGCTCCAACAAAAGCAAGCCCCAATCAAAACCCATATGCCTTGTGACAAATCGCACGAATCACAGTATCAGGGCTTCCACGGCTGGAACTCTGTACTGCGGGGGCTCGACCGAAAAAACTAACCTCAAAGCGGTAATTTTAGTCTGATATTCCTTCTTCACCACCGAATTTGTTGAGTTTCGCGTAACGCCTCTGAGACTTGAGATCGTGCCGGTCTGGAACACCTTGCTTGCGGGCGCAAGAGAATCTGGGGTATTACGTTTTGAGTTGACACTGCTTGAAGCTCTAAGCCATATCGATGATGCGGGTGTAGCTTTCTCGGAAATCTACCTATCAAGTCGTTGGATCAGCGTCATACTACTGCCAATAAACAGTACCTAGCACTGCCTTATGTTTAACCGTTGATCTTATGCTTTGAAGGGGGGCATTTCCCCGCAATCTTTAGGTTCGCCGACTCGTGGCATATACAAGTCGAACGCCTAGCTCTTCATTCTCAAGAATTGCCATGTTTTAGTGAATAGCTCTCATCCAAAACATCACAATGACAGAAGTTACACATAATTCCCAAGGCGAAGGCCATCTACGGCCTCGCCTATCAAAGATCACGATGGTAGCCATGACCTTTGCCATTCTCAAGTGTGTCTCTCCCAATCTCTCCATCCAAATCATGTTCTGATGTGAATTCCAGTACGTGGATCTGCCTAGCGGGAAGTCTTTCCATCGTTCTTCCTTCTGGAGGATCTGTGGCTTTCTTGTATGGCTTTATTTTCTGTGTCTTGTGTAATTTTGCCCTGGCGGCTAGTTTGGGTGAGTTGGCGGCGATTTGGCCGACTGCTGGTGGGCAGTATCATTTCCAGTGGGCGTTGACTTCTGAGAAGTGGAGGAAGGTCATGGTGAGTTTCGTGATACGCGATTTCTGGGATAATGTTAACAAAAGCAGAGTTTTGCGGTTGGATACATTAACATTTTTGGATGGCTGACTCTCGTGACGACCGAGGGTTTCTTTGCAGGTTTGTGATACTACGCGATTGAGAGTACGAAAATTGACATTTATAGCACAATTCATATCGGCAGCATGCGTCGTGGCGTCCAATGGAAACTACGTCGTTGCAGCATGGAAGACGTACCTAATCTTCATGGCCGTCCTCACATTCGGCACTCTCTCCATGGCCTTCGGTAACCGAATCTTAGGTGCCTGGAACAATCTCGCCCGTAAGTCCTCCAAATTCCCAACTGCGAGTTCCAACTGACTTTGTAGTCTACTGGTCCATTCTTAGTGTTTTCGTCGCCAGCGTCGTCCTTCTTTCGACATCCGATAAAACCGACCCCGAATTCGTCTTTGCGACATTTGCGAACGAAACAGGCTGGAACGACGGAATAGCATGGATCTTAGGACTTTTGCAGTCTGCGCTGTCACTTATTGGATATGATGCTGTGCTGCACATGACGGAGGAGATGCCGACGCCGTCGAGGGATGCGCCTTTAGCGATGGTATATGCTGTTGGTGTCGGAGGAACAACGTAGGTCTCCCTCTTACAAAGCAGGGTATATGCTAACGAAAGCAGCGGAACAATATTCATCCTCGTTATGCTCTTCTGCCTCACCGACCTCTCCGGCATCGTCGCGACATCAACAGGCATGCCCATCGTCGAGCTCATCCTACAAGCGACTGGTAGCCGCGCCGGCACGACATTCCTCACGCTCATGTTAGCAATCTGCTTCATCCACGGAACCAACGGCTCGATCACCAGCGCCTCCCGACTCCTATACGCTATGGCTCGCGATAAAGGTACGCTGTATCACGAGTACTTTAGCCATATCCATCCCAGATGGGAAGTGCCCATCAGAACTATTGTTCTAACTTGGGTGTTCAACGCGATCTTTGGACTGTTGTACCTGGGACCGACTGTTGCGTTCAATGCGTTCATTTCAAGCTGTACGATCTTGTTGAACATGTCGTATGCTATTCCGGTTGCGACGCTTATTATTCGAGGCCGCGATACTTTGACGAGATTCCAGAGCGCGGATACACCCTGGAGGTTTGGAAAGGTTCGAGGGTTGATCATCAATTACGTTGCTGTTCTTTACGTCTTCATCACATCAATTGTAAGCCATACTCTCCACCAACACTACCAAGCTAACATGTGCGTAGTTCTTCTGCTTCCCGCCTGTTCTTCCAGTCGACGCCAGTTTAATGAGTACGTCTCCCAGCCTCTCTTCCCCTAATCATATGCTAACAACAGAGTCAGATTACGTCTCGGCTGTCATTGGCATCTTTGCCATTTTCTTAACGGGATACTGGGTCTTGTACGGAAAGAAGACATTCCAGGGCCCGGTAAGTTTCTTTTCACGCTCTCTGGGAATATTGCTGATGATTGTGACAGGATCTCGATGCGATTCTTGGAGAAAGACCGGACCTTGCCGAAGCGACGGATGAGTTGGCGATGGAAGAGAAGAAGGTTGAGAGTCCAACGGAGTGATGGGCTGTACCACAAGGGGCATTATATAGCTTACATTTAATGACTTGAATGAATTTTTATGATGAAACTGCCCCCAAATAGCCATCTCCAACAATCGGCATCGCATGCATCTCGTGCCGAGAGCTGTTGAGTTGGGTTAGCGGAAGCGCAGTGTCTTCATTGGCTCACCAAATTCCAGCTGTCCTAGCGGATGTCTCCGCCTGATCTAGCGAATACGCTTATCACCACTGACTAACAAGTACAGTAACACATTGTTATCCGTAGCTTTGCCCTCCTCGGAACTGTACCGGAACAAAATCATCTCGATGGTGACCCAATCCGACTGTGACAACTCAAGATATCATACTGTAGTGTCAGTGATCAAATGCCGAGCCCTACCAACACTTGAACCGTCTTCAATACGACGTAACCTGTCGGTCTTGCGGAGTTGCAAATCCGTCTCCAGCAAATCACAATCTAGCTTACCAATTCCGCGGCTCCCGCTAAACCAATCTTATCACCGCGCCCTCTAACTTCTGCGGGGAAGCCCAGTTCACTTTCGCTTCACTTCTTATCATCAATCACTGAGCACGGTTTCCCTCATCTCACCCTGCCCCATAAACTTGCTCAAACCCTGCGCAAGCTTAAACAAACTCACCATGGAGGAGCCCGAATCAAGTGCCAGGTCCACCGCCAAACGGAAGCTCCCCGTCAGATCGAGATCCGGATGCTTGACCTGCCGGACCAAACACGTAAGTCGATTTCCGAATGCCGGATGAGCGCGACTGATAAGGAATAGCTGAAATGCGATGAAGCAAAGCCTGAATGCCAGGTTTGTATATCGCGAGGTGTTCAGTGCGGAGGATATCAGCGCGGTCTGAGATGGTCTACCAAGCATGAAAAACCAGCTGAACTCGCTGAGCATAAATTTCGAACGTCGCCAAAGCAATCCTGCGGCACCAAGAAGCGTCGCGGTAGGCCGCCAAAACGACAACTAGATACTGCATCTACTGCATCGTTCACCACCGCTGGTTCAGTGTACAGCTCCAACGATGCGAACCAGGGAGTTTTTGGTGAATTCATGCTCAACACACAGCCTTTGGAGGCTCAACAAGATCCTCAGCTTGTGGAATCTGAAACGAGTCCAGCAGATGATTTCATTTCTCAATTCCCGCTTGATCTTCCTGTTGAAGGCCTTCCGATGTCAGAGTTTGAATGGACGCCGGACGCGCTGGATCTAGCGACACCGACATTTGATACCTTTTCCGATACAAGCACCGACCTCACTCTGTACCCAGTTCAGCAAAACTTCTCAACATTATTCGTTCCTCCACCGATAACAGATCTCTCAACCCAACTCGTTGAATACTGGTTTCGCGATATCTGCTCTTTATGGTCGCAGTATGACTCACCGACAAACTCGAATCGCATGCTAGCAACAACTCTATGGTCAACTTCGGAAGCTGTATCGACCAGTTTGCAGAGCATGTCTTCGGCGTATCTCTCATCCAAGATGCCGCATATGAAGAAGACTTCTATTGCTATGATGAAGAATGCCACTGATGTTATCGAGGCGGAACTTCGCGTCGTCAAATCATCCCCGAACCTCGATACTGTACCCATGGGTCTGATTTATGGGCTGTTCTGCATAGGCACTAGTATCTGTTGGCTAAACGCGACGCAATTGGGTATACCATTTCTTAGAGAAGCAAAAGCCCTTCTTCACCGAATAAACAAGCAGAAACGACGTCTTTCAGAGGAAGAGCGAAAATTACTAAACATCTTCAACAAAAGCTGGACGTACTGCGAGCTACTCCTCTCTGTCGTTTCAGACACGAACCCCTACATCACATACGAAGCAGAAGAAGTCGAGGATATCAGCGCAGATGAATATCCAACAGCGCTACCAACCGAACCTGTCGTCGACGACATGCCGCATCCATGGACCGGCGTTTCAAATACAGTATCAAGACTTCTGACACAGACGTTGAGACTGTGTCGTAATTATCGATATCACGTTAAACACCCTGGACCTTTTGCGACGCGCGATCACGCTACTACACTAAACATGATTGAAGAAGCTAAAACGTTGGAAGAAAAGCTCTTGGGTTTGGACTTTGAGTCAGCACCAGCGAACACCGAGACGGGAGATCAGAAAACACCATGCCGTCATCTAGTCAACGTCGCTGAGGCGTATCGTCTCGCTGGCCTTATCCATATCTACCAAACCTTTCCAGAACTGGTGCTTCTGAGATTGCCGGATAACCTCTCCGGTCCAGCAGACGCACACATCCCATGGGAAGAGTGCATCACACCACTAAGTCTCCGTCTAACAAAGTTGATTGAACAACTCCCCGCCGACTCAGGTAGTAAAATGACCCAGCCCCTTCTCTGCATCACCGCCAGCACCGGTCTACGCTTCGAACCCTCCGACACAACCTCAAATCCCGAAACACAAGCTCCTCTCACGACACCAACGCCTTTCGATCTTGGAAGCACAGAGCATTGTGGGTTATCAGATTACATCGGTCAACTCATCCAAGCAGACGAAGATATCGAGCGATTGTCTACAACTACTGCTACGGAGTCGCGGATGAAGATTGTGGAGGCGAGATGTTTTATCGTTGGGAGACTAGATGCGTTAGAGGCTTTGCTGCCGCCGAGACCGATTGTTGTGGCGAAGACATTGGTGCAGACGATTTGGAACGAGTATGATAAGGAGAAGACAGGGGCTGCGAGTGTGCATTGGATTGATGTCATGGAGGAGAATAATTTGCGGTCGTTGTTTGGATAGTGATACCCAGAATGAGAGCTCGGGATTGACCACAAAACTTCCCTTAAATGGTCTCGGATCACTTGCGAATTCAAACATGTTGAAACTAAAGTCTCTATATTAACTCATGTCTCTATATACCTCCGGCCAATAGAAGCTCGAAAGTTCGAGATTATATACATCGAAAGCAACATCTCCACCATCCAGTGATCCAAGAGGTCATCAATACCTCGTCAAAGCCACCGGTACTTAGATAGTTCCGAAGCCAGCACTGGCAGCAAGACCAGTGATGGAAGACACAGGCTTAGCCTCAGCAGCCTTGCCGCTGAAAGAGCTAAAGAAGCTAGAATCGGTACCAGACAGAGAACCAGAGTTGTCGTACTGGTTAACCTCGCAGACGTGACCGACACCGCTGGAGCAAGCAGCGTTGGCGGAAGCATCAGGGCTGGCAAAGATGGCGCCGGTGGATCCCTCCTCGATAGCGGCCTTGACGTCCTGGAAGAGGTTGCCCTCGGCGAGAATCTTGGCTTGGTCGCTGGTCTCGAAGGCGTGGCCAGAGTTGTCGGACCAGTAGTTGTTGACGGCGTGGAGGACGGTGTTTCCAGCGACCTTGGGGGCGCGGCCGGAGGTCTTGGTGATGTAGTTGTTCTTCATGGTGATCATCTGGTTATTGTTAGCATCGATACTGAGAGTGGAGATGGTTCAGGCTTGGAACTCACGTCGCTGGAACCGGTAAAGTACATGGACCAGTACTGGTGTCCGTCACAAGTAGCAGACCACTGGCTCTCGCCGTTGATGTGGTTGTTGGTGATGGAGACTCGGTTATCAGCATTGGTGCCAAGAACGATGTGCTGTCGGCCAATGTTGGACGTCGTGACGTGATCGATCCAAACAAGATCCGCTCCATCAAGGGTAATAGCGTCTCCGCCCCAAACATACTGAGGGTTCAGTTCAGTAATATGGATGTTCTGAATAATAATATTCTTCGTCCCCTTAATATAAAGACCCTTGCCCTTGATAACACCATTCGCACCAACACCAACAATCGACTTATCCGAGTTGACAACAATCGGGTTCAAGCCCGCCTTATCGTAGCTAACGTCGACCTTGGGGGCATCAGGCTGATAGTTGTTACACCAATCATCCTTGTTGATAGCCGTCTGGCAGCCCGAGCCCGTACCCCAAGGAGCACAGCCCTGCTCGGACGCAGTGCCCTCGGTACCGGTAAAGTCGAACTCCTGGTCGAGAAGGATGACGCGCGTGGTAGAGTCGCCAAGCATAGAGACCAGCTCATCGGTTGACTTGGGGTACGCGCCCTCGGCGCTACCGCCGCCTGTGACTTCGGAGGCGAAGCCCTCGGGGGTGCCGGTTACGCCGGCGGCGGAAACGTTGGAGGCCAGCGCGGCGACGGCCACGGAAAGGAGAGAGAGAGACTTCATGTTGAAGATGAGGGAAAAAAAGAATGTGGGAAAAAAAGAACAAGAAACGAACGAATGAAGAGCAGAAAATGGAATAAAGAGGAGAGTTAGTGGGAAGGCATTGGTATATTTATCTCAGCCAACTTGTTGTCTCGCAGGCTTTACCGTAAGCGGGGGGGAAGATCTCCTCCTAGAAATCTTCCAGAAAACAATGGTTCTGTTTTGTTAACTTGAAACCTGAGACAGGCCGTATCGCGACCTAGTCCTTAGGGAGCAAAAAAACACAAGACCTAAGTTTAGGGTGATAAAATAAACTCTATAAAAGGTATCCTAAACTCATCCTAAATTTATCCTAAGTTACCTAAATCTTTTTATCAGTTAGGCTCAAGGTCCCCAGTTTTATTTCCTCCCCTAGCCAGTTAACCACGCCAAGAGTAGCTGGAGGCCATTATTGGCGGACTTTTAATGTCGCTGTTTTATTCCGTGGAACTTCGGGACTATTTTGGGGATGTGAAACTCGACGACATGGTTGAGCTTGGGATTAAAGGGTTAGTCTTTTGTGGGGAGCGTGTTTCAATGATGCGAGTTGAAACGGAGGGATCAAGCTTCTTTAGCTTGATGCCAAGTCTTGCTAGATGTGATGGTGACCCAGTTGTAAGACGACTTGGGAGTATTTATCTAGACTCTACTAAAACACTTGACTTGAGCCTCATTCTATAAGTGTCTATTAAACTTTACCATCCTTGAATTGCTTCACTGGTGATCGAGGTTGATGACAGCGGAGCAGCATCCTGGTCAGAACAGTGGGCCAGTAGCAGGTCACCAGCACGGGTCACTTGTTTACGCACCACGGGACTTAATAATATGCTTATCCTGGAGGCGAAAAGCGATGAAACCTGGGTAAAATAGGGTTATTCGTTTCACATAAGAAGAAGCAATCAGCGCATGACTCTCGAAGCTTTATACCGGTGACTTGAATGAGTCGTGTACCAGGCTGAGCAGCTACGGCTGAAGACAACTACTCTTGATGACAGGTCTCTAGGATAATTAACGCAGCTTAGGATGGGTGATGCAATTCCTCGCAGCACCGAAATTAATGCGTGTATACTCCATAGATGAGCGGCAACGTGAGACCAGCCTTGGAATTAAACCGGATATATCATCCCTTCAGCCTCAAACACATTGGTGCGAAAAATATGATGCGGCAATCTAATCTATCGGGTGGTAATTATGATCAGCGCAGTGGATACACATTACGAAGTCCGGGATGTGGCTTTCCTAGGATCCGATTAAAGTGAAGCTGGCAGTATGCCTACCTTAGACCTGGCCCTCGAGAAGCAAGAAAACACCAGACCTTAATATAAGGTATTAAAATAATCTCAGTAAAAGACATCCTAAAGTTAGTAAAGATATGCTAAACATGTGTAAATTTACCTAAGTCTTTTTATCCTTTAGGATTAAGGTCCTAAGATCTCTTTCCTCCTCTGGCCGGCTTGCTAGCTGATAGATAGGAGAAAGGGTCACCAAGATCCACGGTTTACTACCCGAAAACTTCGTCAGATATCCTACCGACTCAGTTTCTCCCCCAATCTGGTTGCTACAATCCTTGCAACCTCCCTCAGCGATGCCGCCCCAATCATCTCCAACACACTGACCTGCAAACCAAATACTTGACTAAACCATCGCCGCAATTCAATCGCAGTAAGTGAATCGAGGCCCATCTCAGATAGTCTGAGGCTAGGATCAACAGGCCCATCTGGCCTGAGAAGAAAATCGTTAACCTTTGTGCCAATCTCGATAGATAGAAAGTCAATCGACTCTTCTTTCGACAAACTTTCATCTCCTTCACTGATTCTCTGTAGAAAGACCTTTAGTTGATTGCTTTCGCCTCGCATGTCGGTCTGATCTCCTGCTGGAAGGTTGTGATATGCGCCCATTCGACGATCACGGCGCCAATTGGTAGGATTCTTGGGATCGTCGAGGTGGAGATGAGACCTCATACCCATCACAATATGGCCGTTATCCTTCCAAGGCGACCACTCCCCTGAGCTTAAACTCTGGAAGGGTGCAGAATTGAACAAACAGGCCTCTACACTTTCAAGAAACTCCTTCTCCCTCACAGTGTGTAGACCCTGGAATTTAATGCTGCGAAGCGCTGATGGATTCTCTGCCAGGTATCCGACGTCTTCAATACCGCATATTGAGAGCACCGATGCGGGGAGACCAAGAGAGTGCCTATACTGGCAGAAGGACTCGGTGAATATGCATCCGGATTTGTAGTTGCCCTGTCCAGGCTGATCTGCAAATGTGACCGCGGAACTTGCTAGCCAGAAGTGGTCCAGGGGCTGGTCATGGAGCGCTTGATGGAGGTTCCAAGTCCCATTAACTTTGGGCGCGACGGCGGCTTTCCAATCCTCCCACTTCATTTCAAGCAGAGGAGAGTCCTATAACTAGATATCAGTACTGACTGCTGCAGGGTCTTTTTTGATGACTTACCCTTTGAACCATGGCGAGATGAAAGACACCTTTGAAGGGACACAGGGCCTTGCTGATGGCTTCTTCCACGTCCTGCAGATTACTGACACTTCCCTTGACTACAATGACATTGCACCCCATAGCTTCAAGTTCAACGGAAAGCTTGTTGCCCGTCATACCACCCCTTGACCTTGAGAGGAACACAAGATGCTTAGCCCCTCGCTCCACTAACCAGACTGCCAAGGCTCTACCAAGACCCCCCAATCCACCAACGAGAAGGTAAGATGCGAGAGGGTCAAGCTGTATGCTTTGGGTTGTCATTTTTACCTCAGGCTCCGATGAATCTGTAGACATCTCAAGGACCACCTTTCCCATGTGCTGGCCGTCTTGGAGGTATCGAAATGCCTGTTTGGCATCGCTGGCAGCGAAGGACTTGACAGGTCTCAGGGCTCTGAGTTTTCCTTGTCTGAAGAACTCAAGAGTTCCTTCCATGACACTGTCAATATATTAGCTCTAACCTTACGGACTTCGCCGAGGATGTAACTTACTCTTTTACCAACATAGGCTGCTCTCCTATCAGATAGTGCATATCTATCCCACAGTACGACCTGTTGTCCAAGAAGCCACTCATATCAAGCTGGCCACGTGAGGCCAGATCACGTTTTCCAAGCTCAAGGAGGGTACCAGACTTTGCAACGCATTTCCAAGAGGCATTGAGAAGATCGCCACTTAGAGAGTTCAAAACCAGGTTAACGCCTTGCCCAGCCGTTTGTTGCATCACGCCTTCCAGGAACGAAGCATCACGAGAGTGGAAGATATGTTCCCGCTGGATTCCATACTCCCTGACTAAATATTCCTCCTTCTCCTCGTTTCCAACCGTGGCGTATATTTCCCCCTCCATCATCTGCGCGACCTGGATAGCTGCGAGGCCGATACCGCCGCAGGCAGAATGAATCAACACACTCGTTCCCTTGCGCATCTTTCCTAGGTCAACTAATGCATATATGACTGTAGAAAAGCAACATTGGATCGTGGCAGCTTCCTCGAAGCTCATTTCGTCGGGAATCTTGTGCATGTAGTGGTGCTTAGCTGTGAAGTGAGTGGAGAAGCCACCACGGTAGCATATACTCATGATGCGATCTCCGATAGAAAAGCCAGTCACGGCGCTCCCGAGGCGTCTGACTACACCAGACACTTCGATGCCTGGAAATACATGTCGAGTATCAGAGGGGATTAGGCCCATAGCTGAGACAACGTCATGGAAGTTGAGGCCGGCGGAGTGAACTTTTACCTCGATCTCGTCCTCCATGATCGTGTCTGGAATCGCCGAAGCTACCCAGTTCATGGTATCGAGGGCTCCCGGCTTGTCGACTCGTAGAGTCTTCATTACCTCGCCGCGCTGGGTCTTGTCCCACGCTTCATCGGCAATACGAATTGGCTGGTACCGGCCAACACAGACTGCGCCGTCATGCACAACGTATTCTCTGTCTGGCTCAAGAGTCTCACTGTCTTGATCTTGGATGACTTTCTCAAAGACATTTACGATCAGAGTACCGAAATGATCCTCACTCAGGTCAATCTCTAGCGTGTAAAGATTCAGCCCGAGTTCGGATCGAAGAGTTCGAGTAACCCCCAGTGTTTGAGCTGATCTTGGATTTGAACACCCGGCTTGAGTCGGAGACATGAGCCACAAAACGTTGGTGGAAGCAAGACACTTTGTGAATTCTTGGAACTTGATAAACATTTTTTCTGAAATGTTGTCAAAGAAAGCGGATTCCAAGTCCATACATGATATAACATCACGATCTTGGGGAATTTGATCTCCAATAGTGCGTAATGTGACATTCCAACCCCTAGTTTTCAGTGCAGTTGAGACATGGGTGGCTGGATAGCTCTGGGGATACTGGGCTAGTAGGGTAACGGAAGAGGGATCAATTGCCACAGAAGGTTCCTTGCTTGCTACTATGACAGAGCAATGCCGATATGGCTCTTCATCGTCATAGACAGCTACATCGACTCCACTGTAGCCAGATCTCTTCAATTCCTGCTCCCATCGTGATACGGGCACGTAAGGCTGATCTGGTCGATCATCCTGCTCACCCAACCACCAACCAGAAAAGTTGCCAAACACAAAGTTAGTCAACCGCGATAGACTGCAAACTTCTGTCATGACGAGCATGCCATCTGGTTTGAGTAACACTCGAATATTCCTCAACGTCTCGTAGAGCGAAGGTGTAGCATGCAACACGTTGGCTGCGACGATGAGATCATAAGTTCCGCTCTGGAAGCCTTGCTCCACAGGATTCTGGGATACGTCGAGGACCTTGAAGTCCATGTTTGAAGCACCGGAGAAACGACCCTTGGCAGCGGGAAAGAAGCCAGCAGAAACGTCTGTGAAAGTATAGGCCGAGTAAGCTGGCAGACCGTGTACCTGCGCTAGGCCTCGGAGGATAGTCTCGGTAGTGCCTCCTGTCCCAGCTCCAACCTCGAGGATTCTAAGAGTAGGGCGAGTATGTGAAAGAATGTGCAGAAAGCTTGAGTAATCGAAGGTCATGGCATCATAGATATCTGCCAAGACATTGTCTTTGAGCAATGTCTCGATAGTTGCTGCTTTTCCAGTGAATAGGTTTTCCACATCATCAAAGAGGAGTCGGAGTCCGATAGTGAGCGCCTTCTGCGGCATCTCTAGCAACTTGGTGGTGATTTCTTCGATCTTGGAGAGCCTGTACTCCTGTGAAGTATCAAGAAGCTGCCGCGAGTTACTGACTAGTTTGTATTCTCCTGATGCGGCACAGTCAAGCTGTTTCTTGAGCCAGTCTCTGAACTTGGTGAAGTGAGGCTGGCATGGCTCAAGAGATTTGATCTTGTCCACAGTTTCGATGATGCAAAGAAGAGTCAACTCCTCTTGAAGATGGCACTCACTTCTGTTGATAGACGGTGGAACAAAAAGTGTTGAGAGGTCTACAAAATCAATGTGCGGTAGCCAGGTGAGTCTCGAAGCGGCGTGTGCATCAAGTGCCTCAAGCGGAATGTCTTCTCCAAGGGCCCTTAAGCTTATACCTGAAGCACGCAGGGCTATGTTACCGCCAGCATCAAGCTCAACGCACGATGCTGTTCCATGAAGTCTCCATGCTTTGGCATCCATGAAATCTGAGCCTGTGCTAATCTCAACTTCTTCAATGGCTGTAGGTACAACGAGTTCAGCAATGTTTCTCGCCAGACCCCTCGCTTCAGATACAAGAAGTAACTGGAGACCGGTGTCTATAGTCGCTGGATGTAGAGTGAATGCAGACTGATTCTGCTTGGTCTTGTTGGAGACGCAACCGTAGACGAGGTGTTCTGAAGGAGAAACCGTTACGTCTAGCAGACCACGAAACTCCGGGCCATAGACAAAACCAACGTAAGCAAGTTGACTATATATGCGCGCACAATCAACTCGCCGAGGTAGTACTTCCGGAGTCCAATCTGTAACCCTGGCTTTTTCAAGAATGCTGACTTGTCCCGTGCAGTGCTTGGTCCAACATGAACTGTCGTACGACGATATCGTAAATTCGTACCATGTAGAGTCCTCAAGGTCGTTGAGCTGGTGAATGCGCAAGCTGGTTGAAATTTCAACCGAGTCAGAAAGCAGAAGAGCTTGATGAGCAACGACATGTCGCAGACGGTAGCTCCCACCAAGAGGAGACTGAGTGACTTGCCTGATGGCTTCACCAGCGATAGCAATGTACCCAGCGAATGGAAAAACCACGTCTTGATTCAGTTTATGATCCATAAGCCATGGAATATCCTCAAGACTAAGAATGTTTCGCCATTGAGGTTCCAGATCTGATCCCTCAAAGTTGCGGGACCCCAGAAGGCAGTGCTGAGGGTACTCTCTGGACCGCCAGGCCTTTGAAATGCGACTCTCAGACCAATGTGTTGCACTGTGGTCCCAAGGATAAGTTGGTAAGCCTGATATGGCCTTTGAGTTGGGGAACAGCGATGCGAGGTCAAGAGCCATGCCATGCTGGTAAAGTTTGCCTACTGCACTAAGAAAGACGGCTGAAGAATTTTTGTCTCGAAGTTGGGAAGAGATGTAGTGACAGGGTTGTAAAGAGGATGAACAGATCTGCCTCAGAGGTCCAGCCAAGGCAGAGTGCGGTCCAATTTCTAAGAAGAGGCAGTTTTGCTTGGCTGCAAGCAAGTTTGACACAGCCGTTGAGAACTTGACCGACGACGTAAGATTCTGGGTCCAATATGACGGATCACGAAGAGATGCATCTGCCAACTCAGTGGTGACAGTGGAGAACATCTCAATGGTGGAGGAGATAGGACCAGCATGCTTCGGGAGTTCAGATTCGATAAGATGTTGGTACTCGGCACTCAAGGGTAGCATATGTTCTAAAGGATTGTCAACAGAGACACTAACATGTGGTATGAAAAGACTCACGTGAGTGATAAGCCATATCTACCTTGAGTAGACGAGCAAACATGTCAGGATCAGCCTGTTTGATCACTTGAACAACTTGAGCGACACTATGCGCATCTCCGGAGATTGTGCTACTTTCCGGGCTGTTCTCACAAGCCACTACAACACCATCAGTTAGATACTCGGAAATGCCCTGGACTCCCATCCCGACGGCCGCCATGCCGCCTCGAAGGTTCTGCTTTGTTGTCACATATCCACGATAGTATGCAATAATAATGGCTTCTTCCATGGAGATGTGACCAGCTGCGTAAGCACCGGCTATTTCCCCACTGGAATGGCCAACAATAGCAGAGGGAAAGAGTCCCAGGCGGGAAAACTTGTTAACCAGTGCCAACTGAATAGCAGTGCAAAGTGGCTGTGATAGCTCAGCCTTGTTTATTTGTGACGTTTCCGCAGGCTTTAGGAGTTCATCTATTTTCTGTTAGCATCCTGTGGGTCGTTTAATTCTGGCCCATTACCTATGAGGTTCCAGCTCGGCGCAAACTCAAGCTTCTGGATGACTGAATCCATGGTGTTCAAGTCGCTGCGAAAAGTTGTATCGCTTTCGATGAGTTCTTTCGTCATAAGAGGCCATTGCGCGCCTTGGCCACTGAAGACAAATACCAGAGACAGAGGCCCAGGAGGGATTTTGGACAGACTTGAGACTTCGGTTGACTTTTCATGTTGAGAGACAATGAACGCTCTATGGGGTAGATGCTTACGGTGCGTTGCAAGGGTGAAGCCGAGGTCGGAGATGCCATTGGGGTTGCTAGCTGCCCATTTCTGATGGTTGCTGATATGCCTCTGGAGGGAGGATGCCGTGTTGGCTGACAATAGAAGCAAGGAAGGGGGTATAGCGCTTTGTTGGTCGACAAAGGCTGGAGCCTCCTCTTTTTCCGAAGTATATGCCTCAAGAATCACCTGGGAGAGATTCAGTTAAAAGGAAATAAGGAGAATAGCGTAGAGGCTTACATGAGCATTGCTTCCCCCGATTCCAAAAGAGTTGATGCTGACTCTTTTTAGGCGATCTGACGGAAATGGTGTTGGACTGAGTGGAACACTGAGATTATACTTGGAGAAGGGGACTTGACCGTACGTTAGAAAACCATGAACGATAAAAGCATGGTAGGCTTACTATTAGGGTTGGGGTTCACAAGTTTGATGTTGGGCGGAATTGTCTGATGCTCCAGGGCGAGAACACACTTTATGACAGACGATAACCCTGCGGAACCCTCTGAATGCCCGAGATTTGGTTTGACTGAAGTGATCAAAACCTCCTTCTCTCCCCCAAAGACTTTCCCTACGGCTGCAGCCTCGATAGGATCACCCGTTGGTGTCCCAGTACCATGGCACTATTCTCATTAGCCCATCTTCTCCAAGCCAAATGGCAGTGACAGCTTACCTCGACAAATGCAGTATCCTTCGGATCGAGCCCATTATCACAGTACGCCTTTCTCGTCAGAGCTTCGTGGGCCGCCCCATTCGGGGTGACGAGGCTAACACATTTCCCATCGCAATTCACAGCCGTGCCTTTGACAATAGCTCTTATCGGATTGCCATCGCGGATGGCATCAGACAAGGGCTTGATGTAAACAGCTGTTATGGCTTCTGCACGAGCATAGCCGTCGGCGGCAGCGTCAAAGGTCTTGCATGACGCATCAGGGGCGAGCACTTCACCAGATGACATTGTTGCTGTCAGCGCTGGTGTCATGATCATGTTGGCGCCTCCAACAATTGCGCTTGAGGCATCGCCTCTTTGGATGGCGCGACACGCTTCGTGGAGCGCTACTGCTGAGCTGGAGCATCCCGTCTTTATGACCATGCTACTCAATGTGTCAGCGTGGTTGAAAGCGTGAGAGGTGGAAACGTACCTTGGTCCTCGGAAGTCATATTCGTACGAGATACGATTGGCCATCATGAGATCTGCACCTCCAGTTGTAGCATATAATCCTCCTTGGAGAGGCTCCTTGGCATTCATGATTAACCAGTCATCCCCAAAAGTGCCAACGTAGCAACCGACTTGCTTTCCACGATAATGAATCTCTCCTGCATCTTCAAGACATTCATGGGTCACTTGCAGCAAAAGTCGCTGCTGCGGATCAACTCTCTCAAGTTCATTCTTCGTCAATGAGAAGAAAGACGTGTCAAGGCGCGAGAGGTCGTCTTCGATGAAATAGCCGTGTCTGGTCTTGATGGAGTCTTTACCTCCAAGGCTGTCGTTGAATCCATTGATGTTGAAGCGGCTGCTGGGAATGGGACGTCTAGCATCGAGGCCATGGTATAATAGGTCCCAGTAATCTTGGCAGTTGCTTATTCCTCCTGGAAGACGCAATGCGATGCCGCAAATGACAATTTGAGGCGCTTCTTGGGTATCAGGAACTGGGTTTCTCTCTCCATCGTGGGGATGCTGCTCGTTGATGGCATTATCGCGATGAGGTGCTTCGCTACTGTTGACGATATTTGCATCGGCATCCATATCTCTACAAGATTGATCATCCATGGTCGCTACTGATAGTTCTTTGCAATTATGCAATAAGACGATCGAACGAGGTGTATAGTTTGCTGGATTCTGGCGTCCAACACAGCCATGAGGCCCCCAACTGGACTTGGCATAAATATCAAGATCTTCTCTCAGAAAAACACGCCAGGTTCATCCGGCAGAGATTTCTCCATATGCCGTGCATCTCCATCTACGTATCTAGCGCCTATTTCTCGCTTACTGACCCATAGAGTAGTGTATATCTAAAACTGCTTGCAGATCTTGTTAAGCCATCATCTGTTGACTTCTGTGGCTTGGTGCACAGGTCTACAGCATAAGATCCCAAGACCTGTTTAAGTTAGCACTGAGATATTACATTCCGCTGTGGCGGAGATCATACGGCCAGCGCCGATATCACGGCAGGAGTACGGGTCATGCAAGTGAGCAGCCACTTGGATCTGCGGTAATAAAATGCCTCGATCTTGGGTACCTCTCCCGCTTGTGGTTATACAACATAACATCGGACCTCAGATCTAGGTTCTAGAGCATGGGAATTTTGTCCCAAGAATAATAAGGCATCGTGTCGCTATATTATTGGACTCGAGGTGCTGAGATCAACCCCCCGCCTTCAAAGGTAACACACAAGACTCGCGTAACATCACTCACTCGAAAGCTCGTATTCTCGTAGACTGTTCTGGCAGTATTGTTTCACTTGCCCGTATCTATACATTGTGCTATTGTTCCGTGTATGGATGCGTAAGACATCGAGGTTTCACCGCTGGAGATATTGTCAGGTTTTCTGAGCGAGCACCGATGTTGCAACCCCGCAAGCTAAGAACACAATCTTAATTCCTTTGGGGCATATGATTATGTAGAACATGAAACAGCATTCCATACCCTACTCTCAGGAAACTCCCACACAATGACAGAGCCTATCACTCACTGGCTTCTATCAACACCCCGGTCCCATCACGCGGCTTCGATGCCTTGAACACAAACATCATAGCCACAACACTCGTCTCAACCTCCTCAAACCCCGCTTTCAAAGCCTCAGCCAAAACGTTCGGATCATCCTGCCAATTGTCAAAAATACCTCTCTTGTTGTAAAACCCAAGCATGAAAGCAGCTGCTCTTCCAAGCGGCTTCTCGCTCTTCACCTTGAACCCACCATCATCAGTCCTCTCCCACTGCTTCCCCAATACCGTGCACCCTACCAAAACACCATCCTTGGTCAAGAGACTCTGTGCATTGGCGATGGCGTTTGCTTTGCTGGCGGTTGGCCGCGGCATGTGATGCATGACGAGAAACAGAGAAGCAGATGTGAACTTTTGGGATGCGAGAGACTCGGGAAGTGGCTGTGCGGCGTCCGCGTGGACACAATCAACTTGTACTTCGGGATACTTGGACAGAACACGCTGTCTCGCTGTTGCGAGAGAATGCTCACTCAAGTCGACCAGCGTCAGGTGCTGATCTTTCGGATCGCGGCCAAGATCCTTGATTGCTCCTCTTGGAAAGTACCCAGTCCCAACTCCAATGTCAACATGTCTCTTGGAGAAGTTATTGGAGAATAAAGGGCGAAGATTGTTTTGTGCAGAGCAGCGCCAGATGAAAGGAACAGAGACACGCAGGATCAGAATATCGTAAAACGGGAGTGTAAATGGCGTGCACCACGAGGCCGCAGTGTTTGCGGTGCGCTGGAGGATTGACATTGTAACCAAGGATGGGGTTGGTCTGTAAAATGGGGTCGTGTGTCTGTGGAGAGCGGTCCTGTCTGAAATACTTGGGCTGGTGAACTTCTATTTTCCGAGCAGAGATGTTGAATGTACAAGCAATGGCTTCTGGGGAAGACTGGCCACGTACTTTCCAGGCCGAGACATGAACACTGCATCTTGTGTTGTCTGTGTTCCCTGATGTGGCCTCGGCGGACATCGCCGAGAGGGTCTGGACAGTTGGGAATGTGGTCCTTACACAACATGTTTCTAGAGTGAGAGTTTGCGACCGGGGAAGCAGTGTAACTGTGGCCTTGATCAGATGCCTGGCCGCAAGCATGCTAAGTGGAGGGAGGGAGATCTCCACGGCGGCAGATCCCAGAGAGATCCGATGGGCAGCGAGAGAAGGCAGCATACTGCACATCTATGGGTGAGCAAAGAGCCATGTCTCATCGGCAAGACTAACATGCTATGGCTTTGGTCTCATTCGGTGTAGGGACATACTGCATCTAGCATTGGGCATGAATGCCTGTTGGATCATTGGAGTGCATGGTCACGACCCAAAGAGAGATGACCAAAGGCCCCGATGGCATGTCGATTGCTTCTCGTGTGATCACTGCAGCTCGGGGAAGTCCTGGCACGATTGAGCGAGCTGTCCTACCTGCAACTACCCTAGCTTCGATGACAGTCGGTTTAGTAGAGCCCACAGTGCATCTACATAGTTGCCAATCTCACTATTATCTAGCACATACGACCATAGGTAGTGGAAAATACGGGATCNNCCCGCTGTTGTATGTTTTTTGCCTGTCTCGACAAGTGGAAGAAGCGCTATTCTTTTTGGTGGACCTGAGTGGGACGGCGAGGGTCGATGTGGGGGCGATGTTGCTGTTGAAAGGATGCTCGAACTAAGATACTACGGGGCGAAGTATAGTGGGCTAGCTATTGAGAACACGATGTCGTTGCAAGATTATCACGGATTTGAGTCACTTGGAGTGGATGTTTCGCGATGGTATGAAGCGGTCACGCGTATCGCAGCAGGACCAAAGCCTTGATTGGGGTCTCGCTGTTCAACGCCTGCGACGGTCCAAGGGCGATAATTTCGGTGAACAAAGCGCAACCGAGACTTTGGACAATGAACAGGCGGCGTTTCTTTCGCATTCCACACCTGTGCGCTGGCATTATTGTTGGATATTATGGAATCGGCATTGGAGTGGGCAGATCGCGTTCAATCGGCCGAAGGGGTTATGGCGCTGGTAATGACGAAGGGCATGCTTAGGATCGTGAGTAGGCGAACAAATGGAGGATGTTCGTTTCACGTATTGTGCAATGTCTTGGCCTACAATGTTGATTCGGGAGTGAACGTCATGGCTCATGCCGGCCGCACTGAGCTCCCGTCTGTTGTAGCCTCGCAACAGCGTTGAAGAACAGATCAACAGGGCGCTGGAGAGAGGCTGTCGCGCCCATATAGCTGCCCCCGTCGAGGTATTCGCGTATGCTGGCAGGAACCAGTCAGCGGTGGACTCGTTCAGAGCATTATGTCACTCTTCTGATCTACAGAATGCTCCCATCGCGCAACGCGCAGGGCCGGTGGGTGATGGCATGCGATCGGGTGACCGCGCAAGATGCTCGGATGAGGAGCAGAAACACAGAAGAAGCATTCGTCAAGAGCAGACGATATTGTTCGACGAGGGGGGTAGGACATGTAGGTATCGCTCGATCGTTTAGGGCTTGTAGTGGAGGATGGGACGGGGCTTTCGAGCGTCGAGCGCTGGTGCCTGGTTCGATAAGATCAGGCGGGCATGGGAGATGGTGTTGCCGCATCGTGATTCACGTCGTGAGAGACTGTTGCTGATGAACTGCCGTCGTCGACAAATGCGTGCTTCTCCCAGTTGCCTCAGAGCATGGGTCAAACTAAGGAGAACCCCGGATTAATCTTGCCCCGAGCTTACTGGGGTCTTTGTTACTCCCATTACCCTGCAGCAATCTTTAAATTTAGGAGGATGAATCGCCACAGAAGTCGTGGTGCTGTTTGAAGCTTAAAAGGATGTCGGGCAATAGTTTCTCAAATTTTGGCCGTGATTTGATTCAAAAATGAGTGCCTATAGATAAGATAGAGAGGCCCTGTTCAAAGTGTTAACCTTCTCGCATTCATTTGACTCCATGCGATAAAACTTATCGTAGATTTACAGGGTTCACGCAGCGATCTCTACCCCGCGTCACAACAACTCACTCTGATTTGCTAGGAGCAAATGCCCCGCTGCGGGCTTTAACATCAGACGCGTCTGAAAAGAACGACGTCATCGTCGATCGCCAAGGTTTGCATCACGATCTCAAAATCGCCTACAGAATCGTCACTCATTTTGCGCCCGCATCAACAAATCTTCATTCCCATTCCACCATCACCTTTACATCACCACCAAAACAATATCGCAGATAATTCGATGGATTTCTCCTGTCACGTCCGCATAAACAACGAATCCCCAGAGGATCTCCTCCTCGAAGACTCTGGCCTCGAGAGCGGAGACTGGCCATTACGTCAGCCCCTCAATGTCATCGAAGCAGGTACCCAACAGACCATCTACCTCGCGCAGCCGAGCTGGGGCGGTTCAAAAGCATGGGTCACGTATGAAGCGAGGTACGGACAGGGATGGAGGAATTTCACGCTCGAGTTTGAGTGTCCTGCTATGCCGCTCTCAAAGAACCATGTCAAGGTGAAGGATTGCTCGAGGGTTTTTGAGATTGAAATTACGGATGTTCAGGAGCGAGGGAGTCCTTTGACTGGTAGGTCTTGAGTTTTTGTTATTGAATGTGTGCTGACGGGTTAGCGAATGTAACGATTCGCATGGATGCGAAAAAGTCTATGGTTACGAAGAGCGACGACATCCGGGCAAACTACGACATCGGCGTCGGCGTCTCGTTCCCCACGAAGATGGACATCAAATTCCCCGTTCACGAAAGTATCGTCGTAGCAGCCTTTATCGAATCCGACATGACTTTCCCCCGCGGAACAGTCTACAACAACATCAACGACAAACAATGGGAATTCTTCCGCGGCGTAGTCTGGAACGACGATCCCTCCTGTCTACTCTTTGAAGATGTCACTGAAGACAATCGCATGTTTGGCTTGGGCGTCGAGTGGTTAAACGCTTTCAAGTTCGGCGATGAGAAGTGCATGACCAAGCGATCACACATGGGAGATCTTCAGTTCTTTCACGGTATGGGTTCAGTGATGGGTGAGAAACCGGAGAAGACGCGCAAGAATATCATGACCTGGATGGAGGTTATGTATAAGCTTGCATGCGGCGATCAGGGCATTTCCGAAGACGACATCCTCGACGACGTCCTGCCGGATTTCTTCACCGAAGAAACCGTACCCGCGAAATCCGACTCCCTCCGCGATCTTATCCTCGCTACAACACCGAAATACAAAGATGCCAATATCCGCAAACGCGCATTCGGTATTTGTCTCCATATGATCTCCGACTCCTACGCCCTAGGCCACACGCAGCGCCGTCTGCGCAACCCCTCTGACCTCATCGAGCGCGATACCGCAGGATACATTCGCTTCAAGCCTGATACCTACGGGGACTGGGGCTCTATTCTCTGCTTCCACACATACAACGACCAAGACGGTGATCGTCACTCTCACTACGATGATAAAGACGGCGAACAAGATCCTGTGCCGAGGGACGTCACCACCTTCAATGAGATGATCGGCGCAAGAAATGCTATTCAGGGCTGCACGGAGATGATTAATCTGTTTATCAAGAAGACGCCGTGGAAGGAAGGCGTGAAGAAGGTTTTGGAGGAAGAGATTTTCGTGCTGGATAGGGATGCTAAGCCTTCTGATCACTTCACTGATGAGAGTGTTGTTTCGTATGTTTATGCGCAGAGGTATGAGGAGATTGAGTATCGGGCGGGTTTGGAGAGGAAGCTCGCTTCTTTGGAGGAGGGTGGATTGATTACGCAGAAGAAGGGCGACAAGTCAAGGGTCGTTCCGGCGTTGGCGATGATTTGTCTTTTCTTCAGCGCAATGTTTTTCACGTTCCTTACTATGAGGATTCATGGGCTTATGTATTAGTGAATGATGATTTAGGACTGAGGGCAAGGACAGAATGGGATATTGGGTTAACGGCACAGGGACAGCGTTGCATTTATTATTATACCACTCCAAAATTGATAATTTGTAATACTGTAACCCAATATTCGATCCATACACCGTATATGTATTTGGTCATTCGTGTTGTCTCCCGTCCATAACATTGGGGCGATGCCGGCCAAAGGCGATGTTCACCTCATGCGCCAATCATGCAACTACTCTCCTCGCTGTCTTATAGAGTCTGTAATTGATCATGCTTCAAGTGTTTCTTAAAGTTTCAATTTATTAACATACATCAATAAACGCTCATATTCAATGTTGGCATTCTCTCGGGCCATTGTCTGCATGATCCAAACGATCAAACAAAACGTCCAGACCTTTTATTATAAAGAACTGGCTTGCCCCTCCGATCTTTCCATCCTCTTAGAGATTTTGGTGACTGCACGAAAGTGAAACGTCCTCGTCGCCGGGATTTGTGCGATGGTGTTGTGTTGCAGTCTGCGTTAACTGGTCGTGCTTGGATGTGCAGCCCGGCGGTTGAGCCACTGCCTGAGTGGCGAGAGATCATTACGCGTAGTAAATATTAAGAGATATGAAGGGGAGTTTTGGGAAAAGCTAATATGACACTGAGAGAACGAGTCCTGGCGCACGAATTAAAAGGGATATTTAATCAGGCGAGGAAAGTCAGAAACCATGCTTTTATATCACAAGAACGCACGAAGTTTATGTCCCCTTGCCTCAACTTTAATGAGAGGATTCCTTTGGTAGGGCCAACGACATCTTTGTTCAAGGCATTGCGCGAGTGAATGATAGATGTTCCATGTTTGTTTGGTGAAGTTCCCACTGCCGGAGCTCACTCGTACTGGCCTTAAAGCAAATGCTAACTCAGAAATGACCCAATCAGTCTTTGACAAGTGATAAAAGATATCATATCAAGTTTACGTGACTGGTATCATCCAGTGACTGATTCGCATGCATGTACAATGTCTTTTGTTATCAGCAATAGAGGCGCAGTATAAGAGCCTGTTGCTATGTCTCCATCTGCTAATTTCTGCCGGGAATAGACCCGGCGAGAACTGCAAAAAGCGGAAAATGAAGGAGGAGCAGAATATCCTTCTTCAGAATGCAATGCAGCAATAGAAAAGCAAAAAACAATTCGCAAAATCACGAAAAAGAAAACGGGCTCCACCGGGGATTGAACCCGGGACCTCTCGCACCCAAAGCGAGAATCATACCTCTAGACCATGAAGCCGACTTTAGTCATTGTTAATAAGCAGCCTCAAATTACAGGATATATACCTGACAATTTCTACCCTCCACTTAGATTGCGCAACTTGCCAGACCCAGCCCTGAGACCGAATCTCGCTACTCGTTAAGTCTCGTTCCCGTCGAAACACCATACCCGCTTCTTCCCTCATTCTGGATCAAGCGGCATGCCAAGATCTATATCTCGCCATCAGGGTCAACTTCACATCGCATACATCCCCATCGCGAGTCATCTATCACAAAAGCTGCACCTGCATATGCCAAAGATCACTCGGCAGTTATACTCGGACCACTCTTTTAGTCACCGATCACATTTCCCATAAACAATTCCTCATCACCTGATGAAATCCTCAAGCCTCCATTTCACAATCACACACAAAAGCACCTTCCCGATTAACCTTCGCTTAAGCACAAAGTTATAGATCTAGACATTATAGCGTAGATCAGGCCGTCACGAATAGCCCAATCGAGCAACAAAACCTGGGCTGCAGGGCCGTTAGTATCTCTTGCATATACTTTCGGGGAGCGCGCCTCCCGCCAAGATGAGACAAACTCTATTGAGGTTCCTCTGTTCTTGGCGTTGATCTTTGACTCGAATGGTTTTGAAGCCCGTTATCACCGTCTACCGATTGGTCCACCATGTTCAACATCCTTGCATGTAGGCAAAACCCCCAGTTTTACCGCGGCAATTGCGACGAACTCCATTCCCTTTCACAACCCAAGACTTGTCTGTTTCAAGAAGAAGAAGGTGCAGAATCTCAAATCCGATTGTGGATATAATGACAAAAGCCACGTTGCCGAGACAGGGATCTTGATTGGGATCTTTGGTCGATAAGAAACTGCAGCGCCGTTATTCCGCAGGGTCGCGGATGTAACGTTGAGAAAATACTCGAGTCAGTCGCACGTTGGAGTTGCTGTGCCAGGGCTAATCAAGATGAAACCACGGCAATTCGAGGACAAGACGGTAATACCGGCACCACCTGATTGTCGACGGTGATATATTCACCAACCTTGCCCGTGAATAACCTCAACCTAGCCATCAATAGCCTCAACCATGGCCAAAATGGCGGAATACCCAGAAAAAAACGGTGACGTCGTCATCGCATTTCCTAAAACTATGCATAATCCGAAACTTAAATCGATACCAAGACTCTCGTTCGCAACACGAGGCTTCCATCCCTGACGAGCCCCGCCCCTCGTTTCGGACGAGTTGACCCCCTGATAATGGCAGCCGAGCCCGCAGTATACTATGGAGTCAATGCAACGAATATGTCCCACTGCTAATCACGAGGTTAATCGTTGCTTTTTTGTATAACGATTTGCAATTCCCGTAGCTTGTTAAAAAGGCCCCCATGTCTCACGCCTGGGGAGTTAACAAGTAGCCCTGTTTTTCTTTTATCAGCATTTGTTTTTTGTGCAATGGAGGTTGACCCTTTGGTAGTTGCCATCTTTGGCCCGCCGCCTGAAGGGATAGATCTCTCGGCTAATAGCGAGGCCAAGAATGCTGGTGTTGTTCTTAGCTTGTTGTTCATCTCTGCTTTGTTCTTGGCTGGACGTATTGTGATTCGTACGCAGCAGGTTTATGGGCTGAGTCTTGATGACTATGCGATTATTGTATCGTGGGTCTTTGTGGCTGCTACGGCGGCTATGGTAGTAGTTGGTAAGTCAATTGGTTCTTTTAATTAATGCCTACTAATATTGTTAGTTGGGCAAGCTGGTGCTGGTAAGCATGTCTGGGCACTCACGATAGATCAAATGGTTGAGGTCTCCAAGGTTCGTCAGCGCTCTGTAGTCAAGTCTCATACTAATTTGTTAGCTCTCATACATATATACTTACTTCTTTGCAATATCCGTTTTCACGACCAAAGTATCGATTCTCCTCTTCTACCGACGATTATTCAGTCGAGGTGGCATGTCATTCAAGATCGCCTTCTGGTTTGGTGCCTTCCTAGTGGCGTCATACCCAGTGATATTCCTGTTCACTATGCTATTTGGCTGTACGCCTTTGAGCCACTACTGGACACAGTTCAAAGGGACCGAGGGAACATGTATCGATGTTGGCCAGTTCTTTGTCATTCTGGCCATTATCAATCTGTTCACCAATGTTATTGTGCTGCTGATACCGGTGCCAGAGGTACTGAAGCTTCAGATGAGCAGAGAGAAGAAGGGAGCTGTGTTTGGTATCTTGGCGCTTGGAGGCTTGTAAGTCCCCAGCACCGTGCCGCTAGAATACTACTGACACTACACAGAGTCTGCATCGCCAGTGCTGTGCGCGTATACTATCTCGACGTCTTCGCCAAAGCCGCCGACAACACATGGGCCATGGGCACCGTAGCAATATGGTCCTCCGTCGAGCCCTCAATGGGCATAGTATCAGCATGTCTGCCCAGCTTCAAGTCATTCCTGCGATACCTGCGCCTCAAAGGCGGTAGCAAAAGCAGGTCAAGTTTCCCCACAATCTCCAACGGAGCAAAAGGAAACAGACTACGATTTGATGATGAGATTGCGCTGAGGAGTCAGATAGTTGGTGGTGAGGGGAGTATGCATAGTGGACAGGGAAGCGAGGCTGGACGACAGATTTATGTCAAGACGGATGTTGAGCAGGTCATTACTGAGATACCAGAGGCGATGAGACGAAGCAATGTTTGAAGTGATACCAATTGAGTTTATAGCTTGCGATGCATACAAAGAAGCGGCCTGAAATTTATGTCTCTAACATTTGTAAATGAAAACTGTCTTCCCATTAGAACTTGGAAACACTCGCGCGCCCAACATCGATCCCAAATCTCCCAACAGTCCTTTGAACTTCCCGCGCCGCGTTTGGAGAATCTGTATCCCCTGATGTTCTCGCATCATCACTCCGCTCTTCTGATTCCACCGAAGCCTCTCCTTTCTGCCACCACCCAAGACTAAACACCCAGCCATCAAAAGCCTTCTTCAGCTGTGCATCAGTCATGTACTCAGCTCCTCTTGGTATAATGCCCGAATCTCGATCGCACAGCTGAGATCCAGCCAGGAATGCCATCGTGCTGGCGATACTGCAAGGATCGCGTGGAAGTGTACCGCGAATCTTGACAAGAAGATAGCTTGCGAGGCTCAGAACGGCTATGACAGCTAGTAGAACTTGGAGAATGGTTTTGGAAGTTGAGTTTATGGCAAAGCGGGTGATTACTTGGCGCATTGTTCCTTTTATCTCCGTGTTGAGTGACACTGGCTCCTTATCTGAAGACGGAGAGGCTAAAGCGCTGACAAGCTCGTCATGGGGGGTCTTTTGGTCGGCTCGGAAGTTGAGATCAATGACGTATCTCATGTACTCGCCGTAACCCTTCTTGACTGCATCGATCAAATTGCTGACATTCCCAGGCCCGAGAAGTTCCTCTTTCTTCACTGCCTGGGGACCATAGATTAAGTGATTGAAGAATGGATCACAGTCCGACTTTAGCTCGGTCATGTTGTGAGTCGGGTAGAGTTTCAGGTGGTCATCGAGAAAGCTTTTAAGCTTGTAGTTAAGCGCCGATGAACCTGAGGTGCTGTTTATCCATTTCCAAGCTTGCTTTCGAGCTAGCAGTGGAGGATGCTTCTCGTCGATCACCCCAAGAGCTGGGTTGCCCTTGAACGTGACGTTGGTAGGAATCTGCTCGATGCCCTGAGTGCAGGTCAAGGCTGTCATGTTCCATACCGAAGTATCATTGCCTCCCATATTTCCAAAAAATATGCCGACAGAGGGACAATCAGCATTGGGGTCAGTAACGGTTAGGTTGAGATCCAAGTAACTACCAATCCACCTATCGTGATAGGATTTTCCTTCTCTATCCGCAATCTCTACACTCGTGTTGAATGATACATAAGACTCCCCGTTGACATCATGGCCTTTGCAGCCGACCGGAGCAGTGAAGTTGGCCCATATGACTTTTAAATGTGTGTGCCCGATCTGATCTCCATCGAGGGCGTAGGTGTACGTCCTGACCCACGGATTCATGACTAGATGCTCTGTCGGGACCACAGTACAGTTCAGGGAGGGCCGCAACGCCCCGACGCTATAAGTGTAGCTGGAAGATTGAATGCCAGTGTCTAGCTTAGAAGCATCAGGAAATGCAATGCTTGTACTCGGCAGCACCACATCTTGCCAAATTGCAACTGAGGAGTTTGCACCGCCATGCCGAATGAGGTTCAGTGTCTTTGCGGCACCCGAGTCATCCTGGCTGAGGGCAGGCCATGATGAACGCCAATTCCCCACCATTGCTGTCGCCGATCTCTCAACATTCACAGGCCCTTTGAATGTCCAGAGACCCGATGAGACGATTGTGAGAAGGCTGCCCAGGAGCGATGAAATATTGGAAGAAGCCGGTCCTAGCTGACGGGCTCGCAGCGATTTGAATACTATGAGGAACGGCGACACGGAAAGCAAGTGAAACAGAATACTTGTTTCAGCAGGCGCGCTTCCAGATCGAAGAACACTATACGGTGCAAAGGTCGCTATGATAAAGTCAAGAGTACTGACCATTGTCGATATGAGAAAGAAAACCGCTGTGGTGGCCATTCGTGTAATTGAAATGGTGGAGGAGTCTGTTTTGTTGACGTCGAAAAGGCCTTGTCTTTGGTTAGATAGTTGTTGAAGGAGCTCAAGTGCGCCGATAGCAAGTAAGGGGATGGCGATAGTGGCCGTCGCGAAATACAGGGACCCAGCTATAGGTGTCCAGGGCTTGGCCTTGGTAGTTAGACGTTCTCGGTCATCTGGAGGACTGTTCTTCTCCGTTATATGTATCCGAACATCACTACTGGCGCGGGTCATGGCGAACTTCACATCTCCTATCCTCTCAGTCAAGCTCCTTTCGCCCAGTTCACCCGATCTTTCGAGAATCCTCTGCAGTGAAGGATTGTTGGTTAATACGGCAGCATGACCGGCAACAGAGCCACCCATCGCAGACACCCAGCAGCGCGTAGAAGATGCAAACATTAAAAGCAAACAGAGCACGGACAAGACTGAAAAGCCTGAAACCATGAGCCAAAATGCCACATTACTCATCTGTAGCCGTGGACTGCTGACGAGACCACCACCTGTACTGTTTGTAGCTTTGTCCACAAGCAGTGACTGACGAGCAATCTCATTAAGTAGTCCTTCAAGAATCTCCACTGACATCTTCCTCAGAGTTGACTGTACGGAAAGAATGTCAGGTCGGAACTCGCCTCCCAACTTGATAGCCATCAGCTGGAATAGTGCTTCGCTGGCAGTCCAACTGTAACCCAACTTGGTAGATTCGATAGTTAGGCGGGGGACATTCTCATTGTAGACAAGAGTCGAAGACGCCACGTCCAGATCTGTCATAAGCATTTCGGACAGTGAAAGTTCTGTCAAGTTGCGTAACTGTCTTCCTTCTCCGTGGTCGGCAGCTGGGGCCAGAGTCACATTGCGCGAGAGCATGTCCTGAGTTGCAGTGACCGAAACTACTTTGTAGCCAAGCTTGCAAACAACGGCAGATTGATTGTTGAGTTTGACAGCTTCTGTAACATTCGTGGCCGTGGAGGAAATGTTGTGGTGCGCGACTGTGATGGCGTATCGTATATCTGTAGTCTGCCTGACCTCTGAACAATTTACGCGGTGAAGCGTATATGCCCAGGGTTGGCTAGCGCACCTGCTGCCATTCTTTCTATAAGGCCTAAAGTCAGGACATATAAAACTACTGTTCTTTCCTGTTGAGCACGTCGAAGACTTCCACATGTAGTATGAGCCTCGAGAAGTTGGAGGATCCATGGTCAACGTTGCATCTTCGCAGTCAACGATCGGGAGAAACAAGTCGACCGGTGCTGTGAGCGACGTAAGGTTGAGCGATGGTGCTGTTGATTCGAACCTCTGGGTTACGATTCCACCTTTTGCGTTCCAGGCATAATCACGCACAACATCGCCTCTGAGACGAGACACATACGCATAGACAGGCTTGTCCGAGCCGCCATGGTACCACCCGCCTTCCCCGACTCCTATGGAGATACTGCTCTCATCGATCCTGCCAAATGAATGGAATGAGGCCCGAGCACTAGCAGCGTCGAAGGTATTCTCGTATGTGATATCCACTGGCGTAGCATGCGAAGGATGTTGAACCACGAATAAGGTAGTAGAAACAAGGATGATACCCTTGAGCAGGAAGAATGAGATGATTGTCGCGGAAACACGGTAGTGACCAAACTTGAAGGCCCGGTATACGCTCTGGACCTGGAGCGGTGACACATAATCCAGCAGAAGCGCCCTGGAACCGAGTACAGGCCCAGATTGAAGTTCCCTCCATGGTTGGGCAGCCTTGTAATAGTAATCGACTCGTCTTCAGAAGCTCAAGACGATTACGAGCACAGCAGTCGGACCGTACGTCCAGGAATACTCGCTGGAGGAGAAATTGAGAGGGAAGCCGTCTTTAGAATCGGAAACGCATTTGAGGGCGATGAGTGAGGCTGCGAGGATTGCGAAGACGATGGCAAATATGAGCAGTGCGTATTTACTGAGCCAAAATGGTGGCTGTGTTATTCTCTGCTGACGAATGTTTGGCTGCTCTTCCGTGGTGTTGCCGAGCGATGGTTGTTGTTCAGCAGAGTCTTGCTCCAGCTGAGAGCTCGGGCTCTGTGGCCTAAGTTTTTGTGTCGGGGAAGTCATCGCACAACCTTAGATAACTTAAAGTTTAAAATATGCCGAGAAGTGGATTGTCAGAGCTTATTTCTGTACCCCTCAAGCTGATATATAAGTTAGCATGAATCGACATGGGTTTCATTTAAGAAAATTGGCAGCCTGTAATCCTGGGCGATTGGGGGCCAAAGCTGTGCAGTGCCGCAAGGCCTACCGTTTGTGTACTCTTTGTCTACCAATAGTATCTTGCAACCGAGAATCTTGCGTCATTTGGAAAAGAAAAACAGGATTTGATGGCCCATTGATGGATAGAGACAGGGACGACTTGATTTGAAATCGAGATGGAGAAGAACTCTACATCCTGAAGCTCGAGCTGTGAGTTTACTTATTGAGCACCAGGTATTGGACATTGGTACGCCACAACGGTGGCCTGAAATGAGGGGAATTCAGTAGCGGCGTTACACAAACAGCGAGTACATTAACACAGGGCCCATTGTATTATCATCTGTGCCAGATAAATGCTGGGCGCTAAATGGACGGGACAAAAATCGGTAGCCACGGGTAGAATACGATGATTAACCTTGGGAATCTTATTGGCTGAGCATTCCTAATAATAGAATCGTAATCTCTACATATCTAAACCCATACAAAGCTTGCGAATATTTCCAACCAATTTACCATAGTCATAAGCCATCATCAATCACTTACCAAAAGAGCGGAAGGTCAACAGTTGTTTCCCAGTCCATGTTGGAGTCCTTCAACTCTATCCTGTCAATGCAAGTACCAAACATTTTATCCCACAGACGAGTCTGCTTGCCATAGTTGCCGCTTGCCTTCCAGCCCTTTCGGTGGTGAAGATCATGATCCTCAATCACAAGCTCGGCATCAAGCAGACGAAGCAACCAGCTAAGCGTGCCAGGCGGTGATGTATAGACACGCAGACCGCTGTGGCCACCCAGCTCAGTAAACATGATATACTGGTGGCAGATCCACCACTCGTAGAAGCCCATGGGCAGACCCATGAACTTGAGGGAGAAGTACGTCGCGAGCGGGATGACGGCGATGTCGAAGATCTCCTGTTCGAAATCGGCGTAGAGCGTTAGGAGCGGGTTAGGGTGCTTGGTCAGGTGATGAGTGCGATGGTATTTCCAGAGACTGCCGACCTCGTGCATGAGTCTATGGTACCAGTAGAACCAAAAGTCAAGCACGATTCCGTAGAGACCAATTTCGAGTGGAAGCCAGACCAAGCTGATGGACGAAGGAGCTTGAGCGGTGCGGTAGCTGAGGAAGACGGTAAAGATTGGGCGGAAGCTAGACGTGGCGATGAGGCTCTTGACGACTTTGGTGACGCCAACATCAGGAACTCCATCTCTCTCGTGGACATCACCATCCAAAAAGCCCGTCTGGTGTCCTACTCGACGAAGAGCATGTAGTTGATGCACAGCGGTAACCTTGAAGGCAAGACTGTAGAAGAGAAACGCTTGAAGGGGCGTAAGGTTCTGCCCAGTGTATAAAACATAGGCATGATGTAAAGCCATAGGAATGAGTGAATGCACCAACACCCAACGGTGCAGCTGCCACTCAGGTGTATATGGAACTTTATCTCGCTTCTGATGCACAGGCACCTCTTTATCCAGGGTGACGTGGTGAATGCCCAAGATCTCGAAGAACCAGTGCGACAATGTCCAGTTGCTTTTATCGGCGCGTCGCCAGGTCGACTTCATAGAGTCTTTCGGGTTCTGTCTCGACTTGAGGCTGGTCGATGGATTTGCGTCTAGTCGTGACGAGTTGGACTCGTACACGGCGGTTGAGGATCGTGAAGCCATTTTGCATGCGTTGTAAATACTGATGAAGATGGATCTTGATCCGTTGAAGAAGTTGGGTTTAGTCTTTATATAGTTCGTTGGTTGCCACATGTAAATCTGGTTTCAATTTGCCATTTGTTGGTTTCCTTCGTTTCTGTGTTCTTAGTGGCCTCCACCTCTGTCGCTAAACTTGGACTACCGTGTTAGTCAATCAAGACTAGAGTTGCCGAGGTTCTGCAGATCATCAGTGCACACGTCAATGGGCACCCCTAATTCGGTACTGGTTTGCGATGGGGGAGGGGCATTAACAATGGCCTGATCATGCACTATGGCTTAGACAGCTGAAAGTGTACTTCGTCGCCTCTGTCATAACGTCTCAAACATCTGACACACACGAGTGCTCAAGGGCGGCCTTTCTAGCAAATGGGCAAATACTGCATTATCCCTTCTGCCCGGCGAAAAGGGTTATACCAACATGGTCATGATCCGAGCTCGATTGATTGATATTTAATCTTATGACGTCTCAACGAGACATATCAAGCCAACACATGTTGAGGAATCCGGATCTCGCACACGCTGTGATTCTTGGTACCCTCGCCACTCGGCCCTGTGGCCCATGCGCAAATCTGTCTGCCACATCCTGATCGAACGTTCCAGTTGAAGCTCGGAGGGTTTTGTGTCCCCTTGACGTGATGATCCACGTCATCAAAGCAACCCTGGATCTAATCTCGAAACCACACTCACTGCAAGGCTTGAGTCATAGCACGTGCCAGACAGCGAGGTGCATCATTTCACGGCTTTGGAAGGGAAAAATAGAGTGCGTTCCATTGCGGGTACTAACAGTTCATATCGCAAGCTAAACTCAAATAGTGCTCGGGGTCGGCTCGCGCTACCGACTACATGGTCCCACTGGTGGAACTAGTACGGCAAATGGTTACGGGGCATATGCAACCTCTTTTGACTCGTTCCCAAGCGAGAAACTGTCAAATGCCAGAATTTGTTGGGGCAAAGCTTGGTTCTGGGACGAGGATGCCGTGGCTGATTATGTGGCTAGGGTTGGAATCATAGTGGCTGTGTTCTCTCCTCTAGAGGCTGACAAATAATTTGTGCTGATACGTATCGATCGCTGGCCGCATATCACATGAAAATATGCTTGTGTTACCTGATTCAAGACCAGATGTCGAGTTCATGACGTCTCTGTAAAATACAGTACGTACCTTGCCTTACAGTCATGTCAGTCCACCAATTAGAAGTGCCGGAAAAAGGATGTAACGGTTTCCGGATTAGCCCCGCTATCAATACACGTTCATGACACGACTTCGCTCATCATTCACAGCCCTTGAGGGTCTGAGCAACATGTCTTTGCTTGAGAGATTGCCCCCTGAAATTCTCCAAGAAGTTTGTAATCATCTACCCTATACTTATCGCGATGCTGACCGGGCGTAGATCGTGTCGTACCTCCACGATGGCTATGAGCCTCCTCGCTATGGTGGATACGATCCTCCTCTAGGCCAACACGAGATTGTAGGGATCAAGCGCCGCACGTACCTAGCATCTCTACGTGCCGTAAACCTTCTGTTCTACGATGTCGTCACACCTATTCTTTTTCAGCATGCCATCATCTACTCCGGCAGTGTCGTAAGACGATTGGGCGTAACCGCCGTGACAAGCAGCGGCGTTACGGGCACTGCTCGTCTTGTAAAACTGTCAAAGAATCCTCAGCTTCGCGAAATTGTACGCCGGCTGGAAATTTGCTTGAAAATCAAGGGTCCGAATGATTTCCAAGAATACAAGATCGAGGAGAGAGATAAGGACTTGGAGTATATTGCACGAGTGGGCTCAGTGATTCACAGCGCATTGCCCAGATTTACGAATCTCAAGATCTTGAAGCTTAACTTTGAGGATATTCCTTATAACTACAGTCAGGACTTTGACGACCCAGGAATGGGCAGTTGTTGTTGGGTTCAAGATACTGAGAATTTCTTTGAGTCCCTAGCAACAGCACTCTACAGATCCGGGCTCAAGAATCTGGAAGAGCTCGACCTCTCCTTACCTCTCGCCTATGACTTTGGGCATTTCCTCGAAGATGACGATGAAGGGGGACCTGCCTCTCCAAGGGCATTCTTCAAACGGCTCAAGCGTCTAAGTGTACACTATGGACATTGTACTGAGGAAGACGAAGATTTGGAATTTCGGTATAACCAATCTAATCAAATGTTCGACAGATACATCCGAGAGTTGATCCCACTCGCGACAAACCTGGATACTCTCAAGGTGAAGGGCCCCGATGTGCTGATGCTGGACTCATCAAGCCTGGAGCCCTTGACCTTGGAAGTACTAGACCTACAGAGCCTGTCCATAACAGGGGAAACGCTAATAGCCCTCTTTGAACGGTCTAAAGCACTACGAGAAGTTGTGCTCATGGGAGTCTACCTCGAGTCCGGCACATGGGTCGACATCCTGACAGCACTGAGCAAAACAAGCCTTACGGATTTCTACATTGAAACATGCGGCTATCAAAAAGAAGGCGATACTATCCTTCGCGTCCCCGTCGATCACATGGACCAAGCCAACCAGGACGATAGTTACCTCGAGACCAACCGCACCGAAGACCTAGACGCGTGTGAATTGGTGTTTGCGCGAGTTGATGAGAACATGCGCAAGATCCACGGGGATAAGTACGATCAAGCGGCGGCTGAGAAGAAGAGGGAGACTCTGCGTCAGGATATTATTGAGAAAACGGGGTCTCTTGGGAAGTTTTGTACGTCGTTCTTTGCGGAGATTGAGCAGGAGGAGGATGGTGATGATGATGAGGAATGGATGATGAGGGTGATGTGGGGAACATAGCTGAGGTCCTTGAGATTGCGTTTGGTCAACGAACTGGGGATACGGATGACGAGGATGGCGTGTCTTCGGAGGTTTAGTCGTCGGATTCAGGTTTGTCTGGTGATGAGTAGGCTCTCATTTTATATGGACTGCGGTTACGGGGTTAAAAGGTGGTGTCGGTCATTTTTGAAGGGGAATATACGGGAGTCTGAATCTAGTTTTCTTATATCTCATTTGCAGTATCAGCGTTCAAGATCTTGGTGACAACTATAACATCACCAAACCAGCGCCAATAAGCATGCTAAAGAGCACCGCAAGAATGGAGAAAAGCCCACCACTTATCAACAGACTCGAGGCTCCATTATCATCATCCTCGTCCTCAGCGTCATCGTCGCCGCTATTTTCCCCACCGTTGCTTTCATCTCCGTCCCCAGCTAGCTTCAGATCCGACTCCTTGTATACAAGCTTCACAGCAGGAAAGCGTCTAACAACCGCAAGTTCGTCATACTTGAAAGTCCCCAGAGTTTGCAAGACTGTCATCGGCCAGATCGTCGAAGTTGGCTCCGCCGGTACCACTGAGTGCAAGTATTCCGACACCTTGCTTCCCTCTACCGTGTAAACGGAACGTATTGCACTTCGAGGTAAGTATTTGCGGCAGACCTCTGTGTATGTTGCTGACCTTAGGGGTTTGATAGATGAGAAGCAACCTCCAGCCTTTGCAGCAACCCAGCCACTGGTAATCTTAGAATGCGACACAATTTATATGGTGAGGAAGGTATTGGGATTTACCTGGGGCAGCAATATGCCAGCGTCTCAGAGGGACCCAGTGCATTAAGCCATACTTGCTCCAGCGGCATATTCGGATCAATGATAGACACGTCTCTCGTCTGTGTGAAAACGCCTCTTTTGTTGACTGAACCTGTCTTATTGCCATGTGCCAGCGTGCCAGCTGTAGTCCAACCCTTGGGACAAGCTATGCCAGGTGAATAGTAGTCAATAGTGCCCTGACCTCCATGTGCATTATAATAAGAGACCACCTTGTCATGATTCGATCCAGATGGGATGCACTTTCCCATTGAAGCAGATTCGCATGTCGGAACTCCATAACTGACTGTTATAGAGTCGGGCTGCGCGAAGAGGATTTGGTCCGTCGTTACTGTTGTGCAGCTTGCAGGAGGCGTATACGTTGTTGTTAGCGGGCCGTTGTTGGTAAATCCAATGCCAAAATATTCTGTGATAGTCGGCATGGTGGTTAGTCGTAGAGGGAGATCTGATAGCTTCTTTTAGGGTTATTTTTAAATGTTATTGAAGAGTGGGAAATAGCGCGATGAGAAGTCTTTATTAAGAGTCTGGCTGCTGCGCCTTACCATGCGGCGTAGTAGCCAAGACCACTTGGAGAGGCTGTGATCTTACGACCTGCTCTTTTGAGCTTGCTGACAGCTTAAAAGATCGTCTGCCTATTGGTGGCTTTCTAGTCTTTGTTATTTGGCATTTGCAGCCGAGGTAACATGACTTAGATATGCATTAGTACGGTATCTTATATGTTACAGTGATGGAGGACCTCCTGATTAAACTGCTTAAAGTTTCTCTAAATTGGGCATGACATGAGGCGAAATTACGCCATCATTATCTTGGTGTTGACAACAAACTACCCAAGCTCGCCACTGGGGGGCTTCAACTGGGTCGGTTCAATGGGCTTGCAACATCTACCCAAATGCAACCCCGGGAAGCGAAGTTGCTTCTGGTCTCCTAATCCGGATGTTGAATTAAGCTATACAGCTATGATACCAATTTCTCTAGAGGCACGCAACCGCCGATTCTGCTACCAAGTTGCACCAACTGCGGGGGGCAGTCTGGCTAATAAGCGGTAAAATAGATAAGCAGATGACTACTTACATCCAGCCAGTCTCACTGGCAAGAAGACGAGGCTGAGCTTGAAATCTGAATCTCAATCTTTGTCTTCTCTTCCTCACATCATACAAAGAAGCTACAGAATGAGCGGACAGCCCTCAAATCTGCCGAGCGTGAGGTTGCTGAATGAGGAGGGTATTTGCGTGCTCTCCCTCGATAGCGGTGAGCTTAGGAAATGCTATAACTACGCTGAAGAGTACGAAAAGGCAGCCGAGAGCCTCGAGATGGGGATCAATGCCGCGGAAAATAAAATCGCAAAAGACGATCTGATTCTTATCGTTGTCAAGAACAACCTCGCCTATGCATATGAGCAAAAAGGTGAATACAAGAAATCGATCGCTCTCCTAGAAGAGACTCTGCCCATTCAGCAGGAAATCGTGGGCAAGTCAAATTTCGATACCCTCAAGATTCTAGTATACCTCATCGAGCAGTACAGGAAGATCAAAGGCCTCGCAAAGGCCATTTCACTTTTAGAGGAGCTGCACCTATTCAGAGGAAGTCTCTTGCGCAGGTTCATAAGAAGACTATGTCTTCCGAGAATGATCTTGCAGAGTTGTATCTTGAGAATAGGAATACTTACACAGCTTTGAAGTTGTATGAACATATGGTTTCTGTGCGACAGAAGAAATTGGAGCCAGGTGATGAGCAGAGGAAGTGGGCAGAAGTGCGTTCTCAGAAATGTATTGAGACCTGGAAGTGGACTTGGGCACGGAGATGATACTATTGAATTGCCAACAATTATTTGATTGCGTAATACGTCGATATATGATCGTGGATATTGCGTGGTCGTCTTGTGCCCTGAGTTCATTAGCGGACCGTTTATGGCTCGTTTGTGAGGTTTGTTGGTTGAACCCGGCACACGATCCATGTTAGCCTATCACTGTTCAGAAAGCCGAGAAACCCCGCTTCACAAAAATGCTGACAAGAGATAGCCATATTCTCGAAAGTTGGTTCTTTCATCGACCCGGGCCATTTACACTTATAAGCCAACATGCCTGTCCGCTCCCTGCATCTAGCCAAGTCAGGCGGAGGAACAAACCAACGGTCTCATTTCGCCCTCTTCATCCCGGAAGCGGGATATGATCGAGACACTATCAGTGAGGACTTCCGGTCTCTCAAGGCTATTGGAACAAGGATCCATATTGTTGGAGAGCCTCTCATGTCAGGCTTTGTATTCGAGGTCCATAGGAACTACAACACCCAAGCCTACCCGGACCTGAAGCAGCTGGTCTTCCTTGGCAAGATCGACGATTCAATGCTCCACAAATACCCAGAAACTAAGTCGGAGATAAGAGAGAACACATCGAGAAGCCTTCTCGAGCGAGTTGCAGAATCTGTAACTCCCCCTCCTAAAGGACAAGACATACGTGCACCAATCGATGGGGTAAGGGAGGTGACGCCAAAACCTTTCGGTGACTAACGATATCGTACTTAGATGAAAACAAAAAGATGTCAGGAGTGGACAATGGAGGTTTTGAGTCTTCTATCAGAGAAAGAGCTGATTTTTCCGGAGGCTGTAAGCATCGCGCAGAAGGAAAGAGATCCACCAACGAAAGGGATTTTTGGCTTCAAAGATCAAGAGAAATAGGAACGCTGAAATCTTGAGTTCCAGGAAACTCTACAGCTCAAGGCCTTTGAGTTTGTATCAGTATGCGTCCTGCATCGATAAATGTATACAGAACACAGCCATTATACAACAGTTACTCTTGACATCCAGTTGCTTCCTTTCTAGCCGCTGCAGCTTCAAGCTGCCGCATTGATAAAGGAAATTCTGAACCGTGACCATTTTCTCTGAGTTTCCTGAAGTGATCCAGACTCGGGATTATGCCCGCCTTCTCAAATGTACAAAATTCCAGATTCTCAGCAGCTAAATCTGTCACCACACCTTCGATATTGACTTGTTCGGTCTTCAAGTCTTTAACATATTCGGTAATGATTTCGAGATCTGTCCTATCCTCATTTCGCATGCGTAAATCCTCCTGAGGGCTCGTGAAGTCTACATCAAAAAGACGTTCAATGTCGTTTCTTGGTAGAGAACTTTCTGAAGACACAATTCGCTGTATCAGTGGAGCCAGGATGTGATTCCCAACGTTCTCAGAATAGTCCTCTGTTAGCTCTGATAGCTTGAAGTATCGAATCTTAACCGACGGTCTGTCGAGTTTTGAAAGGACATCCTCAGCTTGAGCATCTGCTAGTATGTCTTGAGCAAGATCCCCACCAATCTTTGAGAGTAGACTGAGTAGCAGGAACTGTACATTGACTTCGAAAACCACAAAGTTGTACGTGGAATTTCGGTAGGCCCCCAATATCACTCCAGGGATCACTACCCTCATAGTCCCAGTCTCAGAAAAGGACGCAAACAATGCAACAGGTGTTTCCAGGTCTTGGCAAGTCCTCGCCATACTCATGGCCATTTTTAAAGTTTCGCGTACTGTCTCTCGGTGCAGCCTTTCATTTAGACTTTGCGGTGTCTGCCTCTCTCCACTCAAAGTACTTTCTTGCGTCAAAATAAAGCCCGTTAGAAAGTTGGTGAACGCTGTTCCCTTTCTGACAATGGGTTCTGAATTCCAAGAACTAAGAAGTACATCATACTCGTGTGGGTCCGCTCCAAGGTTTATTAGTGCGTTGAACATCCGCTTGGACAGGTTGATCTCTGATAACGGGTACCATCCCTCTCGCATGATAGTGGTGGCCAGATGGGATGAGGTTTCAGTTGTCAGGCAAGAAATGACGTAATCTTCAAAAATCTCCTTGTTGGCCAAGTAACTCAAGAATGGGCGCTGAGGTGCCCATGAACGTAGATCATTTCTTAAAAGTTTCTTGTTACGTAGTGGCCGAATGATGTCAAGCATCTCGGTTGCCAATTGCACACCTGCAGTTCCCCATGCCTGTGCATAGTCGGTGATTTGTCGCATAATTTCCTCAGTTCCACATACAAGATCCAATTCGGATGTTAGAAATACCACTGAGCAGATCAAGCCTTTCAGAAGTCGCGATTGCGAAGTAAAGTCGGGCAGTTTTCCACATCCTAGGATATCCTGGCCCGCTTCTGTGTCTGTCAAAAAGTCATGTGCTGTTCTATGAATGAACGCAACGTTGCCAGATATATCTCTCAACGTAATGTCATTAGAGCCCAACCATTGGCGTACAAATGGGCCAGGCTCTAACGGATGTACTTCTAACAACCCTCCGGACCGGTTGTGTATAGAAGCCTTTGTATTATTGCACATTCCTAAAATCTCCGTGACTCCAATTGTACCCGTACTTGTCAGGAGACTCTGTTGTATTTCCGTATTCTCTGCGCAGGTGATCTGAAGTATCGATGGCAATGAAACTATTCTCCACGCCTCTCTAGGTCCACACCGAATTCTTGCATGAGAACCGTGCATAACGTAGCGAAAGTACTGACGAGCTGTTTCTCGATAGACAGAACTCTTTGCGTTCAGCCTTTCCCACATATCGACGTACAACTTCTCAAGGTCGCCGGGAAGCTCGTGGAGTCGTGTCAAAAGCATGTCCTCGGAATCATGATTCTCAATCCCCTCGATGATGCTTCGTGTAGCGAGATGAAGCCAGAGAAATACACCTTGGGCTTTAGCGACAAGCCCTTGGCTAAGGAACTCATGATGTCCCCAGCATAAATGGATAGCCGATGATGGCCCACTTAACCTCTTTCGTACAAAGTCAAGCATGTCGAATCTCGTCAATTGCTCAAGGAGGATCCCCTCTGCACTTGTCGTCTTGAGCCACCTCATGATTTGCGCCTCAGGCCGAGTCGACACGCAAAGCTTGATTCTTGGAAGCCTTGATATCAATTGGATAGACTGAGCCAGCTCAGAAAATCCATCTTTATCCCGGATCTCATCCAGTCCATCGACAAAAATGCATATATGTCGAGTATCGAGGTTCACAACATAGTCCCAGACAGCTTGTAGGTCCTTGACAGACCAATCGTGATATTCTGAGTGCAAGGACAAGTGACGGAATTGCTGTAGAGTACTCAACATCAATTGCTGTTGATCTTGGAGTCTCTGGTACAGCAGAGAGCACCAGAGACCTTTTATGCTGTTCTGCTCCTCTGAGCCAATTTTCCAAAAGAAGTAGGAAATGATAATCGCATCGGGGCTCCATTCTTGTACCAAGTTTCTCGTTTGGTCCTGGTTTAGGACGAATTTGACAAGAGTGCTTTTCCCGGAGCCTGGCTTCCCTTGGATATAGAACAATTTGTCATCTGACTTTAGCCACGAGTTAAAACTGAACCACGAGTCGTAGATGTTATCCATGTCACCCATGATGCTCATATAGTCAGGTCCGTTAGACCCTTCGGAGGATTCATAGCTCTCTGAGCCAGTATCCTCCGTATTACCTCCGTCATCAGCGTCATCTTCTGGATCATTGTCGTCTTGCGTATCAACGTTATTTTCTGATTCGTCTTCATCTTCCGATCTGTCGTCATTCTCTGACTCATAGTCACTTGTTGAATGGTCACTTTCATCTGAATCCCCCCCATACATGGCCTTCATGTCTTCATAAGTAGCAAATACTTGGTTGAAGCTTGCATCTCTTGAGTCCATGACATCGTTGTAGCGTTGATTCATCCGTGGAGCTTTAAGGCTTTGAAGAAGGGTTTCGCATTTTCTCTTTGTCTCAGCCGTAGTCCTGAGCTCCAGTACTTGGCTGTCCGTATGCGAATTGATGGCTGCCTCGGCCCTGGCACCTTCTTGGGTAATGGCGTTGCGAATTGCAACGTGTTCTCGCTTCACAAGATCCTTGACATCAGTGATACCCTGAGCTAGCTGGCCGATGAGAAACTGGACATCGGTATCCAGTTTACCGAACGATGCGTCTTGCTGTAAGTATATCGCATCGCTCTGTGAGCTGGAGTAATGCTTGTCTTAGTAGATACTCTAAGTAATCTAGATTGAGACCTTACCATAAATGAGACATCAGCTCAATTTTCATTACCTGTTGATACATTGAAAGCGATTCCTCAAGAGCCTGTAGCTTTTTCCTTCGCCATGCAGTTACGGTAGCCTTGCGAATAGCCTTGGCGAGATTTCCCTTGGCCTGCAAGCTAGTCACGCACTTGACCTCGTCTTCCAGCTTATCGGTGGCATCTTTGCATTCCTTAGCAATATTTTGCAGCTTTGGACTAGCAAACTTGGTGTTCGTCTTGCGCATCTGCTCGCAGCGAGTGTGTACTCGATCGACGGCTTCGGACATTTGCCCCGCGTAGCGCTGGAGATCATCGTGAGAAGTTGTCGCTCCATCGTATGCGTTTTTGCAAGCTACAGCGACGTCGGCTGCAAACGAAATGACTTGCAAAACTGCGCTCGCCGCGCCGAGTGCTTCAAAGCCCGTAAGCATGATGATGTGTTCTCTAGAGAGATGATCTGACGCTCTGAAGTGAGGGGTAAAGAAGTTGAAAAGTTCACAGCCTGATCAGGCTGTGCAGGTCTGATGTGTTGGGCTGAATCACGCTGACTAATAATAACATCTAGTAAGATAGTGATACCAATAATAGATATGCATGCGCGGGATAACCAGTTTTTGCGGTCTTATGCCTGTCGATACTTGCGCGAGTGGCTGAAAATGCAGAGCAATACTGATTGTCAGTCAGATTTACCAATTTGGTCCTGCCTAAGATAATTCAAGCATTTACTGGTGGTCCTCAACTCCAGCCTTTCGTCCTTCCATCTGCTCTACCAAGCCTGTCCTGTCTCAAACGCAGGCCAAAGTGACTGGATCAATCGCCAGATCGCGCAGCTTCAGGGAAAGATAGACGGTCCTCCTGTCAATAGGGATCTTGAGAGTTGCGATATAAAAATCCAGCTGCTCTGCCAGAAACGGCTGCTCCTTTACTGTGAAGGCCACGTTATACTTTTGAGCTACTCTTCTCCACTGCTGTAAAGCTCCATCTGCCAAGTTGATCCAGTCTTCAGTTACTCTCCATGTGATGGTAACTTGGTCTTTCTCAAGCTCATACCTGAAAACGAACCCATTCACATCCTTGTGAAACCATATTTCCAGAATCTGGAGTTTTGGCAAGTGCTGAGCTGTAACTGCAGATTCTCTCAAAAGATGATCTATCAGACCCTGGAATAAGGAAGCATTTCCCCATTTTCCCAAAGTTTCATCTGTAACTTCAAGACATAACTGCGCCAGTCTTGAACCGTGTTCCAATTGCTGCGACTCTCTAAGACATTGCATGAAATTCAGTGACTTCGCACAAGCTGGTGGACAGAGTGAAACTAGTTGGCGAGCCTTCTCTGCTAAAGCTTCCGGTAGTCCAGGCGTTACGCTTTTGAGTAGAGCCTCCGACGAAACTGGCGATCTTGGAAAGACGTTGAAAGAAAATCGACGAATATGACTTGGAAGCTGAAGAATCAGATTGTTCCAGGCCTGGAAATAACCCCTTCTATTCCATCGACCTGGTACAGCTTCGAGCCGGAAGGAAGCGACGTTCGTCAGAGCCATATCCAAGATCCGTATCAAGCTTAAACTCCTTATCCCTCTTGAAAATTGATGGCGTATCCAAAGGGTGTGGACTATCGGGACTTCCTTCAGGTTTTCCTTTGTGCTCAGTTCAAGCGGCGTGCCTTGTAGTCTCTGCCAGCTTTGCTCATTCGTCTGCCTATGCCAATTCTTTCCAGGTTCACGCCGATCTCTAGCCTTTTTGACATCTCTGAAACCCCGAACGCTTGATGGACTTGTGACATCCTCTTCTAATTGGAAGTTTTCATGCAGAGCATATTCCATTGATGCTACTTCAAAACGCTTATTGTCGCCTGGTGAGTAAGCAGTGATCTCGAGTATCAATCCGGTGTCCCGATTATTTGAAGGCTCCCAACGGCGGGGCACATTGAACAATTCAATGAGCGAATTGGTAAATCTCTCGTTATTCCTACAAAACACTGTTAGAGACAAGTGAGATGAGAAGATGCATTAATCTCACCAATTCCTGGTGTCATGAGACTCTGGCCTATCGCATTCCCGATAATCATAGTCCTGGAGCTCGACTCTTAAACATAGATAGCGTATATACGACAATCTCACGGCCTTCTCGCCCTCAGTCGCCTTGGAGAGCCGGTCCAGTTGGGAGTTGTCGATCAGAAGGCGTCGAAATGTGATCCTTTCGAAGTAATTTTGCCATTCAGAAGAGACGCAGGCATAACGATTCAAGTCTGTAGCACGATACTTCTGCTTTTCGGCCACATACCCGAAGATCTGTAGTCGAAGCTCTACAGGGAGCGACGACCACTCGTAGGAAATGGGTCTCATTGGGGTAGTGGATGCGAAAGCCATGCTGAAAAGTTTGTATTTCGTAGGACTTTGAGGACAGGGAAATTTTCACGGCGGCTGCTGGTTTTTGTAATAGATCGACGAAAGCTTTGTGTTTTTATGAACTTTGTCAAGGACTGATAATGGAGCGAGAAGTGCTGATAAGGACGCTGATTGCAATTATACGGCCCTCTTGTTGTTAAACTTTAGGCAACACGTGCTCTTACTCGCACAAACCGTGAGTGAGTCATATCAAAACTATAAATCGCAAAGTTTGACAAGATGGACATCAATTAACTGCGAAGACAATATGACTCCACAACTAACTCAACTCAGCCCACTAACTCTATATTCTTTGTTAATCCGCAGGCGCCAACTCATACCAACTCCAAGCCGCAGAAAGCCCATTGGTGATGAGGTCTCCAGTCCACAGCTCGCAAAAGTAAGATGAGTGATTAATAAGAGTGCAGGTATCATCATCAATACAGAACTGCATACACTCTTCGACCGAATATGCTCCACTATAATCTTTGATGTAGTTTTGTCCTCCTCCACTGTATTGTTTAAAGACGCCGCAGGAGTGGTCGGCCGGGAATCCACCAGGGCAGCCTAACGCGGCGGTTGTGGACGTGGCAGCTGCAGTGGTCGTTTCTGTGGTTGAAGCAAGTTCGGCGGAAGATGTTGTGAGTACTGTGGAAGATGCCTCAAGCTCGGTGGTAGCAGTATCAGTAGTGATAGCTGTAGTACCCGTCGTCGCCGTGGTAGCAGTGGCTTCTGCCGAAGTCGTAGGCAGCTCAGGCAGATCGCAGAAACACTCCAAAGAGTACCAAGTGAAGTCGGTATTAGAGCCATCAGTCCCCTGGACTCTACCTCCCCAAAGGTCGCAGTAGACGCCTGGCTGTATAGCAAAAGCAATGCAGCCATCTAGGCCCCGACAGACATCACGGCACTTCGCGATCGTAACATCACCAGACAGTTCAGTGAGAAATACCATGTTGGGGTCCGCGCCGATACCCTTGGTGTCGCAAAGGACACCGGCTGGAAATGGGGTCTTTTCATTGTTGACGCAAGTATAGCCAGTTGAGCTAGGAAGAAGGGTCGTCTCGGTGGTGGGTATTTCTGCAGATGTAGCTGTGCCAGTGGTCGAAGCTGCGTCAGTCGCTGTAGTCTCGGTCGTGATTGTGACAGTTGATGAGGGCTTGCATGGTCCGGCTTGGACCGAAGCGGGAAGAAGCCCAATCACCGCAATGTTTCTAGGGGCGATCATGTCGAAAAAATGGCAAGCCCACAAGGGGGAAGGTAAACGAGTGACGAAAGTTGAACAAGAGCAGAACTGGATCGAGCTGGGCGTTGTTGGGACTTAGGCGCTTGTTCTGTATGCCGATGGAGATTTAAGCCAATTTCCACCGACTGTCACCATAAACAGGCTGGATCAGGGGCTCTACTTAGAGAAAGATTCACATATTGGTATTTGCACAGACCTGAAATCTTTGTTAAGCCTCTTTACAAGCTTGTTTACATTATTGATCACTAGTGAGCTAGCTTAGATGGAACGGTCTAGCCTTTTAGTCCCTTAAGATAAGATAGTAAAGTGATATGACTATTTCTCAAAAATAAGCTTTAATTTATATTAAACCAAGTTAAGAAGAGAATCCCTACCTCTGGTTTGTTCTACTCAGTTCTTATATTAATCTGTTTTACTGATAAATAACCTGTATTAAAATAAGGACATACGTAATACAAGCACTGGGGCTGTAATTAGTAGGGTGCCCAGACGAGCCAGCCAATCACATCAGCCAATATATAACACGCTAAACCAGCTGAAGATCAAGTGGGAACACCACAAAATGCCTGTGTGAGGGTATAAGTATAGCTACAGGGACATCTCAGCTTGTTGTTTAATCCCGTCATCCTCGCCATCAAGCCAGGTGCCTCTCCTTCATCCTTATCGGCCAGTGTTCCAAGCCATCTTCAGCAACCATGTCGACATGCCACGCCCTTGAAGTCCCAAACACACAATGGAACTTCTGTCCCTCCGCAGCCGCCTCTATCCTATTCCTCGCGCTCTTCACCATCACAACCATAGCTCATCTCATCCAAGCCATCCGATACCGATCGCCATACTGCTGGGTTATCATCATGTCGGCCTTCTGGCAAGTCTTCACCTACATCTTTCGTACCGTTAGCATCTACAACCCGGCCAGCTTTGACTACTATGCCACATGGTTTGTCGTCATTCTCGTCGCGCCGCTATGGACCAATGCATTTGCCTACATGGTTTTTGGGCGCATGGTCTGGTGCTATACGCCTGATGGTAGATTGTACGGCGTCAAGGCTTGGCAGTTCGGTTTTATCTTTGTTTTATTGGATATTATCGCTTTTATTGTTCAGGTTTATGGTGCGGCGCAGGCTGCTACTGGAAAGAACAAAACACTTGACGAGAAGCTGGATGCTCTACACATTTATATGGGCGGAGTCGGAATCCAGCTGTTTTTCATTCTCGTCTTCGCCGTCTTCGGGATCCATCTCTTCCGCCGGCTTTGCAGCTCGAACTCGGGCATAGATTCTGGAGCGCAGAAGAGATCTGTTATGAAGCTGTTCTACGCTATGTTTATTGCACTAGCTCTTATTGTTGTAAGTAGACTGAGCCGACCGGTGGACCAAGATATCTAACGAGATCTAGCTGCGAATTATTTTCCGTCTTATAGAATATTCCGAAGGCCTTGACAGTACGATCCCGCGACACGAGGCCTATCAGTATGCGCTAGATTCTCTACCCATGCTGATTGCCTTGGTGGCCTTTAACGTTGTTCACCCGGCTCGCGTTATGGGAAGCAAACAGACCAGCATGCCTAAGTTTTGGCAGAGAAACAAGAGGCATAACGAGATGCAGTTAGGCGATGTATCTTGAGTTTTTCTTGCCGGTGTTACTCTAGATGGCGATACGTTTGGGATTGAGCCAAGCGTGCATTAACATGGACTGAGTAAAGTCAGGTTGTAGGTATTATAGATAATAGAGTATAAATGTGTCGGGTGTTTTAAAACAAGATTTATCTTTTGCTTACAAAACAGAACTTGTATCCTTCAAACTCTCTTACAGATCGCTATACGTTATCTACCATCCAATAACTTCCTCCCATTCTCTATCCTGTTGTTCATATCGTATCATTGCCTGTCTCTCCCCAGGACCCAGCGATACATATACGCTTCTCACCCGCCGTGGACCAGGAACGTCTTTGCAGCTGCGCACCTCTAATTTCTCCTCCTCTGCCTCCATTATTCTTCGTGCGACTCTCCCCGTCAGATGGCTACTCCAGACGCCCTCTTGAGCCTGTCTGGACATCAATAAAGAAATTGCCCTCCGACGAATTGCAGGATCGCGACACCATGCGACTACCACAAACAAAACAGGTACCACTCCAATTTCAAGGTGGAACAGCGGGGCAGTGTCTGTTTCTTCGAGGCCCAGAACCCGGCTGGCACAGCTTACTAGCTCCCCGAAGTCACTGGTGTAGTTATCGAGGCTTAGTACGTATTGGTGGTTGTCTATATTCTCCCAGGGCAGGACCATGTTGAAGTACCGTCGGTGTAAGTCGATGAGAGCAAGTGATCTTTGTTCGGTGGGAGAGAATGGTGGTGCACCACGGGATATGACGTATTTGTCGAATGCTTGGGACCACTGAGAAAATGCAGCGACTAGTACAGATTTTGTTACTGTATCTGTCAATTGTAATGCCAAAATGGCATTAATAGCCTCCCTGGCTTCCAAAAGCGAGCCAAATGTGTAGTTGGTGTTGACCATCATCAACTGTGACCCTGGAAACCAATTTAGGGAAAGCTCAGGCGTTATGTCACCAACCAGCTGGGAAAGAAGAGTTAGCATTCTTAAATTTTCAGGTGCGAATTAGCTTACTAAAGCCACCTGTACCGCAAGTCGATTCAGCAGGGTCTGCGCATGATTAAGGATGCCATCTAGGCCGTTAGCTTGACGATGCTGCAGTTGACGGAGCTGGCTCATCATGCGATGGCCATGCTTGAATAGTCGGATTGCGGTTTCGGTATGTCCCTGCAAGATCTATTCACTGTCAGCCGCGTGGCTATAATCATGATCATTGCCATACCCACCTCGATACAAATAAAAACTAAACAAGAGACCAAGTGGACATGCGACAGCGCGCTGTGAGAAGCATGTAACTCTTTGATGGACAAATTGTAATGCTTCAATGCGAATGGAATCTTATACCCAGGTATGCCATTGGTAAAAGCCTCGTGATATGCCGAAAATGAAACCAGAGCATGGGAAATGCTAGGCTCGTACTGGGCAATCTGCAATACGTTGATCCCCCAGAACTCATCAGGGAAGAAAGATGTCAGTTGAGACAGAGTGCGCTCGATGAAGAATTGGATAGAGCGCGCTTCCTGGGAGTTACCGTATCCGGCAATAACACTCTGTATCGGTGGCTGCTGTTCTACTGCTGCTTCTTCGTAGCCGTCACAGGTGCGACCGGTTGATGTGCCTATAGGTTCTTAACGTTCTAGTTGCTCAGCGCTCACCAGCGGCCTTACACTTTACACATGAGGGTCGTGCCTCGTCACATTTGACACGACGGACTAGGTAGATCATGTAAGCAATCTGTGCTAACCCCTAGTTCTGGTGACTCACTCCTGCAGCGTCCATTAATACCCAGCACAGTCTTCAACAGGGTGGACTCACCTGCAGGTCAGGCAGCCAGACCGACTTCTCTGCGACCTGGCTCGCACTCGCTGCCCCGGCTTTACCTTTGTCATTGATACGTTGTGTTTGTTGATGTACTCGTGCAGAAAGGCCGCCCGTGAAATCGTTTTCATATCTCAGCTATAGATAGGCTTGTAGGTTCAGGTGGAGCTGCCCAGACGAGCCAGCCAATTAAATTACCTATCGTTAAGCTCTTCCCGGTTAAAATGTCAAAGAGCCTGAAACAGTCTATACCTGCTTGAGTTTAGTCTTCTACTTCAAGAATCCAATTTCAGCATAAACATTTTAAACAACATGGCAGCGCCGGCTCAACCGTATTTAAGGATAACTCAGCAGAATCGATGTTTTTTTATCCACTGCATATTGGGTTAGAGGATTTATTCTAGGGGCAGATAGTTTTAAGAGGCTCCATAGAACAGGCTTTTATATCTACATTGTTGTACGAGTCCTTTGTTGAGAACCCTCTTTCAGGTGAAAGTGGGATGCGGGGTGATTGCAGGGAGTGTAGCCAATGAGCGGTGGTGAATTTCCTCTTTTACTGAAAATGGGACTGATCATAAGGATGTAGTAGTTGGGAGTGAATATCGGTGTGAGTCCGGCAGATCATCGGATCCGGCGGATCACCGGGAAATCCCTTACCCTATGGCTTGTCGGGCGTGGGATCCATGTGTGCGTGATTGGCTTAGATGCATGTCATCTGACAGCAACCATTGCTGCCCAAAGCCTGCTGTGTAAGCCGCCGTTGAAATCTTTCCGATGTAACAACAGAGCATTCACAGACAACAAACCAAATAGGGTTCCTATCTGTTTTAGTTCCTTTACAAGCACATAAAGCAACTGCTGCAACTCTGAATACTCATATTTACAAGCAGCAAAATCTGCAATGAATTCTCAATTATTATCACCCCGAAAAGGGTTCTGTCAAGACTGCTCAGAGCTTGTCGCCACAATACTCAAAGGCGGTGGCACTTTCAAGCCAACTAGTTTATGCCCTGGCGAAAACAATTCTTGGGATTTGTGGCCTGGTTGCTGCGACCTTTGTATCGTGATATCTTGGACTACATCTAGGGGTCATACAATGTGGACACCTTCTATGGAAGATGAGCACCCTGCAGGTATGGTCCGAGTCACGCTCAAGTGCGGAATTCACCACAACCAACCAGTAGTAGCCGGCTTCGAACTTATTTCGCCCCGCGGATCATGCTACAGATTTTCGATCTGGTCCGATGGTGGAGAAGTCAGGCTCCCTAGGGATTTAAAGACTAAGACAGACCCCAACATTGACTCTAACTTGACTTCGCTGCCCATTTCTTGTAGTCGACCATTAGATACAGAATATGGTGAAAGGCACTTCGATTTGGTCCGGTCTTGGCTCAAAATATGTCGAAATAATCATAAATCATGCAAGATCGATGCTACAGAATTGGCGGATGACAGTCACGCAACGATTCTACCAACGCGTTTAATCGATCTCGAGCACATGCCAGATAGGGTTGTGGCTTTGGTCAACACAAAAGGGCGTAAAGGAAAGTTCTGTGCCCTCAGCTACTGCTGGGGGAAAAGTCAACACAAAACCACAACGAAAAAGACAATCACGCAGCACGAGAATGGAATTGATATTGAGGACCTACCGCAGGTTTTCAAGGATGCATTTCGGACGACACTCGAAATTGGACTGCGTTATATTTGGATAGATTCCCTCTGTATTATCCAAGACGATGAAGAAGACTGGAGAGCAGAAGCAGCTCGTATGTCTCAGGTATACTATAATGCAGATCTTGTCATAGCCGCTGCAGGAGCTTTAGATCCGACAGAAGGTTGCTTCTTAAACAGAAGAACGCCAAGCCGTCCAGCACTTCAGATAATCACTACGACCAATCCCGAGAGAACGGCCCACGTCTGGGTACAAGAACACATTCAAGGAATTCTACCTTCTGATGGGCCTCTACAAACGCGGGGGTGGACTTTACAAGAGACGCTTCTAGCTCGACGTTCCTTACACTTCATGCCTGATGGTATGCATTGGCAATGTCGAGAACTTAATACGAGCGAAAGGTTTTTTGGGGAGTCTGTTGTTCTGGACCGTCACTGGCTTCCCATTTTAGAAAACTTCTCAGAGCGCGAGCTATCCAAGAAAGAGGATCGTCTATTTGCCATCCAAGGTATGGCAAATGTTATCAAACAAGAGATTCCAACCAGTGGAGATTACTGTAATGGGATATTTTCGTCTAATATACCAGAACAAATCCTATGGTCTGTGAAAAGATATCTTGGAAAAGGTGGGCCTTGGGATGGCGCCCCTACCTGGTCTTGGGCTCATATCAGTGGGGGAAAAGCCTTCTGGTTTACTAGAGGCGAGATCAAGGTAACACTGCAAGCGCTTAACTCACGAGTATGGACGGCTCTAATAGGGGAAAATGTGTTGCAATTCTCGGGCTACGCCTCAGTCTTCAAACTTCCCAAGCTTTTGACACCACCAGAGACAGCCACTTGGCCAGATATATATGAAGCTGCTGTAATCGATACTATGAAGCTTCGTGCGGGTAACATACACACCATGGCTTTTTCCTATAAGAGGGGAAGTAAAGTATTTGGATTTGCTACACTTGATGACGGATTCAAATTTGAAGTCACTGCTATTTTCTTGGCCGAGAAAAGTTGGCCAAACATACAACTAGAGAGGAAACACAGGTAAGAATCTCTTTATAGGCCATACCTGGATTAACCTAGATACTGACACTATATGTAGAAACCAGCTATACAGAAATACCCAGTTCCCTGAACTTCCCAACCCACCAAGTCGCGCAGTAAGTGTTTGAGGAAGTAGAAAGAAAATAACCGACTCTCTGCTAACTGATTATAAAGTTGTACATCTGTCTTCTTTTATGTCCTTCTCCTAATCCTGGTATGTTTCAACGAGTAGGGATGGGTTTTATCTTTCAAGACCCCCAGGTAATTGCAACACAAACTGTAGTTCACATTATATAACTAGCTTCATTATTTAGTTTCTTTACTAGTTATATAAAGTTCCTAAAAAGCCTAAGTAATAACTTATTTTAAAAGACTACTGTACTAAATGCCCTCCTTATAAAAATTTCTCAGAAGACAATAGCTACTAGATAAAGCAGAGGAACATACTGTAAGGCTGGGCTATTAATTATTCAGTATTGATGATCCGGCTTTGTTTTTTATAGTAAAAGTCGAGTATGAATTGGTCTCATTATAAAGATTAGACTTGCACTGTCAATCAACGGACATCACGCTGGCCACAGTCGGGCAACCGTTTAAGAAAAGCTGTACCAGCATAACTGAACCGGAACCTTTAGAATCAAAATTAAATTATTATAACAGGTTTTTCATGAATTCATGTTAGTTGGGGCCAGAAACCAGCTGCTATCTGTTCCGTAGTAGGGAGATTTTGTTAGTTTTACCTTACTCTTTCAATCCTCGTTATACAGAATCATAGCCTGAGCGAGTTAGACTAGGAATACCTGCAAACATCTTATTAGAGATTCAGTCAGCGCCTGATTTGTCAAAACACTCCTTGGCAGGTAGGTTCAGCTCACGAACTAGAGGAAGACTATCGATTCTCCCAGATGTTCTGGGCAAAATTGACAGAGTCTAATTTTTCATAATTGACATCAATGCCAGATTTCTTTTATGCTCTTGGTCTTTTGTTTTGCCTTCTCGCTGCACGCTTCATATTTCGCCCTTGTCAGCCACGATACATTGCAGGTTTTTTCTTTTAGCTGTCGGCTTTGCCACCGACGCTGTTTTTGCTAGTCCGTGTAAACCCCAGGGTACAAGTGAGTTTCAATCCCCTTGACACGTGGTGGCTGCTAACGGTGAGGTTTAGCTTCCGTAGTGGCGACACTAGATGTGACTAGCACTGGTGAGTCGTCTGTAACAGCGGTCATAGAGGATACAACCACTACCGCAGCTTCGGAGACAACAGCAGAGGATGCTACCACTACTGAAGTGCCTGTCCAAACGATCCTAGAGACTACAGCTACCGCCAATACTGAGGCAACAGTGACATCAGAGGCCGAGACATCAGTCGCACCGACCTCACAGGTTGAGACAACTACAGATGCCTGTCAGCACCAGTACCGCACCAGCAGCCAACCCAACCTACGCCCTACGCGCCAACGGTGGAAACCTCACCAATCAGCAGCCCCAATCGAACATCGAGCTGACATCCGCCCTTATCTTCGATCCAGCCTCCCCTATGACAGGCGGCGTTCGAACATTCACCGTCGAGCCCATCACCGGCTGTCTCAAAGATGCCAACGGCGAAGCCTACGTGTGCGCCTACTACGAAGGATCTCGCGGCATGTCCCCTCCGCCTGTAGTCGGGTACTGCAATCCCAACAACACCAGCCCCAACAAGTCATCCGATTACCTGAAGTGCCATATTGATAGTGGCGCTCTTTCATGTGGTGTGCCCAGGACTACTTGTGAGGGGACGGTTTGTACTACCCCGTAGGAAATGATGTTTATGACAAGTTTTTCACCGACGCAAATGGAGCTATAGGAGACAAGAGTTATTTCTGGTATATTGGAACTGGTAGCCCTGTTGGTATCACTCCTTTCTCGATAACTGTTGCCGAGATGTAATAGACTGCTGCTTGCCTTACTGAACCTTCAGTTCAGGATGGATTTTCTATGGATACAATGACGAAAACACAGATCCCCTGCTTTCAGTGACACGGGTATTGCCATCTGTCGATCTATCTGCTGATAGAACTATTCACAGCTCTCTATACTCAATTAATTCGACAACGTATATCGTAATAATAGGAATATATTAATCTCTACAGATCTATCGCATAGAGGGATTTTAGTAGATTTGCAAAGTCAACTTAACTGTCGACAAAGATAAATATCTGCTCAATGATACCTCCGCGATGGACCCGTTTAAGACAAGTCGAAGCTACTATTTGACCAAGAGTGTCTGCTATTGGGCGACGGAGACCCCTTTATCATTGCTGAGGTTAAGATATCTCGAGCTCCGGTATGTATATGAACGATTTTATTCGAAGCGGCTGCGAAATTATGACCTGTATGTTCGTCATGACCGGATATGTTTCGGCATCAGATTAGTCTGCAGAAATAATCCAAAAACAGTATTCTTATCCCCTGATGCCGGCTTCTATACCCGCCATGCTCCATCGCCACTCTTCGGGAACCAAACCCGCGCTTCATCGGAATCAACACGTTATCTTATCTCAACATCGCTATGAGTTTATCAAATTGAACCTGGGCGAGGTAGAAAGTTCTCAGAACAGCATCCAGGGTGTCAACTGTGTGAAACGTTGAGTGGAGGAACCTTGGACGGATACTTATCCGATTGGCAAAGCCAAAGCCCCTGGTATCTCCATAACCATATCGATGCAGTCGTCCGTTTCCGTTCTGTTCTGAACCAGCGGCTCAAATTGGTCTCAGCGTTCTGGACGGCAAAATTCTTAACCTATACGGTGCTCGCCTCACTTTCCACAACGCATCTCGAGCCGAAGGAACTTGGGCAACTCTGAGGAACGTGCTCTTATCATCAGTCGGCGGGCCCGGGGTCCATAATATACTCCCTATTCGTCGCGAGACATTCATACCCACTGAGGGTATTCTTGCCGTTTTGTTGCTGGCGATGGATTATTTGACTTCGCTGGCAGCACGTTTATGCAAATGTGCTACCCTCAATGAACGGGAATAAGATTGTTGATCAGCGGGTGTCGGGAATGCCGAAAGCTTATGCGGCTGATGACGACATGATCATCGAGAGATAAGCGTGTTACCCCGGTGCAGAACCATGGTAGCTGAAATGCTAGACATCTCGTATTACGATCAAGGGAGCTAATGGTGTTTCGCATCGGGATGATTCCGCACAGCGTTGCATTGCTATCACGAAGTCTATCATATCATTGCTTACATGGCTCTCTGCAATAAGCACTCAACGTAAATTATTTCGCCAACACAGCAGTTCTGAAGGATATAGTATGTTCAAGAATGGAGAACATATGAGTATAACGTCCCCAGACCGTGTCGGTTGCTCACTGTATGATATCCTTATGCAATCTATAACTCGGTTCTCACAACTAAAGTCCGTTACGGGCCACGGCATCAACCCCCGAGGACCCTTCCAAACAGAGTTACAAACTTACAAACTCGACATTTCCCAACCCCCAAAATCCCCGCCAAGATCCACAGAAATTCTCGAAGCATGCAGCCGAGCCTTCCAGAAGCATTCCCTCCGAGGAACAAACTCGGGATTGTCAGGCACAACACAAATGCCTCACACTGCAACTTGATAAACGTGGCAAATATGCCTCATTCTTTTTTCTTTCGTCGGTGGCAGCGATACTTGTATCAGATGACCGCCACGGCGTCGAACCCCGGCGCTAGCGTGATCGGCTCTCAACGCCGTGATACCGAACCCAGGCTGATCGACATGAACCAAGGGGTGTAAAGTGGATATGAACTTTTTTTTGAGCGTTTTTCCATGTATTTTCTCCGAGATGCCGTGATCTTTGCGTATTAGACGGTTTGGCAACAGGGCGAGTAATGAACGGAGGGATGATTACGGATTAATGATACCTGACTTCGGCTAGACTTGCAAATGTCTCAGAGTGGATAAATTATCTTGACAGAGAGTTTGGGAATAGAGTTTAGGCTTTTATCAGTCGTCGGCATTATTTTATCTGTTTACATGGTGTTGATAGACGATCCTCCAAGGAACAATGCAAATAGCGATAACGCATCTCCAGTATTATCATCGTTAAAGTGAGACATGAGATACAGCAATCTATTCCAAAAAAAGAGATCATATCACGCAAAACTCAATTGGTCAGAATATCTCACCGAAGACGACCTATCTCGACCCCCAGGCCCCATCCGTTCAACTCCACCAAGACCCTCCCCAGGCATGGAAACGCCGGATGATATTGACATGGAGTCATAGTGGAGCAGGGCGCGAGATACACGATATAATCCGGGGTAATTCAATTTCTCGTAGTCATAGAAAGGGTCGGATTTATAAGGCCATGACGCTCCCGGCTCCATCTTCCCCAGATTCTTGCACCCCTTTCCAAACTCTTGTCCCGTTCTCCATACGTTCACTTACCGTTTTATTCAAAGAAACGTTTTGTTAAAAAAGATATCTCATCATGGCGAAGAAGGAAGAACTCCCTCGTGATATTGAGGGCGTTGATGATCTTCAGCGCTCGCCGTCGAGATGTACACAGGAGGGAACGACGATTGACGCTGTTTTTGGTGAAGTTTCAGAAGATGGACCTAACTACCGCAACGTACGAAGCCCGGTCCGTTTTCTTTACAAAGACTAATTAGATTCAGGTCGGATGGATTGCCACTGTCGCACTCATGACAAAAACACAAATCGGCCTTGGAGTCTTATCGATTCCCCAGACCTTCGACGCTCTAGGCCTCATCCCCGGAATCATATGTCTCATCGTCGTGTCAGCAATCACAACATGGTCAGACTACATGGTCGGCGTGTTCAAGCGAAGGCATCCACAAATTTACGGTATCGATGACGCGGGACAGTTGATGTTTGGGCGGATTGGTCGTGAAGTCCTTGCGACTGTCTTTATGCTATGTAAACATCATTCCTCCATGAATATTGGTGGCTGGGGGTGCTGATGACTCGCAGACTGGATCTTCGTTGCTGGCTCAGCGATGCTCGGTATCTCAATCGGTCTCAACTCGGTCTCTACACACGCAGCCTGCACAGCTGTCTTCGTTGCCGTGGCAGCTATTCTGGGCTTCTTCTTTGCTAGTATCCGCACGCTCGGCAAGATTGGCTGGCTAGCGTGGATCGGACTCGTCTGCATCATGACGGCCAGTAAGTTCAAGCCCCCTTTCATCTCACGAGATACAAGTTGAGTAACACGAGAAATTAGTCTTTTGTGTCACTGTCGCTGTGGGCGTGCAGGATAGACCTGCTGCTGCGCCGCAGGGAGGACATTGGGAGTCTGACTGGAAGCTCGTCAACCATCCTAGCTTCGTTGACGGTATCACGGCTGTATCGTCGCATATCTTTGCGTTCTCGGGTACACCTGCGTTCTTCCAGATTGCTGCTGAGATGCGCGAACCAAAGCACTACACTCGCTCGCTGTTGACCTGTCAATCTATCGTGACAGTCACGTACATCACCATCGGAATCGTGGTTTACTACTACTGCGGTTCTTATGTTACGTCCCCTGCTCTCGGTTCAGCTGGCATTCTCATGAAGAAAGTATGCTATGGATTCGCCCTACCCGGTCTTATCGTGACTGCTATGCTTATGACTCACGTGAGTGTCTCCCTGTCCTCTCAGTGACTTATACTAACATGCCAAGATCCCCGCCAAGTACATGTTCATCCGCTTGTTGCGCGGTACAAAGCATCTCAACTCCAACGGCATCGTGCATTGGGGTACTTGGTTAGCATGTACGGGAAGCGTAACCATCATCGCGTATATCATCGCTAGCGCCATTCCTGTTTTCGGCGGCCTGGTGTCTCTCATCGGAGCTCTTCTCGGCACGTTGATGTGCTTCCAGCCATATGGCTGCTTCTGGCTTTATGACAACTGGCACAAGGGCAAGACTGAAAAGTCACTCAAGTGGTGTCTTATGGTTTGCTGGAGTGTCTTTGTCATCGTGGCTGGAACCTTTATGATGGTTGCCGGTACCTACGGGTCCATTGTTGGCATCAACAACTCGATGAAGGCTAATGGGGGATCAAGCCCGTGGTCTTGTGCTGATAACTCTAACTCTGGCTCTGCTGGTCACTAAATGGCTTGAGCCTTGGGACATAAATCTCGGGCCGAAGATGGTGGCTGAGATGCACTCGAGACTGGCCTCTTGAGTGGCTTTGAATGTGAAGCGAAGGTGTTATTTTGAGCCAGAGGCTTATGTACGAGCTGTGCGGGCACATTACTGGATGAGCTGTCGAAACGTCAGATGCATTTGGAACGGTCATTATAGAGTGTAACAATGAAATATCACATAACAATAGAATACCCATTTCTTTTTCTTCATCACTTAATGTTAAAATAATCATGACCTACCTACTGAGGTCAGTGAATGCAAATGAGGTATACCCTCAAGCGATGACAACACCATCCTCATCACCAAACCTGAGCTTAATCAATGAATTATATCTGTTTATAATGACTTATCACGATAACGTCTTCGTGAGTCACATGATGCCATCACCAAACCTTGTGCCCCCAGCCCCATTGTCATCGTCATCTCGGCTTATGTAATGACATCATTGAACCCCTGCAGTTCCGTGCTCACTCCACTAACCAACCGGAAGCTCGGCTTGCGGCAAAAAAAAAAAAGAAAAGTCACTGATAATTCTCCTCATTACGAGTCATCACCTTTTCACCATCATCCTCGCTCATTCTCACAAGAAACAAAATGAGCTTCGTAAGGGCGTTTTCGTTCCTCACGCTGGTGAGCGTCGTTACCTATACCATTCTCTCAGTGGCCACGTCACTGAGCGGCGGACCCCCCGCTGTGCAGACGGGGAACGAAACCCACCCGATTCCGGCCTTTGGACTGGGGACTTGGTTGGCTAAGAAGGGAGATGTGAGTTCGAATACGAGGTCCGCGATGAGACTGCAGTAGGTGCTAATGGGAGTATAGGTTGCGCATGCAGTGGAATATGCTTTGAAGGCGGGCTATCGCCACCTCGACGCTGCTGCTATCTACCGAAATGAGGATGAGGTTGGGCAGGGCATCAGGGCTTCGGGCGTGTCGCGTGATAAGATTTGGGTGACGAGTAAGCTTTGGAACACGGACCATCGACCTACGCTCGTGCGCAAAGCCATTGAAAAGTCTATCGCCAATCTGGGCGTCGAGTACCTGGATCTGTACCTCATTCACTGGCCCGTCGCTTGGGTTCCCGACACTAAGGACATTGACAATGACACGTCTATCGTTCATACCTGGAAGGCGATGGAGGAGCTTGTACACGATGGATTAACGCGCAACATTGGTATTTCCAACTTTGCGCCGAAGGATATAAAGACCATTCTTAAAATCGCCACCATCCGCCCTTACGCGCACGAATTCGAAACACATCCCTATCTGCAACAGCAATCTTTCGTCGATTTTCACACCAGCGAAGATATCAAAGTCATCGCATACTCACCACTCGCCAACACAAACCCAACTTACAACCCCGACATCCCGAGCATCCTCCACGATGAATTCTGGACGAAACTCGCCGCTAGCAAAAACGCGACGGTGGCGCAGACAGTGTTGGCGTGGGGACAGCAGAGGGGTACTGTAGTGATTCCCAAGAGTATGCATGAGAAGTACATTGATGAGAACTTTGGATCGCAGGACATTACATTTACGGAGGGGGAGTTGAAGGAGGTGGCGAAGAGGGATAAGAAGTATAGGTTCTTGAACCCTGGGAAGGATTGGGGCGTTGATTTGTTTGAGGGTCTTGATGGGGGGTCGAAGAAGGAGGAGGAGGAGGATAGAAATGAGGACTTGTAATTTGATCGGACTAATAGACGGGGGATATTTTTAGATGATATTATTAATAAGATACCAAACCTCTCGGATATACGGATACTGGGCTCGTGATCAGAGCGTCTATGTCTCGGCAACACCATCGTGATTCTGCAGGCATACGCATGGGACAGATGAGTCTAAGAGGAGAAGGTACTTCAAAAAATGCGTTGCCCCCAAATGAAGCATGTTGTGGCAGAAATTTGAACATTAGTACTCAAATGATGGGTGAACTAATGGCTGATTTGTTGGATAAATCTCACGTTTTCAGCTTTCGACAAAACGACGAGAGAGCGAGGGACAAACATCTCCGCAGGTTCCTCCATAGATGTTCAAAGGAATTGCATCTTCAGCTATAACAAATATTTACAGACCATATTCTGTCGAGAAAGTCTGCATTCGGGAGTTGACCGTCTCCTTTAGGGTAATCAAAGCGATCTAATCTCCTAGAGTTTCACAGCCACAGTGAATACAACCCTGGCAGTTCAATCAGGCGCAGCGCGAAAAGCTTCAACGTAACAACCAACTCTAACCCAGACCAACCAATTGGTCAAACCCTTCCGCCAAAAGCAAAACTTGTCGAGAGTTTAGTTAGGAAATTGGCATTTCCTGCACGACTCGCACCATTCAGGGTCCAACCCTGCGCCACTTCACAACACAAGTCTAAAGCAGGTCAAGAGTCATGATCAACAGGCTCAATACACTTAAATCTCGCCTCGTGGCATGCATTCAAAATCCAAGACATGATCTCCCAGTCCGTTATTCTAGCTTTGTATCCTTGGCGCGTAGGATCTACGGGTACCTTGGTCCACTAACCCCCTGTTACTCTCAAGGCTAGAGTCGTAGCCGAAGTCTGCGCCCTGACGAAGGAACAGAGATGAATGGCTCTGTTTACGCAGCGGGCGACGAGGTCATTCTAGACTGTGAGGTTAGTCGGATGATAAATCAGTATTGCCGTTGTCCCGTGGCTTATCGGCTCTTGGACCCTCTTGTCAAATTTTGTCTCAGTTCATAGTCATCTCGCTGACCGGCAGTTTGCATGTACGCTCAGACCTCAACTGAACCACGGGAAAAAGTAAAAGCTCCTTGCGTACGTACGTCTCCCTCCCTACATCCGACGTCAGTCTACAATCTCGATACTGTCGAAACCATAGAGTATACGACGATCATAGTATAACAGATCAAATCCTCAACCGGGATGAGAAAAGCCACTCTTATCCATCATCCTGTTTCAACGGTCGTGATCACCATAGCCTCCCGAAACAAAACATGCTACTCCTATTCGTCAACACGTGGAAACATCTCCATTAAAAAGTCTCCGAGGTTCAGACTAATTCATCCCGCGTGCCACGCAACTCCACATGTCTGACAGGAGAATTCCCCGATGGAGTAAAGCGCACCGCAAGGGTGTTAAATAGCGATCGCCGGATATAATTGTGACCGCTTTTCAACTCCCGCTTCACGAGGTGACATCGTCAAGGAGATGGTTCGACCATTTTGAGCACTCTTCCTTTAAAATGCTCTGTTTCTGCTCGTAGTTTATTCTTCTCTAGTTTTCTGCACTCTTTTTTTAACCCAGTCACTCTCTTTTCACTCATTTATTCGGAAGCGTTGCTCCAACGCTCCAGTCACTCATTTAACCTTTGTTACTTAAAAGATGCATTTTTCTAGTTTGATTCCCGCTTTGGGGGGTCTCGTGGCTGTTGCCACTGCCTCGCCTCACCTTCTCGGCCTCGGTCTCGACGTCGATGTCTCGCTTGGAGGAGGAAAGGGCGCGTCATCCGCTGCTGACACCACCTCCAAGGGCCTCGACCTCGTCCCCACCACTTCTGCCACTAGCCAGAAGAACGGTCTTTCTTCATGCAACTTGGCCAACAGCTGGGAGAACCATGTTCTCTTCGACGGTATCGCCGCTCCTGCTTCTGGCGCTGCTGCCGCCATCAAGCTTGGTCTTAACCTTCCCAATGCTCAGATCGAGGGTGAGGCCACTCTTGAGCTTGTGAAGGATTTCCTTACGGAGCCTCGTGTGCGTATTGGTCTTGGTGCTATTAAGGCTTACCTCGAGCTTGATATTTCTGCTTCTGCTGCTGTTCACGAATCCATTGAACTTTTCGCTTCTTCTGCTCTTCAGCTTGAGGTCCCCGGTCTTCTTGAGGCTGAGGCCGGTGCTGCTCTCGCTCTTGATCTCGTTGTTGGTGTCGATGCTGCTATTGACCTGTCCGCTGGTGTCTACCTTTCCTTCGGTGAGGAAGCTTTCGTTGAGGTTTCTCTTCTCACCAAGGAGATTGTTGATGTCTCCCTCGAGGGTCTTGTTGCCAAGGCTCTCCCCATTGGCGTTGGTGCCGAGGTCGACCTCTCTGCTGAGGTTTCCCTCACTCTCGGCCTCCGTCTCCGAACTGAGATCGATCTTTCTGCCGAGCTTGACATTCCCGTTCTCGACATCGAGGCTGGTGCCAAGATTGCTGTCTGGGTCAGCCTTTTCGAGTACACTGCTGTTCTCGTCAACACCGACAGCTGCGTCGTCTCCGTCGATGAGCTCATTGCTCTCACTCTTGGTCTCGCTGTCGAGCTCAACGTGGAGATCGGCGACATTCTCGACCTCAGCCTTGCTCCTACTCTGACCGTCACCCTTGCTACTGCTGCTCAGGCCAAGGTTTGCCAGCCTAACCGCGGTACTCCTGGTACCTTCATCGAGAAGCAGGGTGGCCCTTCTACCACTCACACTCAGGTCGTCTCTTTGTCTACTGTCCCTGCTGGAGGTTCTGACACTACCGACTCTGCTCTTCCAGATGCCACTGGTTCTGCTGATGCCTCTGGCTCTGTTGACGCTACCGGCTCTGCCACTGCTGACTCTCCTGAGACCTACCCTGCTGGTGCCGAAACTACTGGCTCTGGCTCCGGAGCTTACCCCATCCCTGGTTCCGGTTCTGGATCTAGTGCATCTGGCTCCGAGACTTACCCTGCTGGTGCTGAAACTACCGGTTCTGGATCAGGTGCCTACCCCATTCCCGGTTCCGGTTCAGGATCTGGTGCTTCTGCTGGTGCCGAGGCCACCGGTACTGGCTCCGGCGCTTATCCCATCCCTGGCTCTGGTTCTTCTTCCGCTCTCGCCAAGCCCCAGACCACCGGTTCTGCTGCTGCCATTGTCCCTCACGGTAACGGTACTACCACAGGCGATGTCACCAGCACCGTTACCTCCACCCACGTCTACACCGTGACCAGCTGCGCTGCCTCCGTCATCAACTGCCCTGCCCGCTACACCCAGAAGGTCGTCACCTCCACCATCATCGAGAGCACCTATGTCTGCCCCGCCACTGAGACCGGTGCTGTCCCTGCTACCACCACCGCTCACTCCACCAAGGTCCACGTTCCCGTCACCACCATCACCGACACTCTCACCACGATTGTGCCTTGCAAGACCCGAACTACCAAGACCTTCCACCCTCCTACTACTCCCCCTCCTGCTCCTACCGTCACCATCGTCGACACCACCACCTACTGCCCCGAGGAGGGTAAGACTGCTCAGCCTTCCAAGGGCCAGTCTACTTTCCAGGTCGTGACCACTGCTTCCCCTAGCACCAAGGCCTATGAGGTTCCCAGCCACGCTGCTCCTACTACCGAGGGTGAGGAGAAGCCCACTGCTGAGGTCCCTGTCCCCGGAAAGCCTACCGCCGGATACCCTACTCCCGAGAAGCCCACCGGTGGCAAGCCCGTCGCCCCTCCCGCTCACAGCGTCCCCTACCCTCCCAGCAACGGAACCGTCTCCACCCACGTTCCCGTCTACCCAGCTCCTGTCCCCACCACCGCCGTTCCCGTGGCTCCTGGTACTACCGCTGGCTACGCTCCCCCTCCCGTCGTCTCTCAGCCCGGAGTTGTTCCTCCCGCTGCCTCGACTCCTGTCGGCACTCCCGTCCCTACCACTCCTGTTCCCGTCAGTGGTGCCAGCGTGGTTCGCACTGGCTTCATGCTGGCTCTCCCAGCTGCCCTTGCTTTCTTCATGTAGATGATAAACGGTTAAGATTACAGGATCTATGTATAACATTTAGGCGACGGGACTTGGATTAGCAATAGTTCATGGTTTCTTTAATTTTTAATATTACTATGTCAACCAATTGGTGTCTTCTCGTGTGATTGTTTACTTTCCGCCACTGTAGTTTTGTGCTAAACCTGTCATTGCTCATTCATTCTGTCCCAATTTAACAAGAACGCTCTCTAAGTCGCGCCTTGGTGGGCTATCGGATGTCAATTCAAGCCTCGTATTCCTGCTGGTTTGTTGACGCCTTGTCATATATGGGAAATGCAACCTTCGAGCTCTATTTAAGTAACGCTAATTGAACCTTTAAGTGAGGAGTGCGTGGTCCGTCTCTTTCGCTATCAAACCTCGCAGCCAATCTTGGTCTCGGTGGCCCACAGTACAGTAATCTGCTCGACTACCCACGATGATGGACTTTTAGTAAGGGTTTACATGCGGGAAAGTAGTACTAGACATCACTGGGGGTAGATTGATCTCAATCACTGAAATAAAAAACAGAGTGGTGCTTATAACTAAATTCTAACCTCCTCAACATCTTCTGGGACATGATAGTCTCCAATTGGTCCTTATTCTGCCATGTCTCATCCTCATCATCTCATGGCTTCTCAAACTCTGTGATCAATGACAAGCTTCTCGCGACTCACTTTCCGATTCCAAACATCACGAATACCTTGAATCCCTTCCTCCACTCCCTCCAAGACTCTAAACCTCGGCGCCTCCCAATATTGCTCATGGTTCTCAGCCAACCAGTGCATACCCTGTTCAATACGTTTCTGCCACTCGATGATCCTATTCTCCTCCCGCTTTCTCTCCTCAGCGCTTCGATCTTGAGCATCAACTGCAAAGTCAACTTGCTCAACGACCCTGACGCTCAAAGTAAACTTCCAAGTGGGGTCCTTCTTTACAAGAAGAGTTGATACCAGACGGAGTTGTTCTGAGGGTACGTTGGGATCACAGCACTGGCGGGACAGAGCTGGTGAGCTTTGATCGTACTTATACTCCAAGGCCTTTTCTTCTTCGGGCGAAAGACCTTCAAAGACACCGAGACCAGTGCAAACGGTGTCGAAAACAGTCTTCAAAGATTTGCCAGACTTGTCTAGATATGCACGTATATCCTTCACGACTGTTGCACTTCGATAGTTAAAGACATCATCCGCACCAAGCCTCTTCAAAGCTTCGTGATTCTGAGGCGAAGCTGTAGTGATAATGGGACTGAAGCCAGCTGCCTTGGCAATCTGGATAGCAGCCTGACCAACAGCACCAGCACCGCCCCAAATAAGAATCGGCTTATTCTTCGGATCGTCGCCAGTGATGCCAGCAAGTGGGAAGCCATAACCCGCCACATTGAACAGAGCATCAAAGGTCGTTGCACTGCCAACGATAGATGTTACAGCGGTGATGGGATCAAGATGCGCAGGCCTCTCAAAAGCCATAAGTGGTTCCGCTAAAAGGAAGCTCTGATGAGCGCCGAGATAATTGGGTCGGTGATCATACGGCAACGATTGACCAAAGATTTCTTGGCCGATTTTGAAGGGAGATTCGGGTCCGACGTCTCGAACGATGCCGGTGTATTCGTAGCCTGCGACGTATTCTGACATGTTCATGTATGAGTGACGAGTATCAGCGGGATTGATGGCAGAGTACTGCACTTCTACGAGAGACTGTGCTTTTTGCGGGATGTATGGCTCTTCGATTGTTCGGAGTTCATGTTTGCCGTTTGCAAGCATGTAGATAGCTTTATTTGGGCGATTCATATTGTTAATTTCTGTCAAGAAAGTGTGTAAATTCAATTTGATAGACCAAAAAGCTCACGTTCTTCAGCAATCGTTAAATAATCTAGCATAACGTTGCTTGATGGGGTCAACCTTGACCAATCATTTCGTGCACCATGGAGGTGAAACCCTGTATTTTGGCGACCGGAAATTCCGTTCGCGTTCGCTTGGCGATAACGTTATACGTTACGAAACAACTAACCCAAAGGAGTCTCGACAGCGCCTTGGATTGACGCGAGGAACGAACCGAATTGCGGCATTGGACGTTGAATTAATAATGCACTCTGCGTTCATCTTATCTAACCGTCGGAGTGTTTACATAAGCTTCTTATTCGTTCATCTCAAGGCTGTCCATTCTCAGTGCGCTTTTGCACCTCGGGGAACTGACTATAGATAATCCTATTCTATAAACGAACAGAGCTAGGTAGTCAAGCCTATCGCCACAGTGCATAGATGGGTAGAGATCCTAGTCTTACATTATTACTCGATGCTTTTATCGTCACAGTTCAATTTCCCCCCATACTCGCAATGTCCTCCCCGCCGGCCTTATCAATCACCCTCCAAACGAACCAATTACTATACACCATTCTCAATCTACCTGAACCTCACCGATTGTAAAGATCTCCTCCGCTTGGACCGTCCAGGTGGATCAGGCACTGGGTACGGTGGCACAGGTGCACGAGCAGGTTCTTCATCCTGTTCATCCTCCGTCTGGACATATGCAAACCGGCCTGGTCTGACTTTCTGTTGATCACCTTCCACAATCTTTCTCTCCGGTGGTCGAGCATCACTCCGTTGGACCACGGATGTTTGAAGTCTTCTCCTATCCTGTGATGCAACACTCTGCGTTGAGCTAACTCTTGTGCGTGCAGGGCGTCGGAAGTCTTCGTACATCTCGTCGTCGTCACCTAGCGTGGTTGGAACTTGTCGGGTGCGTCCTTGGTTAGATGACTGCGCATCTTGTGGTGGTCTGATCACAGATGGGAGAGTCTGGCGACGACGGGGTGTTGTGCGACTTAGAGTTGGTGATGATGACGTGTGTACTGAGGACCCTGAGGCGACGGAGGGCTGGCCTCTGAGGACTAAAGGCTGCGGTCTACTTTCGTGGCCCTCGCGTAGTCGTTGCGGTGCCGGCTCGTCTTCCCATCCACCCTGAAGCTCAAGATAGTCCAGTATAGTATCAAGCTTTGATCGTATCTCTTGTGCATCCTTCTGACTAACCAGTGCCATCTCCCCATCATGCTCCCTTACCCTGCCCTGAAGAAGATCCATCATTGTCTGCCTTGAAGATAGGCCTAATGAATCTTGGTATTCTGGTCTTTGTCTATCTTCAAGCAGCCGGTAGATGATGCTTGTGAGCTGACGAGATCTTTCTCTCTCTATGTTTAGGGATCTTGTGTCATCGCTAGTATACTGACTTGTGACTGATGGACTTCTTCGTGGACGGCCTTGGATCCTTCCTGGGTCTGATTGTATCTCGGCTTGGTATACCTGACGTTGGAGGTTTCTGAGCTCAGCCATGATGTCTTGCATGGTTATGCCATCCTCTGACGAGCCTCTCTCCCTTGTAGGGACAGATGGTCGCCTCTGCCGAGGTCTCTGGTATGCTGCATCCCTTCGAAGGGTACTCAGGGTTGGCTCGGTCTGAGGCTTCGGTTGCCGCAAGGGTCTCGGTCGAACTGCAGCTCTTTTCGGCTCCCGCGTTGGGTACTCAGGGTACGGTGGGATTTCCTCTTCATACTCGTAAGAGTCGGCGGGGGCGAAGCCTGGGTCAGAGTATCCTGAAGGCGGGACATCGTATCCAGGTGTAGAAAAGTACTGGGGATCCCGAACACTCGCTCGTGGGGTAGAGAAATATCCTCCGCCTCCAGGATATGTATATGGACTGGGATAACCAGCCGGCGGCGTTAGGTTTGGCGATGGATAATAAGAAGGGTTCGTGTTTGGTGGATATGCACCCGGCGGCGGTGGAGGATATGTGTTGGGGTCGACGCCGTACAGCATCGCCTGCCTCATTACCGGATCGCACGGTGCCTGCGAAGAAAAGTCGTTGGTATGTTTTCGATAATGCGCAGGCTGTTTATGCCGAAGTTTATGTCCACGATTTGATGTTTTGGGTTGCTTGGCTTCTTTCTTGCTCGGTGACGCGCTCTTAGGTTCCTCTTCGTCATGTGGACTCTCCTCCGGGGGATGACCCTCTGCGTCATCTGATGGCGGGGGTGTCGACACCATGGTGACTAGACCAATCACGGCAAAGCAAAGTGAGGATGAGAAAGAGATCGAGTGATGATAATTAAGAATCGTTGGAGATTGAGGAATAAATCGAGGATCAGCGAGCTTATCTTGATCTGGGCCGAAAATCCACAAGTTAAAACCTGATGAGGCTCTGCTTAGGTTGCCTCTTTTTCGTTAGGTCGCAAAACGACTGACGTGGACGAAGAATGCCTTACCAAATGAAATGCATCTGCTATTGGGCTGTTCACTCCCGCTGTCAATAATGTATCTTTATTGTCCGTGTTGCGTTCCGCTGCAGAAGTACAACGTTGAGCGATGCATTATCCGACGACATCATTGGTGGCGTGATATTCTTCGTTGGACACTAAAACCGGAAACGGGCGGGTTGGTTGCAACTGAAATGTGAGCGTGATCATGTGCATGACTTGGTCAGGTTACAGTGAGGGATAAAGTCTGCCGATGTCTGGGGTTGGCTAAGCAGCCTTGAAGTGCTATATGCCAGTTTTCGATGAATGAGATGATGAGAAATCGAATGCCCAAAGACAGAAACAGATTATAGGTTCTTAAAGGACTGTTGGAAATAGGTGAGCTTGTGCGGTAAAAGACTGCCGTGAACCCCGGATTGAGGCCATCAGGACGTCGAAGTGGGCAGATGCTGACCACCTTTTCTGCACGTCGCACATGTATCGCCAATCGCGCGGCCCCATCCGCTGCATGTGCATGTACCGTTCTGCGGCCAGACCAATTCGACTGGTCGAGTCAGAGAGGACTTGATGATGTTCGGCAAACAGAGATAAGAGGAGCAACATTAATCCCTCCCGATGGAACTATTGATAGGTTCATTTCTGTGAAGAAGTACAGTATATATCACCAGCGAGTAAACTCCGTACCCCCCAAAACGCTACCAACAATTACCGGAGAAGCTTGTCGGTGTTCCATCAGCCTCTCCATAAACGTAAGCTTCTGATCTAACTCCTGCCAGCTCGTTGCCGCAAGATTTGCATAGTCATCTTTATCGCCATTACCATCATTACCAACCAGATCGACCCGAAACGTCAGATCATGGAAGTTGTAAGACCTCTCTTGGTTGTTGGATCCATAGCGTACTTTTATTTTGTCGATGATAGGATCCGTTGTCAAGGCAGTCGACATGGCTACTGCTATATAATCCGATGACATGCTTTCGAACCGTGGGAAGGGTACCTTGAAGCATAGCTTATCACTCTTGATATCAGATGGACGAGTCAGGTTACGTCGACCATATGAATCATCAACAAAGTCGCGGAAGCCACTTGTTTGGTCGGAGAATGACCAGATAAGTCTGAAGGAGTCGCCGAATTTGTAACGATCCCCTTTCATCTTGGATATTCCTGAACTTTCGACGGGCTCGAGTCGCCAGTAACATGGCTCATCTGTGCTGCTAATGGATGGAAGGAAGACTCCTTGCGCGTTGCGATACACCGTTAGAGCTAAATCAGCGTTAGGCATTGCCGCCGATTTGACGCATAGCAAGGTATCAGGGCCGATCTAAGGGTAGCCAGTGATCAGTTCAGATCTAATGCATGGTAAGAAACCGGATCACCGGTGTACTAACGCTATGCCCCCTAGCAATCTCCAATCGCCATATTACATGGCTGAATGCTTTATCTGTTTTGGTGCCTAGCCAGAAGTCAGCTGGTCCCAAGTACATGTCCGCGTGCTTCACTCACCGAGCTCTGCTCCAGAAGGGAATATCAGGGTTGGCACTTGAGTCCTTCAATTTTGATGTATAAGAAAGTGGTGCCGATATTGCTGACGTATGTATACTAACCTACTCGGTTCAAAGATTGGAAAAGTAGAAGAACTGAGATCCTGTGTGGTAATCTTGGTCATGTCGCCAATAAGCCCAAACGGCCCATTTCTAAAAGGCTCTTCGGGGTTTAATTTTGGTACGTAAATGTTCGTACGTATTGGTGTTACCGACACGTTCGGGCGATGTCCTAGGTAGGCAGGTACCTAGACAGAAGTTAAGTTAAGAACCACATTTGGTTAAGACAAGATATGATGTACCTCCTTTGTAGATATGACGCCAAAACTCTCGTTCTGGCTGGCAACCTTGAAACGAACATACAGCATCATTGATTCTGGAATTACCATGTATTCGCTGAGCTTAGGCACCGCGGCGAAGAACCACGACCGAGTCTCACCATAGCCAGCCATCTTGGAGATAGTGTCAACAATTGGGGTCAGTTCGGTCTGCTCAATAATACGCCAATTGTTGAAGTTTGCAACAGAACCGCTCCACGCCGGTGGACTGCCAAACATGAGTAAAAGCCCATAACTAGGATATATGGTAACTTACTCTGCTGCAAGGATCGAATTGCCACCAGTTGCCTCAAATGCCATGTTCTCGCTCGTGCTCGTACTACTCTCGAAGGCTTCTGTACTGTCTTGGGTCTCGTTCGAACCTTTGGCGTTTCCTTTAGCGCCGAATGGCTACAGCCACAAATGATCAGCTAGAACTTTTCTAATGAGCTGTAAACTCACTGTGGAAATGGCAACTCCAACTTGTGCCTTGAATGACTCCTTTTCTTTGCTCTGCTCAACGACTTGATCGCTGGTGACAATTTGCGTAGTTTGAAGGCAGCCTCCAAGGGTCACAGAATGACAGAATAAATGACCAAAGGTACTATAAAGCTCTCGGAGTGCGTTGATCTATCATCAATTAGCAAAAGCTCAGACGATCCCTTGTAGAGCTTACATTCTTGGTTTTCTTGATCCCATCAAGGGCTGCACGAAGTTCCTCAGTTGGCTCTAAGTCCTCTGGTCGAAGGAAGACATCAACTCGAGGGAACATGTAACTTCCAACCATTCGCTTTGCAAAGCCCTTTGTGGTATCGCTTGCACTAGACGCATCCTCCTTGGCAGTACCGCCCGTAAAGCCGACTGAGTATTTGCCCCATCCGCCAGATCTAGATGATTGTTTCAGCCATAATCACGCAGGGTGGAAGCAACTTACGCCGAGGCTTCCACGGACGAAGCCCCAAAATGATTTCTAGCCATGGATTCCTGGAACTGATTGCTCACCATCGTGATTTGAATTCTAGATCTGTCATTGATCGCATAAGATGGAATGGCCCCAAGCTTTGCTGGAATGGGTGCTTCAACATCTTCCGCGGTCAGTGAAGCTTTTGTTTCGACGGCTGCTTCGGTTCCCTGTCCTTCAGCTGAAACACCAGGGGCGTCCTCAGTGCCAGATGTTGAGGTGACCGAGGCTTCGGTTGGAGCACTTGGAGTGATCTTTTGCTCTGGAGGAGCCGGAAGAGAAACGACTATAGGCCTAGGTGGCAATTTGTTTCTCAGCCGAAACGCCGGGGTAGTGGCTCTCACTATGCTATTGGTCCGCTTGTCGATTTTCCAGCCATACAATAAAGAACAGTTCCTCAGTACAGAGTCCCAATCGGCTTCGTCCATTTGGCTCGTGTATCTTGACCTGGATCAGCATATTATAAGCATCTTTGACCACACTTACTTACTTAAGTGGGGATGCTTCACGTGCTGCAATGTCTGAAGCACGAAGACTTTCCTGGACCTGCAGAGCTGTCTTATCGACATGCATCTCCTCAGCTGATCTATCTTTGAAGGTAAGGTCGGGCTTCATTTGTGCCATAGCCTGCAACACATCTTCGCTAGCGCCATGGAATTTAGACGCAGCCGCGGAGACCTTTGCATCGCCACTTCGATAGCGTATCAGAATGGCTGGCGTTCCATCAGAGGGGTGAACCTTTGCATTCTATCACATGATGAGCATATTACACAGGACTAAATCAAGGAAATGGCGAACATCCTTCACTTACATCCAGAGCGAGGTACCTCTGCAGCGTCAGTTCATCTCCAGCTGCGGTTCCATCGAGAGAACAAAACGTGTGCATCTTTGGATCCGCGGACCTGCTCAATGGTCAGTCAAAGATACAGTTTTGCCATGGTTCATATCCCATCTCATCTCACATCTTGCTAATCAGTCTGCGAAGTTCTCCTAAGATCATTGTCGACGGGTCTTTGCCTTTGAAGACCGAAGCATGAAGAGATCCGACATTCTTTGCATCTTCAGGTTTATCCCCCACCTGAATAAACTTCATGATAAACGAGTCCTTCAAGGCAGCGCTTTGACTAGAAGCAGGCTCAGAGGTCGGTGCGATCAGTACAGTGGCTATCTTAGCTTCCCGCATGGCACTACTACGCATCATCTGCTTGTATGTTTCGAGAGTGACATCTTCAGGGACAAGAGAGCAATCGTCAGCGCAAAACTTGAACGTTTGTGCGCTGCTTAGAGCTTCAACTATCTTGTTCCTGATTTCTGCCAGCGTGATACGAGACTGAAATGTTGAGGCATCGCTATTTCCTGATTAGCTCAGTTTTGCTCCGTCAAATCACTGGAAGAGCTGACTCCGAGAACTTGAGTGTCGTGACAGCCATGCGGCCGATTGAAATAGATGCTCCCTCATCTTCACCCTGCTTCGGTGCTGTAGTGAGACTGTAAACTTTGACAAAAACATCTTCTTTTGTCTTCGTTGTCGGTTCGGTCGACATTGCGATTTTGGGAGCAAAAGGTGCCTGTAATGGTTCTAAATGCTTTTTTTCATGCACACGATGGAATGGATGTTCGTAGACAAGGCCAAACAGGTGTCTTTTGTCTCAGGAAAATAGATTGTATCAAGCCCTTGTAGCTCAAAAAGGGAGTCACGAAAAGAAGACAATAAAGATGCACGGAAATCCGTTGAATGACCAGGTTCCGTCCCTCGCAAATCTAGCCTCTATTAGATATTTCGGTGGGGTAAGACATGCATATACGCACTGCAGTACAGCGGGCCAACCCCACCAAGAAGTTCCAGGCCACGCACCATTGACAAACTATTGATGCATGTTCAGGGATCACTATCACAGAGCATCCCATTTTGATTCATGGGGCAGCGGGCAGCTTTGGAACTTTTCAGCCGGTCGAGAATAAAGCCCAAAACTTGATCTCTTCCAGAATCGTCAATCGTACAGCACCTCAGTTCCACGATTGACCGCCAACTAACTACCTACCATGGGTTACGTTCTTCTCGCTCCATACAATGACTCTATGCACTTGGGTCAAGGATTCAATTCCTTTCTTCAGAGACCTTGCATAGACGGGGCCGTGAAACTCACCCAGGCCGACCTTCAAACCCAAGCGGCACGAGCCGGAAGCCCTTCAAATGTATCTCAAGTGGTATCTTACAGCTCACGTTTGGTGGAGAAGATCTCAGATGTTGTCAGAGGCATGAATATCAGCGCGGCTTCCTCCATCAAGTTAGGAACTATTCAAGTCTCTGGAAATTCTCTGAGTGTGGATGAGGCCAAGTTTGCGGCCAGTGACATGAATGCAGTTATCTCTGTCAAAGTTATCAATCGTAAGTCTTACACATCCCCAACCGGGCTATGTTTGGCAGATAACTAAATTTCTATAGAGATTACTTCAGCCATCAAGAACCCTCCTTTGTCAGTCGTTTCCATGGCCTATTGTGCGCCTCCACTAACTACTGGTCAGTATTCCGGTGAAGACCACTGCCGGGATAACAAGCGAAAAGTTTTTCAAACTTTATGGGGATAGTTATATATCAGGTGGGTTTGATACAACAATGCCATTCGCATCCCGCTAACTGAGAGGGGAGGTTTCATGGAAGGCGGCGACCTACATGGAATTGTATCAATGAAAGTCCTGGACATTTCGAAGAAGACCAACGTTGAGACAGCGTGAGACTTATGCTACCGCATCTATACTGTTTGTACTAACATGAACAAGACTTAAAGGCGCCATGAATGGCTCTGCCGGAGAGTTTACACTCAGTGAAGGAACGGCCAGCTCTACCATCGAAGCAGCAGTACAGGAGACAGAATCCACTGTCACCGTCAATTGGTCTGGTGGGGGACAAATCAAGAATGACGATGCAGAGTGGACACTCGCCTCTCTGATTAGCGCTGCATCTGCATTTCCAGGGCGCGTTGCAGCTTGTCCACACAAAACATACGCCATCCTGACTCCTTACAACCGCAACCGGAGCTTCGTTGAGTGGGCGGAGCAAAACAATATCACTGTACCCGACTTTTCGCCAGTTCAGCAGTATACACACGACCTTCTCGACAGTTTCATGGAGTTCAAGAGCATTTTGGGTCGCATCCAAGCCGTTCTTGCTAATCCTCAAGCCTACCTACCAAGTTCATTCGATAACGCCGTCAGCGTCGATGTTAAAGCACTAGTGCTAGAGCGCCAGAAAATAAAGAAAGAGATGGTAAAGATTGGTAACATAGTTGATAAGCTGTTGGCTACGCCGTATTTTTCTATGCTTGTCCGATCCGATTAGCGGGCTAACATTTCCTTTCATAGAAACTGCAACCCTTCGACTCTTATCACTGAAGAGGTGGAATCTCCAGAGATCTGGGCAGCCCGGCTCCCGGTTCTGGTAGAATCTACAATGGTCAACAATAAGCTAACTGCCTTGGAAACAGCAGACGTTATCAGTGGATTTTACAATAACGATCCAACACAAGATACAGCCGAACCCGAAATCCCCGCCAGCCTTGGCAGCAAGATGAATGATAGCATGAAGGCAGTGCAAGATGCGACAAAGGAGAAGGAGAAGGAAATCGAAAAGGAGACTCCAGTCGTCGAAATATGCTCGGCCAGCATCAAAGCAAGTCTCACTCAACAAGAACGAGCCTTTGTGGATTCAGAGTTCAACAGAAGAAAATACTCGCAGTACCGATTTGGCGACTTAGTTGGTGTCCCAGGCGGAAGATTCTTTGTTGACACGCTATTCCTTGAACAGGCAATGGTACATGTATCATGGCCAGATCGTATCGAAATACTTCTACAAGATCTGAACGATAGCAGAGTTTATGCGCTGCGCACAACGTATCAGGAAACGCAAGAGTCACATGGTAAAAATATGGGAGAAACAGTAGACAGCACGTTTATTCATTTGGAAGAGGGGGAGGTTGTCAATGAAGTGACATTGGGCAGGAGAGATACGACTGGAGTGGCATTCATTCGGCTGCGTACCTCGAAGAATAGGGAGACGCGTATCGGCACACTGAAAGATTGTGTGGAGGTGACGAAATGTGTACCTTATGATGGCTGCACGGGGCTCAAGGGTTTCTGGGGTGGCTCGGGGGATCTTGTTGATAGACTTGGTCCTATTTGGGGTAAATAGAGCAACATGCATACGTAGTTGTTTGTATTGTAGGGTTTGGTATGGGATTTGTGATCCGCCTGCATGTGAGAACGGGTTTCAATCTGTCAATGCCCTAGCCAAAGCGACATCGCTAACCGTGAAGAATGTCGACTGATTGAACAAGCTGCATATCCTTTGAGTCTGGGCCCTTTTTCAGCTGCGACAAAAGCTCACCGGTTCTTGAACAAGTTAGTGCAGTCACCCAGCAGGTCAGCCGCACCGAGCGTTTACGGTTAGCGAGATTGACCTGTCAGATACAGACAGGCCCGGCCGCCATTGTCCACCACTAATGCGGATCCGAATCCTGGCTTCTTTTTGGGACTATTGATTTTATGCTCAACTTTCACCTTTTATCCCACCAGCTTGGATAGATATAGCCCACTAGAGCATCCTGTTGCTCTTGAAGTGTACCGGGTCTCTTTACACCATACTGATCTGGCGTCGACAGACAGATAACGCTATGGGATGGATAGTTGAGAATTTCCAGGTCCCTGTACCTGTCGGGGACTGCTCCATCCATATCCTTATCAAAACACCAACGTCCGTAGCATACGCCTTCATTATGGATGGCGGCGTGGACTCCGGCGGATATTCTGCCTCCGAAGCTATAAAAGATACACTGAAATATGTCAATCAATATCTTAAATCCACATACAAGATGAAAAAGTCGATCAAGTTCAGCTTGTGGGTGGTGACGCACTGGGACGAGGATCATTTTCTGGGGATGATGGACTTACTTGCAAAGCAATTAGAACCATCTAAGCCTTCGGATTGGATGACTGAAAACTTTGTTAAGAAGCCAAAATTGTACTGCGGTCGTTTGGAAAATTTTAAACAGCAACTCGTAAGTCAAACGATACTAATTATGCGACTGCAAAACAGAATTAGCTGATTTGAGGTTCACATAAGCAGAATGCTCTCGGTTTTGAGGCCGCTGGTGGCGAATCAGTACTAGGATATGACCTCCTCTCTGGAGGCCAAATATTTGATAAGAATGGAACTCCCATTTGTGAAAGTGTTTGGGAAGAAGACCGTCCGCGCTTTTGCATCGTGGGCGCAAATGGCCGCGGCCTTACAGTCTCAAAGGCGCAGCAGAAGGTTACCAGAAATCAGTCATCGATTTTGGCTGTATTGTTCTGGCCTAAAGAAGGCCGTCGTTGCTGTTTTTTCACCGGTGGAGATGGAAATCCAGAATTAGAACGTGGTATAATCAACAATTTCCTCAGCAAAAGCGATTTTATCAAGTTAGGCGACGGACTTGATCTGATGAAGCTTGATCATCACGGCTCTTCCCAGGAAAACATCTATGGCGGCGACCTTAGAAAGGTAAAAGCGGTACGGAAGCTGGCACTGTCCATGATGCCGATAGGTCTATTTAAGCCCAAGAACATCCTCATCACACCAGGAAATCTCCATGGACATCCGAGTAAGACAAGACCACCAGTTTGTCACGTTACGAGAAAAATTGAATATACTGACAATATAAAAAGCCTTTGACGTCGTTCACTGCCTTTTTGATCTTCTTGGCACAACGACTGGACTGGCGAAAGATACTGGGAAACCAGTAGGCAGAGTATGGACTACACGTTCTCCATATTGGGCTACCAAGCCACTTGTAACAACGAAAGATCTCAACCCGTCACACAATCAGGACTTGGAGGATATCCACAAAAAAGAACTTCAGGCATACCAAGATCCTACAAAAAAATTCTTAGGGACGGGGATGCTCATGGCCGTTGAAGCTGAGGGTAGTGGGACACGTTTAAAGCGGGCTCAGGGCCTTAAGGCTTGGAGGAAGAAGATACTGCAACAAAGTGCTATACTGGTACGTTCAAGGAAATGGTGTTTTGAATCATGAAGCTTTGTTTTTCTCTCTTTCTTGTTGGTTCCACAATCCTAATAACGTGATATCTATAGGATGGGCATAATCCAACTGACTACCGGGTGGACAGCAAAGCGAAGTCGGAACTCATAGAACTGGTAAGTGTTGTTGTTTGAGAGATAGTTAGAACATTGGTTCTTAATGCTAATTTTGGTTCTTTTGAGCTGGATAATGTCGAAAGGCACAACCCAAACAAGAAAGAACAAAAACGTCATTCTGCCATTCAAGAAGAAGAAGAGGAGGCTGCAGCGAGCGCACAGTTCGACTATGACTACATATCTTACGATGATGTTATGAACATCCGTTTCGCAGGGGTCGAGATGTGGAATCTTATCTGTGACCAGGGCATTGTGCCTCCGGCTGAGAATCCCTTCTTTATCATCCACTTCCGTTGGGAAAATGCTGTATTCTCCACGGTCAAGTGCCTAGGAATGGATGGCGTTGAACGGAAGGGCTACAGATCTGAGCCCATTGTCCCACCTCGTTACTCCCAGAGGCTGGCTGACATTAAAGAAGCACAGAAAAAGGAGGTACTGAAACTTCTCAAGAAGAAGGCCAGGGAACTGAAGATGGCAGAAGATTCAAAGGTGGCTCATAGCAAGCGCAATAGGTTGAAAAGCCAAGGCAGAGATCAGGATAGCGGGCTTGGCCTTTCTGCTTCTGAATCCGGCTGCCAATATAATGTTCAGGACTTCGAGAAGCAGAATACCTTCACTCACATCAGCCGATTGAACGATAGTGCAGTCAGGCAAAGCTTTACCAGTACAAGCTTGGGGGGCTTTGATATCCGACCATTGGGAAATATCAGCTTTCAGGCCAACCTCTTTCCGGGTACCTCTCTTTCTAGGAACGAGGACAGAATTATCTCGTTGCATGGCTTGACCCTGCAAGACTTCAGCTCGACACTCGAGGCCGACAAAGGATTACAAGATTCGGTTATGCGTAACCCATTCACGTTCATCAAGGAACTTGAAGCCGACTACCAACTCAAGTATCGCTTTGATGGTGATGATAACGATGAAGATGTAGTTCTTAAAAATATTTGGGAAGATGCAGATAAGGAAATTGACGTGACTCTCGAGAAGCTAAACAATCTTCAAAAGGAGTGGCAAACAGCCTGGGAAGAAAGTCAAGCAGATATCGAGAAGGAGGAGACAAGCAAGCAAAAAAAGAAAAGGATAAGAGCAGCAGTCAAGCTTATGGAAAAGATCAAAAAGAATGCAGAGAAGACTGTAGCAAACCTAGATCCGACGCTTTTCACTGGAAATCTCAATGCAGCCTCTCGTGCAGAGATCGAGAAGCTACTGGTGATGGCTATTACTTACAGGCCTCCCGACGTGGAAGAAGAGAAGGAACCAGAGACTGGTAGAGGCCGCAAAGGTCACCAAGATAGGTCAAAGAAATCCCAAGCGATGGGGAAGAACGGAGATACATCGAAGCAGATGGAGATCGAGAAGGAGAAGAAGGTCAAGAAAGAAGATAAATCGAACTTGAACAAGAGAGAGTCGAGAAACGAATTTGTCGAACAAGAAAGTATTCGAAAAAAGCGCTATGGAACGAAGTAGGGCCCCATCATTCAAGTTCATAGTTGAAGCCTCTCCTCAACGACGACCAAATGGCTGACGACCTAAGATATGATGTCCCTGGTACAGGTCCGACGAATTTATAGTTGAAATGGTACTAGGGCAGATGATACCTTAAATTATTCGCGAAACTATATGTCTAGTTGAAATGTAGAGCATGTTCCAGATTTAACTCAAGGTTTTCCACTCCCGCTCAGATGATTCTTACTGTTGGCCAGTGATTATATCGTTATGCGTCGTATGTCTCAGCGCGTTGTAAATACGCCTGACAGCATAAGCTTACTACCACGCCGCAGCCATGGTTCACAATAAGCTGAAGTAACCGGTGATTATTTGTAACACAACTCAAAAAACGTTGGTCACTCCAAACTCTTCAAACTCGAGATGCCGTGTAACCGTCACTTCTCCTCATTTTCGGGATCCGTTTCTTAGTCTAAATTCTTACTCATCTGGACAATATACCCTCTCTTGGTTAATGCTGAGTGAGATTACCTCAGGAGAAGGATCTACGCAAAGATGTATAAATCTAGCAGTTCCGTGGCTTCTAGCCCAGCCTTGGCAAATCCAGTCGTTGCCAGGTAACAGTTGTTCAATATGCGAACCTTTCATTCACCTCTTACGATTATTGAGACGCTGGCTAAGTCGCATGGGGATGCTGCGGCAGTCAGATATCTGTTACCTGTTTCTTCTACGGAGTACAAGACAATCACATATGCTGAGTACTGTAATGATGTTGAGAATGCGGCAAAGACATGGTTATCTGTGTTGTCCCAGGCAGGTATTGCTAAGGGTGATCGGAATCTGGTAGGTCCACATTATACGCATTCACGCTTATCTGACATCTTGCAGGATGAGAGGATGGTCATACCAGGATCTTCTACACTATTTATCTCTCCAAAGGGCTGGCTTCATTCCACAACTATTCTCACTTCGCATGACGAACCCAGCCGTCGTCTACGAACTTCTGCACAAGAGCAACGCTGCAGCATTGATCTATGACTCAAGCTGTGACTCTTTAGTGAAGGACTGCCCGGTTTCGACATTTACCAGCGAAAGAAATTTGGGAAAAACTGCGCCTCAGGATCATGAGCTTGAAAAGGTGACTACTGCTTTGAACGGCGATCAAGTCTCAGTCATCTTTCAAACTTCAGGCTCAACTTCAGGAATCCCAAAACTTGTTCCAACTACTGTGAGATGGATGGACTGCTTGATTCGCAAGAACAAGCCATATACACGCACCGGACCGCAGCCTGTGTACTGCCTCATGTTAGTCCTTCGCAGCTCCTCGTGTTACAAAACTGATTCGTTACAGGGGTTCTCATGCCCATGTAGGCAACACCATTAATCTTGCGGAGGCACTAGCCAACGCAGGCTGTTTGATCGTACCAAACAGTATTCCTTATCCAACTTCTGAGTTGCAGAGCATGATTACCCATGGTGGATTGACGGCCTTTTACATATTCCCGGTCCTTCTCTCTGTCTTCATCCGGGAAGCACGCACCAACACCATTTTACTCGAGCAGCTTCAGAGTTTGCATCACATCTTTCACGCTGGGCAGGTTTTGGAGCCGTCGGATCAGGCTTGGGCTCATCAACAAGGGATCAAGCTTGTTGATACCTACGGTTCCACCGAGATTGGACTATCGATGCGCGCATCTTCCAGTTCGAAATACCTAACTCCATTTCAGGAGTCGGGTTGTGAGTTCATCCCTCTTGGAGGAAACTCATCTTTATCAGATCAACTTCTTGAGCTTGTCATCCCTGCTGATGCAGATGACTGTCCACATCCGTCACTCAGGAATAAGACAGATGGCAAGTTTCATACTGGTGACCTCTTCCAGCGAGTCGCCGAAGATCAGTACTTGTACAAAGGACGAGTTGATGATAGAATCAAGATGCAGATGTCTCTGGTGTGTGACGCAGGATCGCTTGAGGCAGAAGCAATGCAAGTCTGCCAAGCTGATCTGATCTCCGCTGTATCTGTCATCGGATATGGACGCCCCAGTCCAGCAATTATCGTCGAACCCAAGAATGACGAAATATTAAAATCGGGCGATGACAATTTGGCGAAATTCAAGGAAGAAATCCTGCGCAGGATATCGCCGTTTCACGAGCGTAAGTATCTCCACGAGCGAATTGATGATCCACGCCTAGTTTTTGTTGTACCCCAGGGAGCACTACCAATGACAGCGAAGGGGAATATCATGAGGAAGGCGGTGGAAAACATGTTCTTTAATGAACTAGAGAAACACTTTGCGGTCATTTCACCCGCGTAACGCCTCCACACTGAACGTCGCGGAATCGCGGACAACGGGATTGAAGGAGGCAGCACAAGAGTCACAAATTATTCTCAATTACTGGACGACCATAAATAGAATGACCCGTGCATATTCATGACGACCTTTGTCTCACTGCATATCATTTATACGAGGATCGTTGCTGTAAGACGTACGTCATTGACTCAGCCGAGTGGTGATTCATAGCTTTCCAAGCCACTATATGAGAAGAGCTGAACAGTATGAAATTCGATAGTTTCGTTCTCTTTCATTTATATCTCAAATGAGAGCTTTTAACCTCACTGCAGGAAAAAGAATATCTACAGGGTTATTATACCGCAGTTACAGATTATCTCCGACACGAGTCGCGTTTTCTCATCAAAACACATCCAACATCTTCTATCGAAGATCTCAGGTCAGCACCATGTCTTCCATCGTAGACAGCGTCAAGGTATTTTCTCATACTCCATATCAGATACCAGTAATTGACTCATTAGAACACCATCGCCGAGAACTTCGGTGGTCCAGCCGAAAAGCTCGCAACCCATCAATTCTCCCTCTCCGAAACCCCCGACCTCACCAACAAAGTAGCCGTCGTAACAGGCGGCAGCGAGGGTATCGGCTACGGCGTAACACACACTCTCCTCTCTCACAACATAAGCAAGCTCTTCATCCTCTCTATCTCCGAAGACGTCGTCAACGGCGCCAAGAAATCCGTCGCCGAAGAGCTCGGCCAAGAGACAGCTGATCGCACAGAATGGATCCAATGCGACTTGAGCGACTGGGCTGAAGTGAAGAAAGCAGCGGAGCAGATCAAGAAATCTACTGATCGCTTGGATATTCTTGTTAATAATGCGGGAAGAGGAATCATGACGTATCAGCTCTCGAAGTATGGTGTTGATCAGCACATGGCTGTGAACCACTTTGGTCATGTTCTTTTGACATCTTACTTGCTTGAGCTGTTGAAAAAGACGGCTGCTGAGCATGGGACTGTGAGGATTGTGAACCTTGCTTCTAATGCGCATCAGGGTGCACCTAGCGATGTCAAGTTTGAGAGTCTTGAGGAGCTGAACCAGGATCATGGACCAAATCCTCAGTATGGGCGATCCAAGCTGACTGCTATTTTGTACAGTCGGTATCTGGATCGTCATCTCAGCAAGGCTGGAAACCCCAAGATCCTGGTGAATGCTACGCACCCTGGTTTCGTCAGCACAAGACAGAGTGTTGAGCATATTCATGAAGCGTGAGTCCACAACCTCTGTCGCTCTTTTCACACTTGTTAACATATACTAGGTATCCCCTTGCCGGCTACGCCATGTCAACTGGCATGGAGCCCTTCAAGAAGGACCAATTCCAGGGCGCTACCAGTTCGGTATTCGCTGCGACGATCACTGACAAGTCGGGGCAGTATATCTGTCCTCCTGCTGTGCCAGAGTCGGGGAATGAGCTTTCGCAGAATGAGCAGCTCGGTGAACAGTTGATGGCATTGACAAGGAAGGTCATCAGTGACAAGTTTGAGACTTTTGATGATCGGAAGTTTTATTAGAACTTTACCATAGGTAGTCCAAGGCAGTAAATGAGTATAAAAATACATTATTATATATTCTTTAACTATCGGAGAACGACGCGTCGATATTGTGACTTGCACTTTGACTGGATTTATTGGATATAAGCCCGCTCTTGCCAATTTACTTAACCAGTATTGAGATTTATATAACTGACCTCCCTGAACTACGCTTAAACATACTGCACTTTAATAGCTAATGTTTCCACTTTATTAAATCAGCCTCAGTATACGGAGTACACGTGCGCTATTGAATCTGAGTTGATGTTGTTCGGATCATCTGCCTGTTCAATACCCTGGAGTGGTTTTGTCTGCGAAACTTTGCCTTGAGCTTGTGAAATGTACATATACATAAATTGCAGCTGAAATAACTATCCATCTTAAGCACGGTCCTATAGTCTAGTGGTCATGACGTTGGATTTTGATCACCCTCAAAGTCTTCCAAAGACCCCGGTTCGAACCCGGGTAGGACCTCATTTTTTCTCCTCTCCCCCTCATCAATCAAGTCATCATCACTTTTTTGCTCAAACTCTCCCTCTCCCGCGTCGTCATATCATCAAGGGTCCAACCCCAGCTTTTCACTGTCATCAAGTGGATACCCACCCGCACCAACCAGACAAAGTCCCATCAACGCCATTCTCATAACAGCCTAGCCTCACGTCACCAGACTCAAAATTCCCGCCCCCCTTCTCCGCATCTTTTTCATTGGCTCACCCTTGCTTGATCTTCTCTTCACAAAACAATATCACGACTTTCTGTGGCCCATGGTATCGACAAGATGGTTCTCGGCATGGGCTGGCATAAGCCTGACAACTTTGCCGGTTCGTCGAGTTGGGCTATCACGATTGGATTGTTTGTTGCGTCGGGGGGGTTGTTGTTTGGCTATGATCTGGGGTGAGTTTAAATGTCTCGTCAGTTTTTGGTCTGCGGCGCGGTCAGTTCATCGCCTTGAGCCTGCATGCGACGGTGCTATTCTGCGCTCTCTTGTATCTTATCGTCTGATGACTGTTATGCTGCGTGCTGAGTTCAGTTGTCGCGATATAGCATCAAAGGTCTCTCCTTATTGACGCCGATCGGCAACGCTTTGGCCCTGACTAACCTCATCTCACTCATAGCGTCATCAACGGCATCCTCGCCATGTCCGTCTTCAAAGACCACTTCAGCACCAACCAATCCTGTAAAGACGACGAAGGCCACATCGATCTCTGTCCCTCAGATTCATCTCTCATCGTCGCCATTCTCAGCGGTGGAGCCGTCATCGGCGCTCTTGTCGCAGCTCCATCTGGCGACAGCATCGGGCGACGGAAGACGTTGCTCGCGGCCGTCACCACATTTTGTGTCGGTGCCATCTTTCAGATATGCGCTCGAGCAACGCCGATGTTATTAGTAGGCAGGTATGTTATTTATCTGTGTTAGCTCGTGATTTATGCTCATGACAAAAGGTTACTTGCTGGCGTTGCAGTCGGAGCTATTTCCGTTCTCGTCCCTCTTTATCAGTCCGAGACTGCGCCGAAATGGATACGCGGGACCATCATATGCATGTATCAGTTCTCCATTACGGTGGGGATATTAACTGCGACTACTATCAACGTCGGCACATCCAATATCGACAGCGATGCCGCCTATCGAATTCCTCTTGGCCTACAACTCGTCCCCGGCCTCATCCTCGCCTCTGGTATTCTGTATCTACCAGAGACTCCCCGGTTTCTCGTCAAGAAAGGACGGTTAGTAGAGGCAGGAATGTCTCTCAGTCGTTTTCGCAGACTAGATATGACGCATCCTGCTCTGGTGGATGAGCTTCAAGAGATTATCGCAAATCATCAGTATGAACTAACCCTCGGCCACGATACATACAAAGCTCTCTTCGCGAGAAACTCCTCCCTTGGCCGTCGAACCATGACCGGCTGTGGACTACAGATGCTGCAGCAACTAACAGGCATCAACTTCGTTATGTACTACGGGACCACCTTCTTCAGCAATGCCGGGGTCAACAAGCCCTTCCTCACTAACCTAGCTATGATTATCATCAACTGCGTTTGCACAGTCCCGGGTCTCATCGTCATCGAATCATGGGGCAGACGAAAGCTCCTCATGGCTGGCGCTCTAGGCATGGGCGTTTCTCAGATGCTGATAGCCGCTGTGTATTCGGCAACTGAACACAAGATGGAAAAGTCTCACGGAGGGGCCGCCAACATGGTCCTTGTCGTCTTCTGTGCCCTCAACGTATTTTTCTACGCGTCATCTTGGGGTCCTGTTGCTTGGGTCGTGACTTCGGAGATCTTTCCACTCAAAGTGCGCGCAAAGGCCATGTCTGTATCAACAACAGCGAACTGGCTATTGAACTTCGGGGTAGCATACGCACCACCATACATCCTCGGTAGAGGAGCCAACGCATTCGGGCTTAAGATATTCTTTATCTGGGGATCGTGTTGTCTGCTTTCCATTGCTTTCGTATGGCTGATGGTGTACGAAACTAGCAAGATGACACTAGAGCAGATTGACGAGATGTACGAGAGAGTGAGACATGCATGGGAGAGCCCAGGGTTTAACCCTACATGGAGCTTTCAACAGATGCAGAATGCAGGATGGGACGCGAATGCACCGCCAGAACAACAGGCTGGCGATCAACATTCAGCATCAAACGCCAACTCGACGGACGACGAAGGTCATGAAACGGCGACGATAAGGCCGGATAATTCACATGGATCGACGGCTCCTATGGCGAATTTGGATTTTAGTTACTAATTAATCTGTGTTTACATTCCTTGGAACCGAATGCAGTCACAATGTGAAACCGCCGGTGGTCAAGCTGTGCCAATGCAACCGTGAACTCGACCGAATTCTTGGATGCTTACAACAATGCAGCATGATCTGGAACTAGGCAGAAACATAGACATGACCAACAGCGAGTGCAGGCGAACAATCACACCTTGCATGCCAGCTGACGTTTCACAAGAAGCCCCCTTGGGAACAATGCCCAGCCCAAAACGGCTGCATAAACCTCCATCTGGCTACGGAGCGTTCCTCGGAACGATGGGTCATCCTGTTCTGGCAATCACTCGTAGCTTTCTAGATGTATCGGGACCCTTACGTAGCTCACCATGCGACTTCCACCAAAACAAAACCATATCAAGTTTTCCAGCCCCCAAAACTGACAAAATCTACCCGGATCTCACGCATTCCGACATGTAGGATAGGCTATCACAAAGGCTAACGCAGAGCCCGAAGCGCGAGCTTACTGCTTTCGGAGACAGTGGCCCCCAGCCGCATTCCAGTCCAGTCTCTTCCAGAACAATCGTACCGTTGGCCAATCAACATTCCGGCGACCGCAACCGTCAGTCACATTCTAATTCGGCAGATGAACGATGTGGCTGAAACCTGAGCGATGATCTTCCGATTCTTGGCATTCCATGATATTGGTGGCTTGGCTATGTCG